GAATAAGTAGCACATCTGTGTCAAATGCAGAGACATTGTGCGCGCGCGTGTGTGTGTGTGTGTGTGCTTTCTTACTTTCTAAGAATTTAGAAGAATGGAATTTTATTTTACAAATATTCAATGTTATAAATATATTAGACTATGAACTGATGAGATTAATCTATATAGACAAAAAAATGTTTCTGATCCTAATATGATTACGTAATTAGATGCGCCGTGAAGAGCAGTAGGAGGCCATCTTTTCGCTTTGGATATGATCGTATATTCTAAAGCAAGATGCTCTTTATTTTATTTTCCGTAGATAAATAACATACGATGAAAGAAGTTAATCCAAAAAATAAGATGCGTTACATAAATTATCAATAATATTTGTCTGCCTATGTATATATTACCACATCAAAACCTACTTAGATACATACCGTTTGCTGCTCTTCTACACGCTTAATCAAGGTGTATATCGAAAAATAGACTTAATGATTAAGCGAAACAGATGGAAAAAACTTATAGGATACGAAAATGAATTATAAGTTTCAATTCGAATAGATCGATAATTTTCACACCTTGTCTTTTTTTCCCCCCTGTTTTCCTGATGCCATCAGTAAACATGCATTCGTCTTTTTTCCGTCACTCTCGTTAATCATCGAGTACTCACAAAAGATAGACTCTGTGATGATGTTTCGAGTGAAGATATCAACCTTTCAATTATATTCTCTTTTCCTTTTTGTCCTTCAACACAACAATCATTGATGATGCAACCTCCTATTGAGTGAATTGGTATTCCGTTTGAAGTTTTTAGACTCTCAATCCCAAAGAGTAGGCGTACGTCACACGTATGTTATTTAGTTAGAGAGAGAAAGAGAGAAAAAAAAACGGTTAACAATTACGAAATATTCAGAAGAATGGTGATCACGCAGCGAGATAAAAAAAACAACAAGTTTAGTCAGTGGAGTTGCCCAACGGCTGTTCATTTTGTTGGATGAAATCTGCTCCTGATCTGGCGTCGTACATCGGACACTTGACCGCGTAGACACACATTCTCAAGAGAGACAGACAATGGAGAAGCTGTATTATATACAACTTCTTGTTTTTACCTTGAAGCCCCTTCATTTATTCCTAATGAGTAAACACATATATTTTCAAGAAAAAAATGGATAGCTTAAGGCTGATGAAGCGCGCTTTGCCCGCCTACTGTGCAATTTACGTCATCGATCTAGGTATACAATTGAGTAATTCTTATAAAAAGAATTTTTTTAGACAAGCTTTCATATTCTATTAAAGTCAATTGTTGGAATATTCTTGTTATTTTTCATTGATATTGAAAATAAAAACAAACAAGAAAAGAATAACAAAAACTTATCCTCACTACAAGCAGCCAATCGAAGAAAGACAATTCAACTGTCTTTCTTCGACATGTACCTATCTTTTCTATTTAGACAGATGGTCTCTTTAACCTTTGCAATTTTAATTAAGAACAAAATATCATCTCATTAGCTGCAGGCACAGAAGTACGATTGAGATCTCGAACGTATTTTTTTGTTAGACTATTTTCCTTATCTCTCGTTGCCTTGACACCTTTTCTTTCAAACATCGATCTCTTCTGATATAGGTGATAATTGCTTGTCTCCAATATCCGCTGTCAACTGATATGACTTAGGAATAAAAAAATAGAAATCGTTAGATCTAAAGTGCGATAAGACGACACGTGCCAATAGAAAAAAAGGTAGAAAGGTTTTGATTCGATATAATTTTGTGTTAATCTATTGAAAATATGATTTTCTTTTTTTTTTTTTTTTTATAAAAGTATTAGTAGTGTACTTGAAAATAAAATAAAATAAAAGTATCAAGTGGTATCCTGTCGATATTCGTCACGGGGTGATCATTGATCGATCATCAACAATAAATGATTAGAGAAGGGGGTAAGAAAAACGATTGACACTATACGTCAAGTATGACGAGAGTTTATGAATCATGAATCTCTCGACATGCGTAGGTGAATAATTATATAGAGTCCAAGGTGTAAAATCGAAGGAGTGCAACATACGTAATCGTTTTTTGTTTTTATTTAAAATATTATGATTGATGCGTCTGATTTAATTATTCATAAATGCTTAAGATTATCATTTTCATTGAATGAAAATAATGTTTTTGATCTTTCTTTTTGTTTTGTTTCTGTTTTGAATTAGAATTATACTAAGAAAAAAAGAAGTAAATAATTTAGAACTTACTTGATTGTATGTTGATTGTTTTCGAATCAATACACTTACAAACCACACGCTTTGTCTTTTTTCTTGTTTAATTCAGAAAATATTTTTCTACTTTCGTTCAGCTGCTGTTTTCCTTAAAAGAAACACTCGTTTCTCACACGTCTTTTTTTCTTTTCCTGCTCTCGTTCGTCTATCCTTGCTGTCTACTTTCCGATCAAATAGATATTGAGAAAGAGAGAAGAAGAAAAAAAGCGTGAAATGTTTTATTTCAAGATCTTCCAATTGATTGACTTAATGCCGACAGATATATACATATATATAAACAACGGCATCGATCATGCATAGAGACACTTCGCCATTGATACCGTTTGTTAGGCAATCCTCTGATGATACACAATCGTTCAAAAAATGAAGACAACCAAAACGAAATGATAATGAAATTTTCATTTTGTTTAGTTTATAAATTTGACGTAATATTATTTTCAATTGAAAGAATAAAAGAATATTTCAAGAAGCATACAAACATTTTAACACTTATAATAATCATAATATATGTGATGACTAGTGACCATTAAAGAGATAGCGGCATGAACGATAAACTGTCTATATAACGTTGAGCGATGAATATAGAAATCATAACACCCTGCTGTTTATTGATTGATTTTTCTAAGAGGTTAATATTTTGGAAGATCTATTTCTCTTCCTCTCTTGTTATAACATATATTTTAAGTCATGCATGCTTGTGAAACGGAAGAGATTAGCTTGGAGACTCACTGTGTCTCGTGCTATCGTGGAAAAGTATGCATGATTATAAAATCAGTGTTAGTATTTGCGTGTTGCACCGTCATTACGTATTCATTGTCAATCATATTCGGTGAGATACGATGGGCAGTCAAGTGACAAGTTCTACCTAATGGTTCGTTGTTACTCTCTATGGAAAAATGAAATGTGTCATATACGCGAATACATATGTATGCTTATGTATATGAATTCAAAGTTAATTGAAATAAGACAGCTCATCGAACTTTAATTCTCATTGCATAAGATTCTTAATTTAACATAGTTCAATGTTTCTTATGAACATTGACCAATGATTGGAATTGTTCCATCGTATTACTTGAAAATATATATTTCTTACTGGGAACCAATTTTCTGTACTGATCTAGATATATATTTGTATGTATGTGGATGTACATATCATCGGTTGAATAATATCTATAAAAGATAAGAGTTTGTTGAAAATGAAGGCATATTAATAAGGGTGGTATATACAAATAATGAGTTATATGTCTATTTTTGATAAGATAACTCTTTCTAGATGAACGAAATTTGATTTGGATTTTGTCTATGAATCTGTCACAACTATACAAATATATTTATTTGATAATGTAAGTTGGTTTATAACATGATAGTAGATAAGAGGCAAAACCATTTTTTTTTATGAAAGAAATTACAAAATTCATATTGTCTTTATAGTGAAACAAGATATCAATAACTTAATAAGATAATATTTTCAATTTATTTAACAAATGTATGACCTTTAAATAGAACGATGTTCTATTGGCGAACTAGTTAAAGTAAAAAGTATAGATGTCAATGCGGTAATCACTTTCATGAGAAAAGCTGTCAATGTAAAGGTGTTGAAGCTATTTCTTCAGTTTAATGTTTTAAGACGATATTGGATTGTCTTTAATGTTCATAAAATATTATCTATTCGATATCTTCATAAAAAATTCTTCTTCAACAAGTTGTTTAAGAAAAAAAGATGCAATCATTCTTCACACCGCACCATTGTTTTGGATTAGATTTAAATATATAAGTGATTTTTCTTAAAGGAAAACAACAATGATTTAAAGATAAACAATAATAGAATGATTTTTGTGCTGTTGATAAAACATATTAGAAAGATTATTCAATTCTGTCGCTACTAATATTAAACAACGAAAATATGTAAAAGTTTTGCAAGCAGAGCAAGGCGAAGATATTCAAAATAAAGTATTCATCAGATTTTGTACTTTTGTGTTTTTAGAGCTTGAAGAAAAACAGTTAGAAATTAAGAAAGAGAATCAAAACTGTGATCAACGCTAATATCTCTCGTGAACTATAAGAACATTATTAGCCGCTCATTTTTATGCATCGGCATCATTTTCTTCAGGTATCTTTCTTTATTTCATTATGTACAATCGGATCCGACAGTAGTCCGATCGTATTTTATTTGCATTCCGATAAAACCGACGAAACCCATCTATCTTAGGGCTCTAACTGACCTCTGGTGTTGGTTTCAGACGCCAATTAGTGTGCAAATAATTATGTCGTATCGCAACTGTAGCAATGAGTAGTGTATTGTGCCGACATGCCGAACGAATTGATACAAAATTCGACTCGGTGAATATGGTTCTACAGGTTGCATGCCATTGAATCTAAATAATGATTTGTATTCTTTTTCTTTTTTACATTCATTTATTTATTTGATCCATTAGATTAGGGGCGAATAAGTGAATAGAATTTTAATTTTGCTTATGTTGACTGCTCGAGCACTGGATGCAGAAAACATTTCTATGATTTACCAACAAATCGTTCAATTATAATTATTCGTATGTCAAGTGGGTTTTATGAAAATATTAGAAAGACATGAATTTAATGATAGGCTAGAAAGAGCACGATAAATACAAAATAAAGTTGAACAAAAAGAGGCGAATTTAATGTTAGTAGTTGACACGACGAACTCAATGATAGACGAAGATGTTGACAGCAAGAAATCGACGATGTGAAGTAAAAAGAAGTTTTTTCTTAAATTTAATGTGTGCTATCATTTAATCGATTGTATTTTCTTAGTATGTTGATGACATTTTCATGTGAAATAGATGGAACACGAATTCCTCCAAATCCTACCATTGTTTCAGCTGCTATTAGAGAATTTATAATGGCTTCTTCAACACATTGAATTGCTGCATTGAACAACGGATTTATTAGGTCATTCGATAGAAATTCAGCAACTTTTGTTGTTGAACTTTTGTCTGTAATATTAGCTGTTGAAAATGCCAAGAAAATATCACCCGAAGAATCAGCACCGATGCCACCTAGTTTTCCTATTCCAAGAGAAACTCTCGTTGCCATGCGTTTCAATTGGTGTGGTAAAAGTGGAGCATCCGTAGCTAATATAACAATAATCGAGCCAACATCTTTATCCGGTACAGAACTAGTATTAGTTTCAATGTCAAGAAGTTCTTGTCCCACAGGAACACCTGCTATAATGAGTTGATTTTTACGACCGAAATTAGCTTGTAATAAAACTCCTACAGTATAATTGAGCGTATCGACTATTCTTGAACTTGTTCCTGTTCCAGCTTTGTAACCGAAATTAATCATACCAGTTCCACCACCTACATTTCCTTCTTCAACGTATGAACTCGATTGTTTTGCATTATCTAGTGCTTCAAAGACATGCTCTTCTTTAATAGGAAATTCACGAAAATTATTCAAGAATCCATCCCATGTTTCAGCTACAATTGGTAAACCAATATCTCCAACATTGACTAGTGATGTTTCATTTTGTTGGTATATCCACTTTAAAGCAGACGTATAGCCGATACCCACACTGTTCGTATTTGTAATTATAATCGGAGTTGAAAGAAAACCAGATTCAGTCAAAAGATGTATTCCAGTCATTTCACCGTTTCCATTCAAACTAAACCAATTTGCGAAACAACGTTGTTCAGTAATAGATATATTACTTCCACGTGGAAGTATGGCCGTAACGCCAGTACGTATTGAATCACCTTCGATGATTGTACGAAACCCGACTTGAACATTATCGACATCTGTTATGGCATTGTATTTTCCAGGTGTACCATCAAATGGAATACCAAGGTCTCTGGCACGTAATTTTCTTGTACCTTTTATGAATCAATAATAATCTTATAACTAGTTAGATATGCTTTAATAATTCTTTTATAAATCTTACTCGTCTTTTCTACATCACTTCCCTCTGTACAATACCAGACACTGCAAAATAATAATACTCGTTGGATTGTATACATCGATAAAAAAAACAAAAACTGCCTTTTCAAGTAAATGTTTGCTGGTTGAAGAAGAAGAGTTACCATTTAGTCATACTTTCAGAGGATGATACTGCTAATCCGAATATAAAGAAACAATATTGTTGTGTTATTTTTTACGTAGTCTTTGTCAATATTGAGATAGATTGATAATTAGTTGAATAGAACTATAACATTTACTTGAAGTTTACATTGATGTATAAAAAAAAACGAAAAAAAAGGATTATACTGTCAACGATGAATAACGCTTACAAAATGATTAGCGTTCTCTGTGCGTACGCTTAAAATATACATACGTACGTAGAAGACATCTAAAGTAGCATGAAATTAAAAATATTTGTGATTTTTTATCTTTCTGCATGCCAGTACACATTCTCACAGAAACTAGAAAATTTGTCTTTATATCGTCGTTGTTTGAAAAGCAAACAGGACAACCAAATAACATTCTTATGAAGGTGAAATTGCACTACTGAGGATGTATGTTGACATCCATATGATAATTTCACTACTATGATCTACTGTAGTTATCCATAAATTACTCCTTTAGAACGTATATCACTTATTTTATGTCGATATACATAATCATACAGATGAATCAAATCAAGAATCAATTTGGATTATCAATGTATTACTATATAGTAGATAATCAAATTGGCAAAGAGTTCATATAATTACGATTAACTATGAAATAGTCATTTTTATAACAATTGCACAGTTCACTATTGTTTATTTTTTTTACCATTGCTTGTGATATACTTATGAATGAGATACTAGTTCATCATCGTTCCTTCGATAAACAAAAAGAATATCTGTCTACATTGAATTAAAAATCAATATATGCTGTATATTTACGATAAGACAAATATGAATAAATCAGATCTTTATTATTTAAGAGAAATTGAAAATGAACCTGAAACAAGATCTCGTTTTGCGATAGATAAATAAATAAATACATGGTATGACAGTATTTATTCAAGTTCTTTCTTATCACTGATCAACGCTGTAATCGGTGATATTTTAGTAAATTTGAAATGGGAATACTAGATGAAAACTTTCATGTTGAACGTTCTGCCTGTAGATTTTATTTTGTATTTATGATACAGAAGTAATTTTTCAGCAGTTTGAAGAATATAAAATGCAAAACCATCTGATTATTTGGTTTTATTTACTCATGCTTTTTCTATCAATATAACTAAAAAAGAGGGATTATTTTCAATCTTTAAATAGCCAATGATTTGTTTAATGTAAGTACCTATTTTTAGTTCATAACATTAAAATCCATTTTTTATTATAAAGAATAATAAACATAAACAGCTTGATTTAAAGAATATTTTTCTCTGAAGCTCATACGTACACAACAACACAAGGGGTGAAAATCAAGGTAAAATGAACAAACGATTCATTAGTTTATCTGGAAGTTGATAGTCAAACTCAATAGAGTTTGTAGTTGCTCAGCTCTATGTAGATCAAATTCAATGCCTGATAAGGAATCTATATGCACACTAACATTGCTGTTGCAATTCGTACATTCGCTAAGTGCTGTTTGCAAGTGATGACTTTCGCGAATGTTGTTTAGCAAAATAGAAAAAATTATTTTTTTGAAATGCAGGATTCGACGTTGATTTAGAATAATATGAGTGATGGTATCATAGCTGCTGATCAACTTGCTTGATTATTAAATAAATATTGCTTAGGTGAACTTGCATTACCGATCACAAAATTAACCAATGGATGGACTAATTTAACTTTAAAATTTAGTACAAAACCCGATGATAAAACTTCTATTCTTCGTAAATATCTTCCAGGTCGATGAAGGAAGAAATCTTTTGAAAATATTAAATTCGAATTGAATTTTATTACTTATCTTTCCAATGAGCTCAAACTTCCTGTTGTATCTATGATTGAGCCACCGGGAGTTTTTACATTTGATAATAAATATTATTGCGTTCTTTTTCCATTTGTTGATGGAATTAAATATTTAAATACACCAAAAACAGCGGCTCACCAACCATGGCAAGCATTAAAAATTAGTCGTTTTCTCGTTCAAATGCACTCGAGTTTGATGATATGTACGTTGGCTCATTACTAGTTGATTTAGCTGTAACATTATGTTTATGGTGTAGTATTGGACCCAAATTTAATGTTGACTATGAAAAAGAATTTTTATTTTGTTTATCAAAATGCGAGAGAAATGTTCTTGACTGAACATGAATGGAAATTGTTAAAATTTGCTTTGTTATTTGACTATGCTTAATCAAATATTACTTACAATCGAAGCTGAACTATGTGTAAAACCAATGAAAAATATGATAGACGAATTGCTTTTACCAATTGAATGTATTATATGAGAAGACACTATGTTTTTAGAAAAACTTCAGCTTACAAAATTTCAAAGGTATGAGAGAAAGATTATGAAGTTATCGACAAGATACTCTGTGAGAAACAGGTTCCGATGTTTGCCGATACAAAAAAAATCAATCGTCATATTTATTGTAATTAAAAAAGCAAAATTTCTAGATAATGATTGCGAATGTGTCAAGTATGCCTTGATCTAGATATTGATCGTAATTCAGGACCCTTATCAGATGACTATGATTCTTAGTCGTAGTAAAACGACTTTTTTTTATGGAGCACGTTCATTTTGAGATTAGACGCTTCATTTTCTAGGAAAATCATAAGGTTTATATTTTGTTCTAGTTGTTTACAGAAGTATTTCAGAGTTTAGTTCAATGTCTCTATATTGTATATTGTTGTAGCCTAATAAATCAAATTGCATTATGAAGATTTTTAAAATAGGAATAAATTTTATTCATGTAAAAGAGTAAATGTAGTTCATTAAAAAAAAAAGTTTTGTTTTATTTTGAATATTTGTTTAAAGACAGAGCCAACTTGAAACAATCAATAGCAGCATAGTTATTCTATTAGTTGATGAACTTGACTGTATACAATTTACTTCGGCACAATCATCAAACTTCAATTTGAATTGGTTATCTTCTTCAATACCTTTTATGCCTATGTAGGCAAATTCTACATTGGTATCTGGTTTTTCAAGAACTAATCTTATTTCACCATTGGAGGCTCTATTTGTTTTCGTTGACGATGGCCAAAAATAGGACTTGATGCGCATCCATAGTGATGAGTCATCATCTTTTGTTTCGGTTTCGTAATCAATGAAATCAGCTGGATCTTTTGGATTTCGATTGGTGAATGAATAAAATAATTTAACATTACCATTGAATAACGTGATGGTAACTAAAATTTTGTTACCAATAGTAGTAATTTCAACTTTAAGAAATTTATATTTATCCTTCATTATTTCAATCATCACGGTTATATTCGATGGAACGGGTGCTGGTTCTGCACATGATTTTGAGGTGAATTGATTTAACTTTTGTTCAAAAGCACCATAATTTGATACAGCGAAATAGTTTTCACTTGCTGGCGGTGAGCAAATAGCGTGTAATTCATCAAGATCTGGCTGATTACCGACGCCGACACTAACCAGAATGATATCGTTTCTTTTTAAAATACTTGCCGCTCTAATTGTTTCTGCTGGAGTATTACTTTGTCCATCTGTGATGACGAATATCACAGGTGTGACACCTTCATATGATAGTCGACGACCATTCTCGTATGAAAAAACAATATTTGCTTCTACAAGAGCACGAGCAGTATCTGTACCGCTAGAATAATATATTGCTTCGTCAACTCGTTGAAGTTTTTCATCTAGACCATGATTTTTATTTAACGATGTCAACGTCTTGGCGATGTTGGAGTAATTGATAATACCCACATGAGTTTTATTTAGGCCAACATTCACTCGACGAAGTAAATTTTTTGTAAAGTTAAGCTGTAATAGATAGTTACTCTGACCAACACTACCACTGGCATCAAGAACAATTCCTAAGTCCATTTTTAATTCTTGTGAACATGAATCCAAACAACATCGAATATGTTTTGGACTATTCGGGCATTCTGGCCCTTTCGGACCACTGCAGCCACAAAATGTACTGGAATCTTCTAAACCTTTGATACAATCTGGTGAGCATAAACCGTTATGAGTTTCATTATATTTGCAAACTGGTCCTTGTCCAGAATATAGGTCACCACCACACTCTAATTGGCGAAGAAATATGGAATAATATTTAGCTGCCACAGCAAGTTGTGCAATTTCTTCAGTTAATTTATACCTAAGAATACAGAAGCGAGAGCAGTATAGTTAAAATATAGCCATAGCAAGTTAGTACCATAACATCGAAAAACCATAAAATGTACCATCAGCGTACTTCGTTAAAGTCGATTCTATTGAGAGATAAAATAAAAATGTGAAAAACAGAGTTAACTGGCAAGTGGTTTTTAGATAAAGATTTCCATGTTTCGTTTTATTTTTGAGTAACATAATTATCAGAATACTTTTCCTAATTTTTTTCCTAATTATCAATGATCTAACTTATACGTACCATTCAATAGATTTGGATTTTTCCATATCAGTGATGCAATTTCGATTGCATTATTTGTTAGTGCAACTATTTCAGGATTAGTCAGAATTTCGTTTTGTGACATTAGTTTTGCTAATCTCTCATACATAGTTCTTCCACGAACACCGAAGAAACCTCGTCGGCGAAATCGAGATCCATCACCTTCTTTTGAGTTGCCATACTTTTTGTCATCAGCCGAGAATTCCGCATCACTCTTGACAACTTCATCAATTGTAAAATTCTCCGTCATCGTTGCTGCAACAGCTAGGAAAGCAGCTTTTGCTTGGCAGTTGCCGCATATGCCAGCTGAGTTAATTCCGTAATTTAGGGCACTTCGAAGAAATTTAGCACGGGATGTATTTTTTAGAATACCGAGATCATCACCAGTAATACATGTGCCTGAAATTGATGGTAAAGTGGTATTAATACAGCAAATTTGTCGTTCACACAAATAAGATGCTAGTATAGTTCCTTCACAACTGTCGATTGATGAGCATTGTCCAATTATGGATCGATTGAATGTTGATTGGCATGATTGTCCGTCGATCGTTGATACTATTGATAGTATAAAAGTCAGAAGTACAAAGTACATTTCAGCAATCTAGAGGTATTTTGTTTCGAATATTTATTGACAGCCTTATTATATAGACGAAAAATGATCTGTTTATTACCTTTTCGATAAACATAATTTTTATTATCGAACACTACCGATGTTTTAGACAAATTCTTTACATAGGGGGCAGCATATCTTCTTGCGAACATGAATAATTTATTAGTCTATATCAAAACACTTAAAACTACGTAAATAGCTCACCAACATCTCTAATATATCGTCCAATATAATTTATATATGGCTGTAAAGATAAGAAGACACTTGAGTACATAGGCAAGAGTCTCATTCATAAATATTTTGATTCATCTCATCTTGTCTTATGAAACGTAAAAGAAGGCGTCTTTCAAAAAAATATTTTATTCGCGAGATATTATAGGGGGTGTGTGTGTGTGTGTGTGTGTGTCAGGGTGGCCAGATCCAAAATTGAAAAATCAGAAAATGACAGTTTTTGATAAATTAGTACATCTTCCGCTAAAATACTGACATCGAAAGTTCTGCTGCGTTCCTGTTCATTGACTGGAACATTATTTTCAAAGATATTTCAATAGAACGAAAGACAATATAGTGAATATATCGTTTAGCTAATAAGGAAACATCAATAGAAGATACTTAATGTTGAGCTTTGTTTTAAATTTAAAATTCGTTCACAAAAACCAGCAAAACTAAATCAAGTACATACTGTGTAGATTAAGACGTCCAACGAGAAAAAAGCTTAATCCCATATTCTCGGTATTATTATTCCTATTTCATATCTTTGGGTGTGGGTGTGGGTCTACGAGTTATCTCATTATCATATATCTCAAACTTGGGACCTGAATTCAATTGAAATTGACATTTTCAACCTTCAACCTTCAAACCAGTAGCGTTCTGAAGAATCGGGACTCACACGCATCGTCGCTGTCAGCTTGAAGGTTGAAGGTTTGAAGGTTGAAGGTTGAAAATTTCGATTTCAATTGAATTCAAGTTTGGCACTACTGATTGCATGTGGCGTAAAACAGACACACTTTTTACACAAGTATATGATTATTTTTTTCATGAGATGATCTGTTACATTCTGTTACTGTAAAGGAACGTGCCATAAAACGAATGATATCATAATCCGATTACACCCGGGTAACGAGGTTTTCTCCAGCAAAAGTTACTTTATCAATATTCGGTGTATTACCCCTAGGGCATCTACTTTCATTTAACTATATATTTTAAAGTTGCGAGATTTGAGCTGTTTTGGTGTATTACCTCTAGCGTATCCACTTTCATTAAACTATATGTTTTAAAGTTGGGAGATTTGAGTTGTTTTGGTGTATTACCTCTAGGGTATCCACTTTCATTAAACTATATGTTTTAAAGTTGGGAGATTTGAGTTGTTTTGGTGTATTACCTCTAGGGTATCCACTTTCAGTTAACTATATGTTTTAAAGTTGGGAGATTTGAGTTCTTTTAGTGTATTACCTCTAGGGTATCCACTTTCATTAAACTATATGTTTTAAAGTTGGGAGATTTGAGTTGTTTTGGTGTATTACCTCTAGGGTATCCACTTTCAGTTAACTATATGTTTTAAAGTTGGGAGATTTGAGTTGTTTTGGTGTATTACCTCTAGGGTATCCACTTTCATTAAACTATATGTTTTAAAGTTGGGAGATTTGAGTTGTTTTGGTGTATTACCTCTAGGGTATCCAGTTTCATTTAACTATATGTTTTAAAGTTGAGAGATTTGAGTTGTTCTGGTGTATTACCTCTAGGGTATCCAGTTTCATTTAACTATATGTTTTAAAGTTTAGAGATTTGAGTTGTTTTGGTGTATTACCTCTAGGGTATCCACTTTCATTAAACTATATGTTTTAAAGTTGGGAGATTTGAGTTGTTTTGGTGTATTACCTCTAGGGTATCCACTTTCAGTTAACTATATGTTTTAAAGTTGAGAGATTTGAGTTGTTTTGGTGTATTACCCTAAAGCGTAATAACTTGGATATCGTCGAAGAAATACACAAAGACAACTGGAATTTGCAATAAGATGCTCAATTCGAATTTGAATATAATTGATTCATTTACTGCACAGTAACACTTCGGAAAAACTTAAGGCACAGATATTGCTAGAGGAAAATGCAAATAATATCATTTTATCTGAATTGTTTTTTAAATAATTTGAATTTAGACATGCATTTTACTGAGGCTGAAATGTATGGCATAAATTATGATTTCTAGGAGCATTCCCTGGATTCCTGGCAATGCGTAACATTGGTAGATGCAAGGCTGTCGCTGCTGAAAGCAAGCCGGACGCTACTGAATGAATATCTTAGGCTTCTAAAAGAATGCGTGAAATTGCTGAAACCATGTATCAGGTTGCTAAGATTATTCCTCGGCTTCTGACACCCTTCCCTCACATTGCTGCCAGTACGAGTGGAGTCCTTCGTGACACACCACAGGTACCGGAACACATACCTGAGCTGCTAGATAGTTCATACAGGTTACTGCAACTGTGCCTCATCTTGTTACAGGTATCCAAACCAACTTTCACGCAAATTGACCTATACATCTCGGAGCACTCAATTTCTTACAGCAAACACAGGAATGCGTCTAGCAACCTTAGGTATGTTTCTAGGCACCTCAAGATTACTGCTAGCAACCTTAGGTGCGCTTCTAACAATCTCAGGAATTGTTTTAAAAAACGCAGGTATCCTTGTAGCAGACTCAAAGTCATCAATGGATTCTTCGAAAAATCTCGTTCATATTTTATGTGGAATTAGGCAGCTGCTCCGAATTCCTCAACTTTAAAACATATAGTTAAGTGAAAGTGGATACCCTAGGGGTATTACCCCAAAAAGAATTTGATGGGTATTATGACTTGGAAATCACGATACCCAGTGTAACGGTATTATGACATCTATGAAGACGTGACAAAATATATATCAAACATAAGTAATTCTACTTAGGTAGCAGCGCTGAATAAAAGCAGATTCTTTCAATTCGCCTTTTGTGAATTCTTCGCACAATCAAGATTATATTCACCATTTGAAAATGTTATTCACATGAACTTCAAGTAGTCGAAATGTATTTGATGAGTTGATAGCGTTCGTCTGTTTAGTTTCTATTTCACAATCACTCGAGATCGAATTAGAATATTCGATAAATTAAACATTTATCTCTGATAAAAAATATGTTTCTTCTATTCGATAATATAATATCAAATGTTTGCTGATTCGTCACTCTCACGATAAAGATATCAATGTTTGCTTACGGATGAGGGTGGCAGCTGTGTCTTTTTTTCAATAGATAATTGAGAATGTGACAATGATTGCACTATTATAATTAGAATACTCTGTATGAAGTATTCTGATAGCAGAAAAATAAGGGTCTTGTATAAGAATGTTCATATCAAGTTCAGAGTGCATAATTTAATCAGTAGATAATCTGTGTCCGGTGTTGATATTTGAAGAAATAAATTTAGCTTTCTTCACTTATTGCTTTTTAATATGTACGTTCAGTATGCATATAGAAAGAGAAAGTGCACTGAATGCATCAGTCAAGACGTATTTTCTCTTGCGTTCCTGCTAAAGTATATCTCTATTAATAATACATCCTTTTCGGATATATGGCCAAGACATGTGGATCTCAAGAAGAGATCCAACCCGTAAATGATCATACTGATTTTGGTTATTGGTACAATGAAATGAACAGCGATGATCAATTTGTACGTTACATGACAGAAATCTACAAGAAACAACACCTGAACATTTACATGAACAAACAACAAAATACAACAATGACTCATCATACGCGTTCCAATACCCAATCACCATTAAATCGACAACAAGTAACACGACAATTACCACAGCTAATGGATCATCCAATTACATTTGATCATATTCAAGAAATACATCACCGTCATCACCACCATAACCAAATATCAAAAACATCTACAATTGAGCGTGTTACACGGTCCAGTCCATCATCAACAAACCACCAAGTCTCATCAACCCCACGACGACCATTAGAAGAGAGTGGATCAGAAAATCAATACCAACGCCAAATTAAGAAATCAAGACCTCATGAAATTACACCATCAGCTCCTCCACAACTATCAACAACAGTTAAACCATTTCACCTACCAACAGCACATCTTAAAAGAGCAGTAGCGAATAACTTACCGTGCTTTTATATAAAATTTGATAGTAATATAACTCAACGTAGTATACCATCAGCCATGAGAGTGGCAAGATGGATTCGTCAAACAGTCCAACAGCAATCATCTGAATCAATAGGAGATTTTTCTATACTGATACCTGTTGGCACGAATCGATATAAATTTGGAGTAACATCAAAAAGTGATTTCTTATTACTTTGGAACTGTAAGTGGCCAAATGAAATGGACGACATTGGCGTTGAAATACAACGACCTCGCTCTCTACCTGATTGTTGCGCATTAGTAGTGCGCTACGCACCAGTTGTTGATCTATCTAATGAATTCGTTTTTCGAGAAATTAGTAAATCAATCAGTTCAGTAAGTTCCTTCTCAAAAATCAACTATCATCGACCCCGATCAACAAATGATTATAGATTTTGTGTAGCCGATGCAAATGAATATGAAGAAATCTTAAAGATTGGCCGTATAGCAATCGGACATCTACTGCTACCAATAACTGCATTTCTTCCTGGTCTAAAATTGACTTACTGCGCAAACTGCTGGATAACTGGTCATACTAAACCTGAATGTAAAATGAACCCTCGATGTCGTAAATGCTTAGATAATTGGGAATTTAATCATCGATGCCAAAAGCCAATGTTATGTGCTCAATGTGAAGGTCCACATTTATCAACAAGTATCGAATTTCCAGTGGTTTACAATTATCGCATAACATTAAAAGATCAAGTTAAAAAAGCCATTAATGATGGATTAATAAGTCAACCAAGCATCAACCAAAAACGAGAAGCTAATCGTTATGTTGAAGATGAAAGATTTGAAAAAAAACAAATAAATGGAACTAAACAAGCATGGGGACGCCAATCAAAATCAACAGATAGGCCACAAATTCAACATGAAAATGAAAATGATCGACTAGGTGAGTTAGTATGCCGAACTAAAGATGTTTTAGATATAATACGTCGAATGGAATTGCAAATGGATAACCAAGTTGTAAAAGTTGATATCTTAGAAAAAAGATCGGTATGGAATAAAGAAAGTTTGATTGACCTAGCAAAGATCATTCAACAGCTCATCAATGCAACATTAGAAAAGAAAAACAAACAACAACTACAAAGCTTAGTACAGCAACTAGAAGCATTTAAAGAGAATGTTAGTGAAAAGTTTAATGCTATCACAAATGATCAACAAAAACAAACACCAACATCTCCGTCTTTTAGAACCCAACAGTAACAGAATACAAACTAAGTTAACAACTTTCAATAACAACGCGAACTACGATATAATGGAGCAAGATTCACCAATTAGTAACGTAAATGCTTAGTAGTTCCTTGTTATATTCTATGAACATTGATGCAATTCCTTTTGTTCCTAACTCTTATTTCTATTTTTCTTCTTCCCTCATTGATGTTAAAAGTGAAGTGATTCGAAAAGTCATAGACTAGGGCTTTCCTGTCAAAGTAGTGCATATGTCAGCTCAGTAATGGGTGAATGGTTATCAGGAAATACAATTAATGGAATTCTTAGTTTATGGGAAACACCAACCAACCATTCTAAATGCCAACAAAATTCATTGTGCATACTTAACTATAATGTACAAGGATGGGGACCCGAGCACTAGAAGCAGTGGAACTTATTTTTAACTCTGACAGCTCTATAGGAATATTCACGGAAGTAGGAGAGTTATGGAAAAATTTTACCATCCCCATTTTAAGAGTTTCTATCAGAACGGTACCAATAGCAAAGGAGGAGTAGTTGTAGCAGTTGGAAAACATCTCAAAGCAACACGTATTGATACAAATATAGAAAACACGGTGATTGTAGATGTAGAAGGACTAACGGGACAAATTAGAATTATTGGAATTTATTGGCCCCAATGTTAGTCCAGAAATTTAGAAGATCTTACGTCATACATATCTGAAAAAACTATCCTAACTGGAGACTTTAATGCCTCAGAACAAGAAGGGCAAAGCCCGGTGACAGATGCTCGAGGTAATCAATTAAAAAAATGGATAGAAAAGAAGAAGAAGAAGAAGAAGAAGAATACCCTTGCCTTGCGGCTACCTTTCAGTATAGGGTAGCTGTCCGGAGACAGTTTCAAGAGCCCGATATTTTTCCTACAACTATTACTAGCTGCAGCTCTGGACAGAAGGCCGGCCTGACTCAGAGTTCCTTCCGCTTAATTACTTAAGCTTCCCATGCATACTGACTAACCACATACTATCCACGAGGATATTTTTATGTATGTCACATGTAATCAGCGTGCTATCGGATGGGTGATCCGAGACAAAACAGCCGTTAGTAACTTATCCAAGGTTATTCTATGGATGATGGCGCCGAGGTTTGAACGCATTATCTTGTGGATATGTGCCGAACATCTTAACCATCCAGCCATAGCGGCTTTGGATAGAAAAGAACAATTTGTTATTCATACCTGAAACGAAGAATTCATCTAAAAGATCAGATAGATATATTGACCACATCTTTACAAACATAGAGGACGCTGAAGCGGAAACACTTAACATAGGAACGAGCGATCATTGGCCAATAGTTATGAAAAGTGATCGAATCGGATTCCAAACGGATGGAAATTTCCCCGTAGTCAATTGGACAGGGTTTTAAACTGTTTTAACATTACTGAAAGACTTTTGGACAAAAGAATCAGAAATACAAGATGCAGAAAATTGGTACTTGAACTACACACGTTTCCTTAGCGCTCTAAAAAATTGAGTAACCAAGTGGAGTACCAGGAATAGATACCGCCCTTCATTACCACATTATATTGTAGGTATGTTAAAGCAAGTTAGTCGAGTTAGAAATAAGTACTATCGAGAAAGAAAAACAAAATTTGGCGTTGAAGTAGAAAGAACTAGATTATTATTAAGAACACTAACCAAACAAGTGAAAAATTATAAATCGGAACGATGGAACGCCTTTTTATCCCCTGTTCAGGAATCTCACGATAGAAATGGCAAACATTTTTGGTCGCATCTATCGAAGATTTACAAACCTAAAATATTACCAATCTCGAAATTAAAAGCAGGTTCTATTACGATTGCTGACCAACAAGAAATAACAAATATGCTTTACAGTTATTATAAGGAACAAGCGAATAGCTCTACTATAGATGAAAGTGAACAACATGATCAGAAAATTGTACATGACTATAACAAAATCATGAATACCTTATCCCAACTATTAGATATCAAGGTCGAAAAGTAACATCATTAGAAGTAACAAAAATTATTAAAAAATTGAAAAATAAAAAATCATCGGGGTATGATCAGATATCTAAATATATAATTAAACTACTCCCGCCAGCATATATAGATTGCTTAGTTAAATGTTTCAATGTCTGGCTAAGCGAAGGTCGGTACCCGGATTTCTGGATGCTAGCAAAGATAATTACATTGAACAAACTAAATGCCGGTGTACCTCGTCCCGATCAAACCCGCCCAATCTCGCTTTTGGCAACACACTCGAAGTTATTTGAAAAAGTACTTCGGGAAAGAGTAAGCAACTGGGCTGAATGAGCTCAGTTAGTCCCGATTGAACAATCAGGTTTCAGACAGGGAGGACTGATAGCAACCAGAGTGCTCTCAATTTATCAAGAAATCCAAAATAACCTAGCAGTAAATATGCCAACGCTCGCCTTATATGTAGACTACCGTAAAGCGTATGATATGGTATGGCACGCTGGCCTATTGGTGAAACTGCACGATCTAGGCATGCTTATAGCACTACTGAAAATGACGGCCTCCTGGTTAGGGAACCGACAAACTTACATCGCGTTTGGAGACAAAGTATCCGAAAAGTACAAGATTGATATTGGACTACCACAAGGAAGCAGTCTAAGTCCTTTCCTTTTCATAGTCTATCACTGTGATCTAATACAATGTCTCGGTGCTCATTCAGGTCACATGTTTGCCGACGAACTCAGTGTGCTCATAACGGGAGACAAGAATTTCGGCCCACGGAATTTTCGGGCCGGACTTTCGGACCAATTCTATACAAATTCATTAAACTCTGTGAAAAAAACGAATTCCTTTGAAAATTGGTTTCTAGATTTTTTTAGTATTGAGCGAAGTGACGTAGTGCTGAGCGAAGCGACGTAGTGCCGAGCGAAGCGTCGTAGTGCCGAGCGAAGCGTCGTAGTGCCGAGTAGGGGTGGCACTTTACGTTAATTTAATATTAAGTGTTAAGTTTTAACTTAACACTTAATATTAAGAAAAAAACGTTTACATTAGCGACTTAATTACTTAATATTAAGCGTTAACGCAATACTTAATTCTTAATATTAAGTGTTAACGAAACACTTAATTTTAAAAATTAAGTATTGCTAGAGCACTTAATATTAAGAAAAAAATGTGTAGATTACCCACTTAATTACTTAATATTAAGTGTTAAAGCAATACTTAATTTTAAAAATTAAGTGTTTCGTTTAACACTTAATATTAAAAATTAAGTATTGAGTTAACACTTAATATTAAGTAATTAAGTCGCTAATGTAAACGTTTTTTTCTTAATATTAAGTGTTAAGTAAAACCACTTAATTAACTCTCTTAATTAACTCAAATTAAAATCAACGGTCCACCTCTAATTTACAGCATTAAAAGTCCGCATTAGAACTGTTGAAGAAAAATCACAGTAAATTCTCTTAGATTATACGAACCGAAAGTTGATCGAATTTCGTCTTCGCTGAGATGTGATCGTTTCTGAAGCGCTTGAAGATGTTTTTCAGACAATTCGACTTTGCCTCTCGTTTTTACTGGCTTTAGGGGTGTCTCTTCTGGTTTACTTGCCATTTTATCAGATATTGTAATTAGTTGTCACCTACTGATTATTGATAGTAACGATCTAGGATGAAAAGAGAGAATCAAGTCGAATATTTTTCAACCTTGTATCAACAAGGATATTGTGCCTATGACTATACATCATTTTTGACAAAAAAAAATATAATAGACGTTATATTTATTGGTGTGTCTTGTGTATATAGCGTCAGCAGCCATGCAGAACATAGAAAATGCTTAAATATGTGCAGAATTAATCTTGTTGCCGCATATCACCCTTGCTCTTGAGTAGTCACATGATTAACGCATACGTGTTTTCCTATTTTCTCTTACAATGCTCACCTGAAAAGGTGATAGCGAACACCACAAAGAAAATATTATAACCTTGAACACTGTCTGGGCTGATGAAATGGCCATGAATGATAAACAATATTTATCACGTATGAAAATTCCGGTATACATACCTTATTGAATGGTACACAAACAGATTTACAATACAATTAATCTTGCCGTCATATTCTCGAATTAGAATAATCGAAACAAGTGAACAACACATTGAGACATCAAATTTTGTACAATATTTTAATGTCAATGTAAATAAGATAAGGTTTACCTTAGACAAACAAAATGCTGCATGCCACTTCGTTTTTCTTCGATTTTGTTTATAACAGTGAAACGAAATTAGAAATCATATTTGCTAGAGATATCATCTTGTCGTCCAAGTTCCACTACTACAGAAAACATAAAAACACAATAGATCGATATGCAATTTACATAGTGAAAGCGTAGCTGTATTGTGAGAGTAGAATTATAGTAACGGAGAATGAAGATATCTTCGAAAAGTTTTCGAATTTTATCGTAAAATTTTACTGATGAAGATCTTAATTGACTCTAAGAGTGCAACACTTAAAACAGGACGCGACTTGAAATAGTTGATCTAATGAATGTAGAAAAATTATCCTTCGAGGAAACCCAGTATATTGTAGAGAATAAACCCTAAGTTTCGTTCGAGTCCTAAACGTGGCTTTATGTTGAGACGTAACTGTGAAGAAGATGCTTTCCTTGTATCTATAAGTATTGGTATAATCGTACCCAGATGTCAACGTTCATAATCGACTAGATCTGAAGTAGATCATCCAACTAATATGTAGACCACTCAATCTGACAACATCACCCCGTTTGCATTTAGAAAAATTGCCAAAACATTATCAATAGATGCTTGCATGACAAAACATTGACCCCTTTTCGTATCACCATTGAAAGGGAAACGAAAGATTGTTTGGTGATTTACGAGTATATATCTTTCTCAGTAATAATTATCATATGTATTGACATTTCATTTAGTTGTAAGCAAAAAACATATGACAACATTCTATGATTTATATTCAAGATAATTTCCTTGATTTAGTCAACCGAATCTACTAAGAAGCCTTGCAAAAAAAGAAGATATATAGAGAGAGCAATAAACTCTCTTCGCATACGGGAAGTCGACACATGTGAATTGTAAGGAACCAAATTTATGGATATAAGAAAATAAAACTAACGTAAGAGGCAGATGTTAACAGGTGTTTTCTGAAATTTATTGCTAGCGATCATATTACTAATGCTTAAAAACATATGTAGGCTTAAGAGAAAAATTGTTGTAGTTGGAACATAGTTCTAATAGAATTTTGGATTAAGTTCGAAGTGGATCAAGCTACAATTTGCTTGAAAAATTCGTCATTATTGCAAAGATTATGGAATTCCTTGTGTGACATTTTTCCATCCTTGTTGAGATCATATTTTGCAAAGATCTCATTTAAATGAGCCTTGAACGCTGCGATGTCATCGTCTTTCGCATGTTCTTCTGCAGCCTTTCTTGTAAGAAAGAATTTTTCAATTTCTTCTTTTGAAAGATAACCATCGTAATTGGAATCGCATAGAGCAAACATAAGTGTAAGCTTTTGCTTTGTTGAGTGACGTCTCAACAAGACAGTAGCCGTCAAAAATTCGTTGAAGTCGATTTTTCCTAAAACAAGAATATTAATTTGAAGAAAAATTATTTATGAAAGACGCACCTGAATGATCTCGATCGAACACTGCAAAGGCTCGTTTGGCTGAAAAAATATCATTAGAATTATCCTCTTCGGGCGCTGTACCATTCCATAGTTTGGTGAATTCTTCCAGTGTGAGTTGGCCAGAAGATCCCAATTGACGAAAACTGCCTACAAATGAAAAGTGTAATGACACCAGTATGGAATCAGAGTTTATAAAGTAAAGAAAATTTTTTTCAGATGACTCATATTTTGTTTTCTAGCTTATCAAAATAGAGACGACCGATAGTTAGTACGGCTCAACTCCTATACACTTGACTTCACATTATCAATGTTATTAAAGAAATTTTTGCGTCCGACATCAACTATATTAGATGATACAAACCAAATAATGTTCGAATTTCTGTGTCGGTGAGATGTGACATTTTCTTCAGAGATTGTACATGTTTTTCTGTCAACTCTATTTTGTCTGCTGGTTTGGTTGGTTCTACTGTTTTAGCTGGTTCGGTTGGTTCTACTGTTTTAGCTGGTTCGGTTGGTTTGCTTTCCATTTTTTTTTCTTCAAATATTCAAATTAATGGGTACTTTTTGAATTGATTTCAACGATCTGAAATAACACAAGAAAAAAAATCGCAAACTAGTAAACATATATATAGCGAAAATTGTGGAGTCAGTGATGCATGCGAACTGCAATGATTTTTTGATAGACAAACATATGAATGCGGTGCACTGATTGCAAACTGTAAGCTTAATTTAGTCAATCATGCAAAACGCTGAAAAATATACGAATATGTGACAGCACAGTATAATTAACAAATATAAAAACCACTTCTCAGTTGTAAAATAGTCATAATCGAAAATTGATTTTCTCGGTACTGTATAAAAAAAAGTTCATAAATAATACCGATATGTTTTTTCGTATGAAACCGCTGTGAAAAGATTTCTCATTGTATTTTCTATACACATGAGTGTATGAATCATACGTTTGTGTGTATTCACAAAATAAAAAATAGAAACCATTTGCGCAAGATTTTCTTCAATCAAGCGATGGCTAAATTCAAGTTGTAATTTTATTAGCGACGAGTTCTAGTTTGGCAAAGCTTTATTGTGAAAATTTAAAATATATTTAGTTTACTTGATACAATTTCCTCTTCGGAATGCTAAGATTCTTGAATTTCGATCTGAATTGCTTTGTAACAGTTGAAATCGAGTATAGTTCACCACTAGATTCTTGTTGCCAAGTTGTTACAAGAAACGATTCGTTTTTAATGGCTTCAATGTGTACATCGATATTTTTATCGCGTTTTTCTCTTCACGAGTAAAACTGAGCTGTACGATAATATAGAGATCTCAGATTATATACATATGATAATAAAGAAAATACTTTATTGCATGATTTTCCTCATTCAAGTACATCACATCTGTGAACTATAAATCACAATAGCTTGATTCTAAAGAATTATGAATCGAAGAAAAAGGAAGAAATTACGACACTGACATTTTTACGAAATAGTTTTAGACACAGGTGAATCCCAAGTAAAATATTTTCCAAAATTAGGCATCAAAATATCATTTTAATACAGACGTTAGTCTGAAGTTAAGACTATCATGGTTTGAATAAATAGAAATGTCATTAAAATTAATATCCGAGTATTTGCCTTTATGTATTCATTGTAAACTATTGATTAGATAACAATTGTAAAAAACAAAGAAGATAATAAAAAGAAATGAAACTATTAGAGAATAAAGAACAATTATTAAATTAAATATTTCACTGCCAATCTATTCGTTATATTAGTAGGAGCTCAATCCATTTTTTAATGTGATTGTCGGCTCCATATCCATCTTTGCCGTGCAATATCGAGATTACATATTTGCATTTGAAGATGCTGGTAATCGTCAGATAACGTCATACACAGTGACGATTCTGGATGATATAATTGATCGTTCTAGAAAATAGCGTATAGTTTTTCTTTTGCATGCACCAGAAAAATATGAATTTGAATATGAAACAAACCTTATTATAAATCCAAGATTGAGTTCCATTCTGATCATGACATAATAAAACAAGAATTCTATCATTTTTATTAATCCCTTCCTTGCCATCTCGATAATCTAGGCATCCGCCATCTCGATGAATCTGACCCGTTTTACTGAGCGTAAAAAACTAGGTCAAACACAACATAATTATTTGATTGAGAATAAGTATTTTCATCTGTTTTTACCTGATTACCACCTTGTTCATGACATTCATAGCCGATTGCTGGCTTCTGGAAATTCTTGCTCTCAGCATTAGCATCAACACAGTAGTGAACAGCGAGATTTCGAATCTAAACAATTTTTATTTACTGATTAGTTTCGTATAAATCGAGGAAACATGGACTTTGGTATAGTTCACATACATCACCCGCAGCTATTCCAAATTCTGGAATCGTCAGTTCCGGATAGATCTCAGTTAAATACCATTTAAATGATTTACATTTTAATCTTTCTCGGAGTGCTTTCCGTGAACTCACATCACCATAATCCTCCTAAACAAAGAAAACCAGAATACCTGTCCATCCTATAGAATACACGAAAATCGTACTAGTTTATAATTAAGCCTTGCGTAGTAATATTTCTAAATTAATATTAAATTATATTCTCGCTGTTAAATTTAACTAATCAATTTTTATACTTTATATTCATCAAGCCAAACTTCAGCGACTCGAACACAATTCTTCTTAACTGCATTGACACCAGGTAACCATTTATAAGGAGATTTTGGACGAAATACATGACCAACATGTGAACAAGGAGAAATTACCAAAGTCCCTATATGTAAGATTGAATATAAGAACAAAACAAAAGAATCATCATAATTACCTCCACACATCCATATACGAAAAGATATTTCTAAATTTTCACCACCCCAAATATCCATAGCATCATCATCTATTAATCCAACAAAAAAATATAGAAATTTCTCCTTTGGAAAAAAACTCTTGGCATTAAAAAAGAAAATGGCTCAGATTTGAATTGTACGTCCCAATAAAACACGGACGAAATTCACTCATTTACTACTGAAATGAAATCTCTGTTACAAATAATTTAACTTAAGTTTTGAAATAAGATTCATAGACTTCGCATGATTCGATCAAACTTACAACTTCCTAGATCATAAAAATAACTTTTACTAATGGCAAACAGTCCTCCAGCCATAGTCGGCGTTCTTGCTAGGTCGGCTGAACTGTTTCTTGTTGATTGTTCTCGTTTGGGTAAAATATGCCAGTTGAATTGTAAGTTCCAATCAAAGCCACCAACATATATTGTTTCAGAAATAAAAGTAAAAGCAAATGTTGTAGCATCAATAGTGTCAATAACAGGTACTACAACTATTGTGCGATTTTTTGCTATTGGGTCAAGTAATGGCTCCAGCCAACCTTCTGTAACTTCAATATGTGAGTCAAGAAAAACAATCGTATCACTTTTAACAAGAACAGCGCCTGCTAAACGTGAACGTATTAAACCTTCGCGTCGCGGTTGTCGAACTATTGAAACTATTTTAAGAGTTTCTATATAATCATCCAATGGCTTCTGTAAATGACCTATGCAAATAATTCATTATTTCAAATACAAATTTAAAAAAAAAACAAGAACTTGTGTTTTACTCATGTCAGAAAAATCATCAACAAGAATAATTTCTTTTAATAAATGTGGTGGACTACGATCAATAACCGAATGTATTGATCTTAATAATGTTGTCCATGCTTCATTATGAAAACACATAACTACACTTGCCGTTATTGATAGTGCTTTATATTCAAGTTTTCTACAATCCGGATGACGTTCGTCGGGTAGATTGCGATGAAACGGTATTAAATCGCTTACATATGCATTGAATGCATTGTTTTCAAGGCCTTCATCATATTTCTTTAGTTCACTTGGTGATAATATATTTTTATCAATAATAACTGGTTTTCCCATGTCGCCATACCTGTTTGGATTGTTTTTATTGTCATCAATAACAGGTGCCACGACTTGCTTTGGTTCATCGAATATATTATGAATTTCCTCATGTTGTGATTGATTAATTAATTTTATATCTAAACGATTTTCATCGTGTTGTTTGATATTGAGATCTTCAAATGGTTGTTTATCAATAGGATTTCTTTTCGGATCATTGAAATAAAAAAGTATAATTATAGTAAATAACCAAACAATTGCTATATAAAGAGTAGTTTGATAGAGATGACGACGAAAGGAAATATACATATTTATTGGCTAATTTTATTTGCTACAAACATTCTTATTGAAATATAATATCGAATCAATACCTTGAATGATAACAATGAGTTAGATTATATGAAAAACTAAAAATCAGCGAAATTTCCTCCAAAACAGATGCACATAGTAGGCCATTGAATGAGACGTCATGGATGACTAGCAATGGTTACACGAAAGTAATAGTGTATTCTCTACCTCCACGTGTCTCGTACATTCGTATTGTTTATTGAAGTAGAATAGTTATGATGCAAACCTTTGTATGTGTCATCACGTTATTTTATATTCCCTGTCAATAAAGATTGCATAGGAACAAATAGATATGTTAAAATTAAGATAGACATCTAGTACTAATTCGCTCTTTTCCTTGTGTGATCACTGTTTGTTCTCAATACTTGTGATCAATCTAAGTTATGTCACAGAACAACATTCAAGTTTCATTTGACTTTCAAATGTTTCAGAACAAAAAAAAAAGAGTGAAAACAATATGCCAAGACGATTGTACACAAAAGCATCTTGAAAGAAATGGTGGCGAATGTCTTCTATAACTTTCTGTCCTCTTTTTGACCATCATTGGATAGAAAGTAGCATTAAAAAAATTGTTTTTTATTTTTATGTTTATAAATCTCGATAAATCAATAAAATGAGAGATTCATTAACTATATTAATAAAATAAAAACAACAACATCAACAAAAATAAAACTAGTCCTTTATTATGAAATATCTTGACGTTTTGGTGGTCGAGTTGTTGAATTTCTTAGAATACAATCTTTCATCCAATTAATTGATTCATTTATTCCATCGCCCGATAAAGCCGAACAAGCTAAAACCATACAATCACGAACGCCAATTTTCGCTGTTGAACGATTAAATGTACGTTTGATTTCTGGTACAGTCATGCATTGTTCAATGTCTTGTTTATTGCATGAAACTAATAATGGTACATTTGTCAATTGTTCAGATTGAATCATTTTATCAAATGATATCCATGATTCTTCTAAACGCTGTCGATCAGCACTATCAATGATATAAATAATACCATGACAATCAGCATAATATTTATCCCACAAGGACTGTAATTCTTCTTGTCCACCTAAATCCCAAAAATTTAGACGAACATTTCCAATATCAATAGTACCAATATTACAGCCAACAGTAGTTGTTATTTTTGAAGGATTCATCATTTTATAATTAGGACAATATTTCGTTTTTGTTTGTTCAAGATACGTCGTCTTACCGGCATTGTCAAGTCCAACAATCAAGATATAATAGTCATCTTTCTGCGTTAAATATTGATAAAGGCCTGTGAGTAACGTCCACATTGCAAAAACCTTCCCTGCAAGATTAATTGTATGAGATGTGTCTGTCGGTCGATCAATAACTTAAATATTATTAAAAACAAATAAAATAAAATCATTATAGATGTCACTTGAATATGATATAGATTCATGTAGAAATTGATTGATTTCAAACAAAGTACTTTTCAACAAAAATATAGTCGTGGATATTAAAGTACTGCTGTATAATTCGCCTGACTCTTCATTCACATGCATTTGTTAATTTACAGAGAGATCAAATAGATTGATGCATGATTAGAACAATTAGTGAATAGGATAGTATTGATAAATGAATGCTTTTTGCGTTACGGTTAGGTTCCATTTCATCTCTAGGACATTGAGATCTATCTTAACATATTATTTCCTATACTATCATTGGAATAGCTGTAGATTCTTTTCTGCCGATTCCCTATTTAAGTCTTTTTTTATTCAAATCAACGAAATTCTTCTAAGATAAAGTAACTTGGACCACCAACGAGTGATGGTAAGTTATCTTTCGTCTGAGAGACTACCTAGAGTTTATTGAACAATAATAATGCAAACTGAATTCTGTCACCTTCAGATATTAGATGCCAATAATTTTGATACCTGGGAAATTGTTGCCAAAGTCACTTGTCAACAATCATATTCTGTAGATAATGAATTCCCAATTACCACTGATATGCTACACAAATGTGGTAGAGAAAACTCGGATTACTCTCGGTTCGTCCCCTCCGCACTAATTGACTCTCAATTCGTCCCCCAAAAAATTCGTACTAATTCGTGACTAATTTGATAAACAGATGATTTTCAGCAATCAACTGTTTTATTCAAGAGCAATAAAAGAAACAAGAAAAAAAAGTCACTTAACAAGTTTTGTCTTCAACGCGCGTCTGCGTTTAATCGCGAGCTGCATATCAGTGTGTCAATCCACCCTTATGGTCATTAAGAAGGAGCTCAAGATTCTCGTCAATAGCATCGTTCACCTTCTTTCGTTTGCTCAATTGAACTCCCGACTCTTCGGACTTATGATGCTGGTATTCGTGCTCTTCGCGCAATAATTCGATAAAGTTGAAGATGTGAATAGGAGCATTTCTCAGAGCATAGAGAATGTCAGTAGTGAAACTAATACATTACTAAGAAAGCACATCATATATACGTATATCTGCAAAGTGCTCTACGCAACAATTAATTTTCTTATGTTTGCTTCTAATTGTTTCTGGACAGGGATGGACTAATTGGGGGGACGAATTGAGAGTCAATTAAGGAGGGACGAGTTGAGTTAATTGGTAATGGGGATCAACCGAGAGGATCCCGAAAACTCTTATGCATTCGATTAATAAATTGATCTGAATTATCATCTTGTTTATTTGCATGTTCTCGAATAAACGTATATGTCTTCTACTATTGTCGGTCATCTTAGAATAAAAAGCGGTGACATAGATTTTTTTCTCTTCTCCTTTTGTTACATATCCATTTATGTATCATACTGAGAATAAGATTGAATAAATAATGTCAAGTAAAGAAAACATGTTAAAATTCTTTATCATTGATGCAATTGTTTCTTAATTTTTGTCGCATTGACTTCGACATTAGTAGGCTTATTTCTTTCTTGTTTTTGTAGTAATTTATTCAATTGTTTGGGGTAACTAGAATATAAAAAAAAGCAGTGTTATATATTTTTTTGACTTCATCGGTTGGCAAGAAAGAAGAAATCAATTATTTCTTTTCATAATAAGAAGGGTAAAAAGAGAGTCATTCTGCCTCACTGAATTGTATAGTCTTTTTTATATTCGAAATTACTAGTGTGCCCATTTTAATTTTATTTTCCAATAAATCAAGCGACTTATTCCCTATAAAAATGGCTTGTGAGTATCAATCAATAAAACGAAGACGAAGTCATTTTATTATTACGTTCAATTATTTAGTTTATGGTTCGATTTTTTCAAACGAATCGTCATGGGCTGATGGACGACAATTTCGTCCAGCTCGTCATATCGCTTGTCCACAACGATTGAAATATATTCATAGTATTAAATATATAGACTTTTTACATTCAATGTATTCTTTATATTTTCAATAGATATCAAAGATGGGTATATTCCGTATGTTGAAGATTCAGCGTATGTTAATCCATCAACAAACGATGCTTCAGTCAAAAAAACCAATCGTTTGGGTCTATGTAAGTTGAACCAATATCTTTATGTTACTTTGATAAGGAACTTAGCTAAAAAACAGGTCCCATCAGCTATTTAATAAAATTAGCTGAATCGAACCTACAAGGCCATTTTGACGCAGTCAAAATGAAAAGAAAATAAAGCCTTATTCACACTTGAATCTTATTTAATTTTAACTGATAATTATTATAATGCTCACATTGGATACTTCATTGATTTTTTATTTTCGTCAGTAATTAATTTTTTCTCCTGAACAAAGTATCAAGTACGATGAATGTGTTGTTAATAATCACAGGAAGATTTTATATAATCAATGGAGGGCGCTGTAAAGGGTATATGTGAAGTGCATGCATGGAAATTGACATCTTCAAAGTCTAAAATTCAACACTTCTTTTAGATTGTACTTCATTAAAGAATTCTTTTACTTTTATTTTTTTTAATGTTTCATCAATTCAACATGACGCATTTTATTTATCAGATAAAATTAATTAAACAAAGTTATAACTAAATGGTATCCGAGTTGCACTCGTATACGAAATGCGATGCGAAGTAAGAATACGGATCTTCAACTCGAAAAACTTTTGATTGCATTTTATGTCGACATGATGAAATTCATCATTGAGAAAACTCTGTTCTTACTTAGCGATACTTTCTTAAAGACCGATTTCGATTGATCGATTAATTATCTCTATGATTCATTATCTTAGATCAGTTGTAAATGAATAGAGTATAGTCGCTAACGTATGTTGATGGCGTCATTTTAATTATCTCAAGATTAATTCCTTTCATTTTCGTCGTTTTGGAACCATATTCCTGAGCGAACGAACCTTCAGATTGAAGAACGACGAAAACGGTGCGTACGATCTCAAGGAAAAAAGACTCGCGACGGATTACAGAAATGTTTTTGCTTCGTATCGCATTAATAAAACTAATCAAAAGTTATTTAGCCGTACGACGAACATGAGACTTGAGATGCGTAGTTTTTCAATAGTGTTTACGTTTTAAAGATCATTCAGAATTTACAAGAACGACTCTATATAGATAATGCGATGCATGATTGGCGTCAAGAACTGATGGGATTAGCTCGGCAAGTACAATCATCTTTAGTACTTCTTAATGAAGGTCAACAAACTCGACCAAAGCGTTCATCTCGATCCCACTATAGACGAGCAAATAGTTCTATGCCAAATCATCATTTGGAGCAAATAAGTGAAGAAAGTACTCCAAAACGATCACCCAATCGCCATCAAACTGCACGTTATTCGCTGCCAATTCTAGCAAAGCCTAAACTATCTATTGCTTTGAATGAACAAGAATCATCAAATATTAATGAAAATCAAGATCCCGGTATATGGGTAAATTTAGTAAATATGTATTTTTTTTCTCCTTAGTATAAAGATTTGCTTTTGAAGTTACTTCCAATTCTTTGTCATATATTACATGTTGATAATATCAGTGAAGCACAAGATTGGCTTGTCAATGCTAATATTACTGGTTTGCATAAGATGATTTATTATTGTTCTTTCTCATAAATATATTTAATTTCTGTAGAAAAACGTTTAGCAATGGAATTAATTAGTCGAACAATGCAAGATATGCAAAATAATGACACTCCATGCATACCTGATTTGCCGACTAGTGATCAAACTGTAACATCAACAAATTCAAACAAGTAAAATTTTGAGTACAGCTTCTTTTTCTTTATTTTTAATCAAATTTACTATTTTTTTAGCATCTATTGGCCATACAAATTATGGCAACATCAACAACAATCGAAATTAACTATTGAGAATAATGATACATGTGAACGAGCAACATCGCCAGTTCGAATTCTTATACCAGGTAAACGATTAACAACATCAAGTACAAATGATAGATTATCAACGGCTTCTGCATTCATTCGATCGAATCAAAATCTGCAAGCAAGCACAATATCGCATGTACCAGACATATGGCGTCCCTCTACAAGATTATTAACACCAATGACAGCGAATAATAGTGATCGTGCATCTCGTCGTAGTTATCGTATAACTACAACTGCAAGCGTTTCTACAGATAATGCTAATAAGATTTTATCGGCAAATTTACGTGGCAAAACTCCACTTGTCTGAATCAAATAATGTATTGTCAATACTTATTTTCATATAATAAAATTTTCTTGAAGTATAATTTACTGAACTAAAGAACTTTCGTCATTTTTCTGCAGTCGTTTTCTTTTCGATTGCCTCGCGATGAGATTTACAATCAAAAAATAAATGTGTTTGTATCATGGTTTTGTTGTAAACAATGGAAAAGGAATGTTTCGTATGTTGATCACGTTCTATCGCTACTAATAATAAATTTGTTTTGAAAAGAAAAAGGACTTCTGACAATATGTATATAATAATAATAATGATGAAAAGTAGCTGATTTTTATTCATAAGTATTCAATCTTCTGCTTTTTTTCCCGATTTAATTTAATATAGCGAATTGCATGTACAAAAGAGTAATATTTCAATATAATACTAATCGGACAACAATCGGTTAGAATTACTATTTCTCATGTTGATACCTAAAATATAAATATTTTATATTTGAAGGTTCATTTTCAATTCTATTTACCGGCTCTGTTGATTGACTTGCATCACTTCGGATTCGTTCAAGAGCTTCTGCTTGAAGACTTATATTACTCTCACATTTCCATGGACCATTGATGGCTCCTAAAATATCCAATGGAATTAGATTTGAGTTTATTTAATATCAAACCTTTCCACATGCGAATTCTTCCATCATCACCGCAACTGTATAGTGCTGAGCCAAATACATTCCAACAAACTTTCCATACCTAAATGTAAAATTAATTGGTAAATTCTATCGAAAAAAAGTTAACTAGCTATAAATGTTACCGTTGATCCATGATCATCTAATGTAATAATTCTTGTAACGTCATATACTTGTGCTTTATTCTCACTATTATTATTTAATTCCCCTCTGTGTAAAAAGAACAGTTAAGTTAAATATTTATACAAGAAATTTTTTTTCAAGATTTACTTTGCTGGCTTTATAGTAAATAGATCAATATCATTTGAAGCTACAGCAAGTAAATGATATGATTGGCCGAAATTCGGTGCAAATTGTATATCTTTTATTGCATTTTGTAATAACATATTCACACTCGTTAAATCAACTTTTACCGCTTTTCTTGAAAAATCAAAAGATATAAAATTTGTTAAATCAAAATTTCTATTTACCTATCCGGTGCATATTCCCATAATTGCAGTTTAGCACCTGTACCAGCATTACAATCATCACTCCCAACTGCAATCAACGGTGCTAAGTGATGTCTAAATATTAATAATATCACTAAATAAGTTTCATCATAAAATAAAAATATTGTTAATTTTATGCGTATCACAGAGTTCGAGATATCTGAAACCATGACTATATAATGTTCTCTTTTAAGTGAAGTTTTTTCTATATCATAGCGATATAAATTTTTTATCGCTATACCCATATCTTATAATCAAAAGAACAAATCATGATTACGGACTTGTCGGACTGATCTTGGACATAGAACATAAAGTCTCTCGGTTCTACAAGTTCAAATTAATTGTTATAAGAACAAGAACATCATTCACAAACTCAATGAATCAAAGACGAAAGTTTTGATGAATTATTATACCTCGCTGTACTCCATGAAATGCAACTTAAATTCGACATTTTCGTTTGTATTTCTTCTTTATTAACTACATTTGAACCTTGAAAATCATAAATACGTATTCGGCCATCGAAAAATACGTTCGCCTAGAAAAGAAATAATATAAAGCTAATAAAACAATATATGATTGAAATAAACCAGTATAAGGCCAAGATGTTTTGGAGAGAATTGCACGGCTACTGTATTATAATTTGATGAATGTGTACCAGTATCTGTAATTGATCCTCGTTGTTCATTTCCACCAAACAAAAATGCTTCGAAAAATTGATCTGCAGAGAAAACATTGATAACTAGTGTTTTTTCCACAAATAATCATACCTTTTGGTACCCATTTAGTAGCATATTCAGATGGATCATTCGGTCCTGTTGGAGCCTATAGTAGGGAAGTTCATAAAGAAAGAATTTCTCGAGAAATGAAAAATATACTTCTTCCCACACGTTAACAAAACGATCATATGATACAGCTGCAATAATACCGCCGAATTCTGGATGAGCCCATGTTACTCTAGATATTCGAAATTCTACATATTAATGAATATATTTTACTAATTTACCGTGTCATAGGACCCGGTTGTGAAGGGAGCTATGTGAAAAATTGAAAACTAGAAAACCGCAAGTTTAAAATGTAGATATTTACCGAAAAGTAGCCAGATTGTCGCCACGTGTTATCATGCAAATCATAAACCTAACGGAATTCGCAATAAAAAATAAAAACAAGAATTATTTATCTAGAAAAATGAATAACGACTAACTCGAACATATCCGTCACTGGAACAAGTTGCCATTCTTGTTCCATAGAAATTAAATGCAGTATCATGAAGAAAATCTTTGTGAAAGTTATGCAAAAATTTTAGCTCGTCACTGCCCATCATTTTTGATATTCAAACAAAAATTCCAATGAAAAAATAAATTTTACAATATTATATTATATATATATATATATATAGAATTTATTTATCCATTGGTTAATATTATTAATCTATTATAAGTTTCTATATGTTTATCATATTCTTCGATAACTCGAGTCATCTATCGAACAGAGTTTTTGACAGTAATGTACGTATTGCTAATTTAATTTATCTTTGGAATAAATACTCTACTGCCTGTATAGTTCTATCTAAATATGGATAATCCTTGTACGATCGTCCACACTTTTAGTTTACTAGTTTTAAACTACTAAAAAAGTTTATGAATTATAAGTGTCGCAAATGATTTTTGAACAAACAATGATAGAATATATATTTATAGTCTATAGAGTTTTTGTGTTTACTGATTATTACAATATTTGAATCAGTCTATATGAATTCAAAGAGCACACGCTGCAACTTGAGAATTTTCTTTTCACATATTAGAAGGTGGCAGTGCTTTCGTTTCACGTTACTTTCAACCATTGAAGCACATCACATACCAAGAAAATTCTTTTTTGCGTTTCTCCATTCTTTTCAACCCTATTATTATTCAATTCGATGACCTCCAGGCATTTCACGAGCCATTCAATAGCTTATCTTCGCATTACGACTGCCACAACTTTGTCAAATGTAATTGATCAATAAACGAGTAAGTATGGTAAATTTATTTTGGAGCTGTGTTTTCGCTTTTAAAAAAGAGAGAGCGAGTGAGTATGGCCAGTTCTTCGTTAGTTTGTTTTCAATGTCACATTTCGAATCGAGCGCAAACAGAAATTGCTTCTTTTTTGCATAGCGATATTTTTCAATCCTATTCGTGATAAATTTTTACGAGCAATAAAAGAAAAAATGCTTAAGATTTTCATTGGATTTTGTTTTGTGCTGTGTGCTTGGTGCCAAATAGATCCAAAGGAAGCAACACGTCGCTGTCTGCTATGTTGTTCAAACAATACCAATTGTCAAAATGCATACGAGGGGGGTCCAGGTAGATGAATCACAAAATTACGATTGCTTCTCTTTGACTGATTCACATTTTTCAAGGTAAATGCTGCAAATCGCGAATTCACGAAGACACATGTTGCGCATGTAAGTGAGACTGCGAAAAGTAATCAGTAGAGAAAAACGTTTGAATTCAATTGTCGTATGTTATCAACAAATTAAATCAAATTCTTTGACTGTAGTCTACAGCATTAGAATATAGAATTTCCCATTTTAGTCTTACACAAGTTGTCATTGAAAAATAATTTTCATCTATTTATAGTTACTGCAAAATGTGCACCTAATGGTGACTGCTACGATACGGATCCTTCATCTGTTAACAAAAATAGAAACGTAGATTCCAATGAAAATAGTTCAATTTGGGTTAACATAATGATCGTATTTATTTTTTTTTGCGTAAACTGCGGTACTCACATCTTATGTTCAATCCTGAGAAGTTAGCATACTTGATGAAACGTTCAAAGTGAGTATGATTTGATTTGTGAATGCAAGGCAATAGAGATTTTTCTGTCAAAAAAGTCAGATTACATTTGATGACACATCTCGAACGAAGAAGTTTTGCATGTGGATTTGTAGTAGACTTTGTACACCATGGATTTACTTATCGAAAGCTAGAAAATTAGCCGATAAAAAGCGATGACAGAAAACTACGATACGCTCACGAGGGAACGTTTTCAGCTGCGAAATCGCTTTTAAGTCCGGACTCTGTGCACAGGGTAGACCCCAGTGAGGTATGGAAAACCTCAAAAGGACAAGTGCCCATAGGCCTTCTGTTCAGAGTTATAGACATTTTAGTGGAATTTTAGTCTGTGGCATGGTATATGCCAACAAATCGAATGGCGGTGTTTCGACCTGAGATTTTGCCCATAGATAGATCTATTTGTAAGTAGAATGCCGTGAAAATGTCATCTCAGAAGAATGTTTTCTTCTAGAGATATTTAAGTCCCAAAAAACAGTCGTATCCTACGACAGGTGCTAAAATTTTGTGTGTTTTGGGACTTAAATATCTCTAGAAGAAAACATTCTTCTGAGGTGACATTTTCACGGCATTCTACTTACAAATAGATCTATCTATGGGCAAAATCTCAGATCGAAATACCGCCATTCGATTTGTTGGCATATACCATGCCATAGACTAAAATTCCACTAAAATGCCTATAACTCTGAACAGAAGGCCTATGGGCACTTGCCCTTTTGAGGTTTTTCATACCTCACTGGGGTCTACCCTGTGCACAGAGTCCGGACTCAAAAGCGATTTCGCAGTTGAAAACGCTCCCTCGTCAGACATTATGAATTTGAGGAGCTTTGAGATCAAGTCATGTATTTTCTATTTGAATCGATGTGATTCACAGACCTACGTTTTTAAAACTCAATAGTGTTTCAAAGATGACTTGACCAAAAAGCAAAAATAGAGACATTCGATGGTCCTTGGCTACGTCTTGATGACATTGTATCCCCATACATTTATAGCGTCGTGTCACTGAACCAAAATTTTGTTGAAAATTAAAAAAAAATATCACTCTATGTGTTTCATAATTCGAATATAGCAGAACATCATGCGATATAGAGCATAGTTACGTTGAGAAGATATACATTTAAAAAAGCGTTGTTTTCTTCCACATTCTCATCTTATTGACTCCATTCTTGTTTTCTATAATTTGTGCATATTATATTTGTTTGTCGGAAAAATTATAGTTTACTTTTTATAGATCACATCGGTTTCATGGTTTACTATACATTGGCAGCAATAAAAGTTACTAATGAACTCATCGCTTTTCTGTTACTAATATTTTAATATTCTTATAATTCAATTCTTCAAATATAAATTTGAAGAGTTGTATTTCTCTTCTCATTTTTTCCATTCATATCAAGCATATAAATTGTGTTATTGATTGTCTACAATGAAATAATACTGATCGCTTGTGTCTGAAAAGATTGGATCTTATTGTTTCCTGCTAATATTTGCAACTTATGAGAATTGTAGCACCAAATGATTTAATTAAATGTATATTCAACGTGTAATCAAAGAAGCAATTAGTTCATCGCCTACCTTAGATCTTCAAATTAATATATATGATGCATAGAGAAATACAGAAGACTGACACAAATTGATTTTAAAACAAATAAGATCTGTTCATCACAGATCAGAGATGTTCACAAAGCAGAACAATAGCTCGGTACCTTGAAAAATTTTTATATGCGTGCTTTGGTTTGGAAATAACAATATTTTTAGTTTTTTCGAAAAAGTCGCACAAACGACGAGAAATTTAGATGGTATTATCAAAATGATAAATAAGATTTTCAGTCATAATTACGATAGCATGTAAGTTCAATAAAACTAATAACTTTTATTTGAGTAGCCCTATGCAAAATAAAACTATACTAATACCATCACTTTCTACGGACTGGCACAATCATATTTCCATCATCTCTTCTGCTGATCTAAATGAGTTTTCTATTTTATCTAAGTCGAATATCTGTGCAGCTGCATCATATCACTATAGCTATTCATTTAAAACTTCGTTAATGAAAGAAACAAGACTGTTGTATTCTAAATAAAAAGAACACTAATTTGAACGGATTCTTGATCAAACGGGATGCTTAAAATTTTGTCTCAAATTAGCTTATAGATCCACTGTCGAAACTACGCACTTTCGTTCATACACAGATCGATGATTTTCTGTAATATTATCATGTTCCTGGTGCATTATTATTTGTGAATCGTGAGTATATACGGCTGTTTACAGTCGTATAAGAAGTCCGTAATCATCGATCTGGGAGATTTTACAATGCTTGAATAACTTGAAAAAAGTTGTTTGCATCAAATAAAAAAATAATGGCATGTTTATCTCTGTAAAACAGCTAGCCATCTTAGATCTCATTGAAACCTCATTAAAATTAGTAGTTACTTCATTTAAATTTTTGTTTTAATACTTTAGAAGAACCATTTTAGCTCCTTTAACCTACCTGAATACTTAAAATAGTGAATCATTTAAGTTTATAAATATCGTTAAAACGGTGCCATCGAGAGCCTCAATTCTGTAGGAGCGACCTCCATTGCTATTTAATATTGATACTCATGACATTATGTATGATGCAGTTACGATAGTAAGCTGAATTTTATTTCAATGCATTTCATCATTCAGTTTGTTCGTATGTGCGTTTAATATTGGCTGCTGCAATCGCTTTTTTGTAATCGACATTATTCGTCATTTAAAATCATGCGATACAGTTTCTATATAAATGCGCAGTAGATAATCAAATCAAATCAAAATAAAGAAAAAAAACTATGGCAACGTCAAAAGTGCCAAGTCCAACAAACGTGGTTGGAGCTACAACTGCAAAACGAGCAAGAACAAAACTCGATACCATTCGTCAAATTGAAAAGCAAATGCAAAAATTATGGACTAGTTTAAAACTATTTGAAGCTGATGCACCGGATGATATTACTAATAAGTTAGATTGAATATAGTTATATTTATGTTTGCCATTCGAATCGTTTTTCTAGTTCGAATACATTTTTGGTAACATTTCCCTATCCATATATGAATGGTTGCCTTCATTTGGGCCATACATTTTCATTATCTAAATGCGAGGTTCGATATTTAATACTTTGGATTTCTACACTTAGTTAATTTATTTTTCAGTTTGCTGTTGGTTTTCAACGTCTTCGTGGCAAACATTGTCTGTTTCCATTTGGATTTCATTGTACAGGCATGCCTATTCGAGTAAGTTTAATCAATACGATAATCTTTATTTAAAGTTTTTCATCGTGTAGGCTGCTGCCGATAAGTTGAAATGTGAAATAGAAGAATATGGTTTTCCACCGCAATTTCCTATTGATACAAATCAAAAAGATGAAGACGACAAAACATCAACTCCGAAACACAGTGAAAATAGCAAAACCGATAATAAGTCGAAGAGCAAAAAAGTAAATGCAGCTTTTATAATATTGTAACAAAATTAATCAGTTTGGGTTGGTTTTCGAATAGAGTAAAGCAACAGCTAAAAGTGGGGGCGGAAAATATCAATGGCAAATAATGCGTAGTTTGGGAATTAATGATGACAATGAAATTCGACGATTTGTTGATCCGCAATATTGGATTTCGTATTTTCCAACTCATGTTAAACATGATCTTGAAATGATGGGTTTAAAAGTAAATTTTTCATTTCACTATTTCTTTCAAGTTTATTGAAAATACTATTGTACAGGTTGATTGGCGTCGTTCGTTTGTAACAACTGATATTAATCCATTCTATGATTCATTTGTTCGTTGGCAATTTCATCATTTAAGACAAGGTGGTAAAATTCAATTTGGAAAACGGTAAAAGCAAAAATTTTTCGATATCAATTAAACACATCGATTTTTATTCTTACAGATATACAATTTATTCGCCTAAAGACAATCAGCCATGCTTGGATCATGATCGTAATAGTAATGACGAAGGCGTAGACCCACAAGAATATACATTAATTAAACTTCGCATTCATGATGATCATATACCAGCCAAATTAAAATCTCATGTAACATCAACAACGACTGGTGTCTACTTAGCTGCAGCTACTCTTCGACCAGAAACAATGTATGGTCAAACAAATTGTTGGCTTCATCCCGATATTACTTATGTAGCGTTTGAAACATGTTTACATGGCATTCTGATTTCTACGCGGCGTGCAGCTCTTAACATGGCGTATCAAGAATTTACACATGTCTATGGTCAATATACTATTTTAGCTGAATTTCTCGGTACAGAACTATTCGGATTGCCATTACATGCGCCACTTTCACATTATGAAACAGTTTACGTATTACCTATGATGACAATTAAAGAAGATAAAGGCACAGGTGTTGTCACATCAGTGCCAAGCGATTCGCCAGATGACTATGTTGCTTTAATGGATATTAAAAATAAAGTCAATTTACGAGAAAAATACAATATAGAAGAATCTATGGTGTTACCTTATGATCCCGTGCCGATTATTGAACTTGAGCCGTATGGTCGTCTTGCAGCATCTACGATTTGTAATCAAATGAAAATTCAATCGCAGAATGATGGTGGTAAATTATTAGAAGCTAACGAAGAAATTTATACAAAATCATTTTCTGACGGAATACTTGTAGTTGGTAAATATACAAATACTAAAGTATCTGACGCCAAAAAGCGTGTTCGAACGGATTTAATTACAAATGGACAAGCATGTGTTTATTATGAACCAGAAAGAAAAGTTGCTTCTCGATCAAATGATGAATGTGTTGTTGCTCTTGTTGATCAATGGTTTCTTGACTATGGTAATGAGAATTGGAAACAAGAAGTTAAACATGCGTTAGATAAAATGAATGTTTATCATACAGAAACACGTAATCAATTTGAAGGCGTTCTCAGTTGGTTGCATGAACATGCTTTTTCACGCTCCTATGGTTTAGGAACAAAATTACCTTGGGATGAACAATATCTAATTGAATCATTATCTGATTCGACTATTTATATGGCCTATTATACTGTTGCTCATCTTTTACAAGAACCAGATTCTTTTAGTGGTGAAAAATTAGGTTATTATAAACGATTGAAAAATAACGCATCTCTAAAAAAAATATTTTTCATATATTTTGTTAGGTCCAGCACATATTCATCCGTCTCAATTGACGATTGAAGCTTGGGATTATATATTTTTTCCTGAAAGATCTTATTCATCGTTAACAACAGATATTCCTCGTAAAATACTTGATCAACTTCGTAATGAATTTCAATATTGGTACCCAGTCGATTTACGTACAAGTGGCAAAGATTTAATTCCAAATCATCTTACCTATTCGATATTTAATCATACAGCTGTTTGGCCTAATCATCCAGAATTGTGGCCACGTTCGTTTCGTGCTAATGGTCATTTATTATTGAATTCAGAAAAAATGTCAAAAGCAAATGGCAACTTTTTGACATTAATAGAAGCAATTGAAAAATTTTCAGCAGATGGTTCGCTTCTTTTTAAATAATCGAAACCTGATTTGTATTTTTTTAAATATTTTAGGTATGCGTCTGACATTAGCTGATGCTGGTGATTCAATTGAAGATGCAAATTTTGAAGAAAAAATGGCTGAAGCACAGCTGTTGAGTCTTTATAAATGCATTGAATGGGTTAAAGAAGTACTTCATATTGATGCGGGAGATACTGAAGAAGTAAATAATAAATCAAAACATTCATCCGATGATACTACCACAATTGATTTATCAACTGATGAAATAGTTAAAAACAAATTTCCTTCTTCGTCTAGTATCGATAAAACAAATACAGATAGTAATAAACAACAAACAATGAACTATCGAACAGATAGTCAATATAATTATTATGATCGTGTATTCGAATCTGAAATAAATCTTGCGATTCAATTAGCTGAAGAAAGTTATGAAAAAATGTTATATAAAGATGTTCTTAAATATGGATTTTTTCAATTACAAACAGCACGTGATAATTATCGAGAATTATGTTCCGAATCTGAACAAATGAATTTAAATTTAATTAAACGATTTATTGAAGTACAAACTATTATATTGTCACCCATTTGTCCACATGTTTGTGATTATTTATATCAATTACTTTATCCTGGAAAAACAATTATGAATGCTAAATGGCCAACCGCTGGTAAGGAGAATTTTCAGAATCATCCAATGAGAGAGTTAACTTTTATTGTATGATTTCGAAATTGTTCTAAAATAAATGAGAAAACATCGGACTCACATCCAATTGTTATGTGTACTGCAAAAACTGAGTCGGTCTATATATGTTTTGAATAATTCTGAGAAAAAAATTTTTTGAAAAAAACCCTGTACCCCCCCCCCCCCCCTCCCGGATGGTCTGGTTAATACTGACAATTTTTTCGATAACTCAGCCATTTCTTGACGGATCCTTCTCATCTTGGAACTCGACTGAGATATTGATGATATCATTCTGTGTACAAAATTTCATCGCAATTGGATGAGGCTTTCAAAAGTTATCGTGTTAACGGCCGGCCGGACACACTGACCGAATCTAGAGTGCACTCACTTTTTTGAGTACACAAAAAAGTATAAGGTAGAAATTTCGATCAACTCTTCCCGACAGAACGAAATGTGACCTCTGAAAATCTGTCACAAATGATGACAGATTACTTCTGAAAATATTTTACGAACAGTTTATTCTATTTTTATAGGTAAAGTCGATCAATCATTGGTTGATTCATGCGATTATTTAATGAAAACTGTGCATGCTTTTCGTGTTTGTTTGAAATCTTATACAACGCAAAAGATAAAAGCGAAATCGGAAGTAACAATCAATCAACCACCATTAATACCAACACATGCAATAATCTATATAGCAAGTTCATATCCAGCATGGCAAAAATTTGTCATGAAAGAATTAAAAGAACTGTTTCTTGCAAATAATCATTCATTACCTGATAATAAACAATTAGCTGGTCATTTTCAAAATCGACCTGAAATCGATAGCCGGCACCAAAAATACGTCATGCCATTTGTTAATGATTGGAAAAAATTATTCGAAAAATCTAATGATATAACATCATTTGGTCAACGATTGTCATTTGATGAATGTGAAATTTTAAAATCCAATCAAGATTTCCTCCGACGTGCACTGAATATCAAACATATTGATATTCGTTTAACTAATGATACAACGATGTTAAACAATTTCGAAGATATTGTGCCTGGTAAACCACTTATCTATTTTCATCATGAACCATCGATATGACAGAGTATTTCTTAATGTATATATATATATATGTTGTAGGACAGATTAAAATTCAGTTCAGATCAAAATTATTTCAATCGATTTTAATCTGAACTGAATTTTAATCTGTCCTGCGACATATATATATATACATATGCCATTTCGTTTTCTTTTAAATCAATCTTTATTATTCATGAAAAAATCCATAAATTGAAAATTGACTCTGTAACAGGTAAATCCTACTGCTGAAAATTCACATTGCGGGCACCAATATCAAGATGGAGGAAATAGATACTCGTGCTAATTATAAGCGTGTTTATCATTTCTAATTCATTATTGTTCAATAGAAAATGATTTGATTATGAGATTCTAGTTACTAAAAACTTGAAATTATCCAATTTATCAAGATATATGTTTATTATGCCTATATTATTTTTATGAAATCTAATTAACTGAGGTTTCTTATTGCAATATTCTTGATTAAAAGTAAAATTTAGAATATAATGTTTAACCAAAAAATGCATCCGCATCATATTTTTCTGCTTTGATTGGAGTTTTATTTACGTTTTTCTCGAAGGATGCATAGAGACCGACTACTCGTCGTTTTTCATCTTTGCGCTTGGGTAGGTCGTTGAAATGAATGGCTTTCAATGGTCCATATAACTTTTCTTCTGTCGGATGAAAAATATAAACGCGTTTCGGTTTCATGGTTTGACGCAAATAAAGTATTAATGTTTCTTTTTTGGATTGATCATTTTTTACTGAATCATACTTCAGAATTAAATGGAGAACGCGTTTTTCACGAAAGAGTCTTTGTCCAGAACGAAGTACATTCAATTCAGAACTATCAGCATCAATTTTGAGTAGAAAAATTGACGATGGCCATGAAATATCGTCAAGCTGAACAGATTGAACTTTGTAGCTATTTGAATTTGTTGTCGCAGCATTCGAAGATGTGAAGTCGACAGTTGAGTTCGTTGGTAAATCACTAACAACATTGTTATATAGACGAACAGCATCTGTTGGAAATATATTCATAGTAATTGTACTCGACATCAGTTTGATCATGGTTTTATCTGGTTCAAAAATATGCGCAGAGCAACCGCACGCCGTAGCATACAGTCCAAATTCACCTAAAATTGAACGGCAAAAAGATTTCTTCTATCGCATATTTTAACTTTGTACAAAAACGTAGATGTTTCTCAGTAGAATATTGAAATGCAGAAGTCAATCAAAAGTGTTTTTGTCGTATTCTTTAACTTTTCATACTTTTGAGAATATTCAAATCTGATAGAATTAAAATACTATATTACCTAGATTAGCACCGACGTCCGCGACAATTGTTGATCGCCTGTCTTTACATGTATCACGGAGATGTATAGCATCAAGTATTTTGGCTTGTGCTTCACCTATGAAAGGTTTCTCACCTTTTGAAGTGGCAAGTTTATACGATAAAAATTTGTCAATCATTTCAACAAAAACTTCAGAAGGAGTTGTAGTAGTCGTTTCAATAGAAGTTGAGGCTGTTGTAGTACCAACAAATATAATGGGTGTTTCAGGTGTAGAATTCAAGCGTCCAGAAAAAAACAACCGTAAAGTTAGAATGAAGTTTATTATAAAGCAGACGTTATATAGGACAACAACAGCCAATAGAGCACTTGCCAATAGTAGAATAAGATTGAACCTCTTCTTACAGAAAGAAAGACAGCTTTGTAAAATAGATGATTTCGTGTCCACTGAGTTATATCGTTGACGTCTAAGAACCGGCATGGCTAACTATTAAAAAATAAATAAAATCTTCGAATACGATTAACTGTAAAAATGAAAAACATTTTCTTGTAATCATTATAGTTATTAAAAATTTTCTAACTATTTACATTTATCAATAGTAATTAAATAAATGAAAGGAATCTTGATTTAATCCAGAAAAAAAACGAGCACATATATTTTACTGACTTTTGTTCTATGTACTGTTTTGTAAATCAGTTGAATATATTGAAATTTTCCAAGTTGCAATATTGATATAAATCTAAAACAAAAATAACAATAAATGGTGATGCATCTCATGAAATAATCGAATCGAGAAGAATAAAGTTATGAGGAATATTATAACAACTCTACCATTTCATAATGAACAGACATTAAAATAAATTTATATATGACAAGGTCACATAATGATGAGTTGTTAGTCTAATAAACGAAAAAAGTAAATGTATGACATTGATGCCAATGAAAACTGCCGACGTATATCAACGTTTGATGGTAAACATAAATCTAATAATGAATTTACGATAAAAAATAGAACGAATAGTATATGAATCAATACTCGAACACACGTGAAGTGTGTTGATAATGTAAAGTCAGTCATGGTTCACTACATTCACCATTTTCTCTGTTCTTGTTCATGCTGAAGTGTTACGATGTACGATGTACAAAAAGCCTTGCTACATTAAAAGCTACGTTTTTCAGAGGCTCAAGCGATGCAAAAAAATATAAATGAAAATGGAAGTATTTTTCTATGATTTTATTAATTTAATTTTTATAGAAAAACCGATACGGCAACCATTATTGAATTTCAAAACAGCATAAACACAGCTATGATTAACAACTAAATAATTCCTGAGTTTTGTTTTTACTATCTCCTAAGTATAAATAGTAAATTATTGATTAGACTAAAAATTCAGCTTATTCATTTGTATATTTCGACAATTATTTTCATCGTTTGAATTTTTTTTCTACGAAACATAACATCCCCTGTATGTCAGCAACACACTCATTATCAAAATTTTTATGCATATATGTAACTGAATGTTTTCGAGAAAAAAATCATCTTAGCAGATTCTTTTATTCACGCTATTGTGTATCATAAAATAAGTACCTCCTTATACATTGAGTTTTCTTTTCATTGCATAAGAAAGATTGTCGATGTCGAATTTTAAATAGAAAAGAACAACAACCACGAAGTCCGCTTGTGTACAAAGTTGTAAACGTGCAGTTAAAACTATCTACATATATAAATCTTCAAATGAAATCGTCGTATTCTTTCAAGCTCAAGGGAAGATATGAGAAAGGAAGAACTACTGTCAATATACACGAGTCGAATATTCAATCAGATATAGAAATATCCTTCTCATGTTTGATTACTTTCTTTTCGTCAATAAAAATTTTCGATCGTTTTTTTTATACGACGACTATCTGATAAAATAGCAGAACGACTTTAACAATCATACTTATTACTGAGCATTTTTTATAGGTTATTAATTTTATCATCAGAACAGTTTGCAGTGAAACTCTAGCTGCTTGAATCGATAATAACATGCTGTAAAATAAATACTTTTAGTATTTTTTTTCTCAAATGTGAAACTGAGAATTGATTGTTGTTCGACAAAAACACTTCGATATGTAAGAGATGATCTAATGAAAAAAAGTAGGCCTAAGAATTTATCTCTAATTGTTGTTAGAACCAAAAATTGTTTTCATCAAGCAAATTATCATCATGAAGAATTGCTCGTCGAACTAGATGGATTATAAGAACTAACCAGCCTGTGTGGTGCTATTTTTCGTGTCTCGGGAATTTATCTCGTGAGATAGTTCGTTTGTTGGGAAAAATTGTTTCCAAAAAACAATTATTACATTCAATTTCTCTAATGACTATTTCGTTATCTACCGAATGGAATAATTAAAATTAAATTTCATAAAGTAACTACTATTTATGATGGCCTCTGGCTATGGATAGAATAAGATGAATTAATTTTAATGCACATTGTCTTATTTGACCTTAATGTTTCGTAATAAATTAGTTAACATTTTGCAAAAGTGATACACATTAATAAAAATTTCTGCAATAAATTTATAATGCAAGGATAATGAAAAAAGGCAAAAAACGTTTCAGAAAAGGTCCTTGAAAAGAAAACCGACAGTCATCTAATCTTCTCGACCGAATGAAACAGCGGCTCATCAGGTATTTTGGCAGTTGCAACACCATTTTTCTTTATCACTGAAATATAAAACATAAGCCGATCATATGAGTCTTGATTTGAAATAGCTCGATGAATAGTACCAAAATCCATTTTTAGCACAGTAAACGGTTTTGCGACACACTGACGCACCGAGTAATAAGCTTCATCTTTTAATAATCGACTAAGATCAATGCAATCAGGATTTCTTATTGCGTCGAGTAACATAGTCGAACTCGTTGATGACGACGGAATTATATATTGTACTGCATTATTATGCGAAATCGCAGTCAATGGAATGAATACAGTAGAATAATCAATTGTATAATCAAGATGAAACATTTGAGCTTCGGAATTTCTCGGATTTAAAATATAACCATATCCATCTAAAAGAACTTCGTTAACATCATAATACTTCGCTATCCATTTGTGAACTAATTCATCCAATTGACGACTTTGATCGAATTCAACCATGAGTCCTGTCTTTTTTCCGGTTCGTTGCCAAATATTTATCCAAAAAACTTTACGCTCTGATAAAGCTAATCTATATTCAGTATGAAGTTTCAATTGTAGATCAGTGTAAATATCTTGTAATAATGTTTGATAACTACTTGGTAATATTCCATAATGAATGAATCCACCCATGACTGATTCTGTTGCATCATCATAAACGATTTCTTCAGCACTTGGTTTAGTTGTTTTTGATATTTCAATCCAAGATTTAATTATATGAGCACCATATGCCAATTCACACCAAATGTAAAGTAATGCGGGTAAGAACAAAAAATAACGATTTAATAAAAAGACAGTCAATATAAAGTTCGATTCTGTTACTGAAGTCAGTAGACTTGCCACATTGACTAATTCGTAATATCCATAACAATGTTCTAATGTTCGGAAAACACAGTAGAATGGATAAGCAAGCCAAAGAAAGGTGCCTAAATTGGTGTATCCATTTTCCGGCATTGACCATTCAAGAATAAGAAAAAATCCACTTTGACCTTTCTTCAATTTTGGATAGCGAGCTGTGGCTGTAACAGAAAAATCGAATATTCCTGTACTGATTTCTATCGAAGTAGCAATAAGAAGCCATGGAATCACAGCGTAATCATATCGAATCCACCAAGCCATCATAACTAATGTGCCAAGTATATCAGCTAGCCAATCAATGCCTGAACCGAAGATGCAGCATTGATTGCATGCACGCGCGATTGGACCATCAATCCAATCTAATAATATTGAACCCAAAATGAGAAATGCAGTGACTAGATGCCATTCCGTATTCATAGTAAATCCAGCCACGATACACATAACAATACGTATATAATCGATAATATTTGCGTAATTGAATTTTATGTCATCAAATGTAACATGGTCATTTAGGTCGTGCACCATTTTTGTGACCCATTTACCACCACGATAAACGAGAAACTCCTGGGCAGGACGAGCCATGTGAATAAAATTAAATTGTGTCTAAAATGAAGAAAGAGTGTTAAGCATTGACGAAAAAAAAAACAAATTACCCATGAAGATTTAGATATTTTTCTCTTGTCTTCAGCGATACTCACTAAAGAATTTTGAATTATGACTAGAACTTTTAGTTGATCAATATAAAAGTAAACGATATACATATCAATGCTTTCATTTCTTTATTTATTCGCTTTCAACACCAATTGCGTCATCGTCAAATTAACAGAAACAGAAGAAGAAAATAAACCTGCTTACATTAGCAGAGATAACCGAATTCAAGGTTCTATGATTCATTTACTTTGTCCATTGGATAATCTAAAACCATTCATAGAAAAATATATTACGACAGCCTAGATTATCCGATGGACAAAATAAATGAATTATCGAACGTTGCCATGATATCGTGTGAAGGAAAACAATTAGGATATTTATCCTTCTTCAAAATATCATTATGACTCTTAAATAGAGAAAAGAAAAACGTAAAACTTCTACAATACCAAGTATTATCACGTCAGTATGATTAGCTTTAATGATTTGTTATGGCGAATCGTTTTGTTTTTCAATATGATTTTGAACTTATGCAAGACTATGGATGTCTGTCATAGGTTATTCTTATCTGCGTCATTTGTTATCAAATACTTTATTTATTGATTCGTTCGCCCTATTTTATTGTTAGCTTTAATATTTACTGTCTTTGAATAGTAAAAAGAAGAAATGAAAATACTAATATACTCTCTTTTGTCTGTTTTTGTTTTAATGATATGAAGTCACCTGTGATGCACGCGAGCGGCTTTGTTGTCTCTAATTTTTCTAATTTCTAACGATGGATTCACAAGCACACAACTACTTTCATTAATAAACTTCTCAAAATTGTGTTTTTATGACCTTTTTCTAGCGATGAAAACGTTAAACGGAAGCATGGAGATAAAATAAAAATGACCTTTCAAGCACATGAGATTTGTAGACGGAGCATGAGTAAAACAAACCTACGTACTTCAAAGCTATCTGTACTTTATTACTCATATCTATTTTCTCTATCAGCTCTTAAATTATTTTTATACTATAGAAAAGAATCAATACACTAGATTACTCACATAAAAAAAACAGATTCCCAATCAATTGATTATTTGAATAATAAATGATTAAGAACGATGCGTTTTTTTTCTAGATTTACTGTATCTGCAAATCAAATAAAGTATATAAAACAGTCAATACTACATCATCGAATCTTAGCCATTAAATGAAAAATTATCGGAGTATCTGTTAGCAGAGACCATTGGGATCATTGAGGTCATAAATAAGAAGTATTTACATAATAGCTACTGTGTACAGAATAGCTTGTTTTTTTTTCTATCTTTAGATCAAAAAGAGAAAGAAAAGTATTTGAAGAACTTTTTTTTTTTGTGCGCAAATACAACAAAAATAATTACCGGTCTGCAATTGGTTGTAAAGAAGTAGGAAAAGCATAGGAAATAGATCATGTGTAGCATAACGACTCTAGTATTAAAGTAAGAGGTTATATTAACGAACAAAAGTAGATTTTGCTGGGGTAAAATCAACATAAATTACGAAAAATACTACGAGTAGAAAGTTCACTGTATATTCTCTATCAATAGTAAATCTACGATAACAAAACTATTTTATGATTCAAAAATTTTCATTTTTATTTTGAAGATAACCATTGTTTTCTTGTATCATATGATTAAAACAAAATATCTCGCAATTATTCGATTAATCACCAAGATTTTTATGGAAGGTATTACTGTACTTTATCATCAAAACAAAAATGGAACCCATCGATCTTTGTTTTATTGACGCAAGTATCATCAGAATATGATATCCACATGCACTAGAAAGATTATAAAATGGGCCTTGTACCGACTATCGATAGTCCTCTATTGTAAAAAATAAAAGAAGAAATAGCAAATCGATAGATGGCCACTATTATTCGATTTATCATGACTCGGGTAGGATTTTTTTTCGTTCGTTCTTACACATATTACGGTGCGTAGAAAGTTGTTTAGATACGCTGTGTGACGGGTTAACTAATGTAAGCATTCACTGTTGCTACACGTATTAGCATAAAATAATTCTCACGTTCTATGATTTATGTTACAATGTGTGACACATCTCTCACCGTGAAACAACATCGAGTTTTGAGAATTTAGTAGTTTCAATCTATCCTTTTATAGGAATATAATTCTTTACTGTATAACTACGTAATTACTAAAATTGGAGGTTAGTTTAATCTGGATTAATAATACCTATTATTGAAGTTCAATCGAAGTGTGTTTGATGTCGATCAGGCCGTTCAAGATAGTATTTCATTGCACATGTATCAATATTCCCACATTTTCTCAACTACTGATTAATACAGAAAAATAATCTACGATAAAAGACATGAAAATGCATTGAATCAGTGTTTCCAACCACGTCGCGTCTATAAATCTAGAAGTGTTGCACATAAACGATAAATGAATGGCTAGACAATGCACAAGGACACATTGAAAATACAACAAATTTCGACTGCGACACACTTTCACGCTATAGCTTGGGATACAATCGCGTGTAGTAATAAAGTGCGACACAATCGCATGCGATACTTCAATGCGACATATTTTGTTTTAGTTAGCGATCACCCTTTGCATCCTCATTTTTTCTCTTTTCTTCTTCTTTCTATTGTGTTATTTATTTTGTGTGTACATGAAAAAAAACGTCCGATGATCTCGTATTATTTTTTGCTGTTCTTAGCTCATTCGTCCTTGCCACTTCTCTACGCCCCTCTTTGTATTATCCTCTTATGCAAGGATATAATGTGTCGAAGTCTATTGGTTAACCGTTCACTCATCATTTCTTGTAACGCTTAAAGCTACATATTTAGTGCCTTTTCCGATGTAAAAAACTTATGAACTCTGTCATTTATCTTCTCTCTTTTTAGATTCTTTCTTAACTTTCTAGGTTTAAGAACACGACTAGTTTGATCGACATCAAACACATACAGGCCGACTAAATATTAATATGTTACCAACTTGAACTCGACTTATACAATTTTTTCCATGCCGACTAAATTCGAAAAGTAGTATTTAGTCGATTGTACAGTAAAATAAAAATTTAACGACTATGACGACCAGACGTGGATCACATATTCATAATGCATTACTTTTGTCATGACGAATAATTCGCGTTACACTTGAGTGCGTTGAATGTTATGTTGCGAGTTAAGAAATGTGTAACAAAACTTATGCTAGTATATTTTTATGAAACACAAATGTAAGAATAAAGCATGGTCAACGAGATTCTATTATGTTGGATGATTATAACGCATCGAGGATTCTTATTCAGAAAGGACTCTGACAGATCTATGAATATAATTTTTGAAGTTTCGTCAATACGGGATAGAAAATATATTGCGACGTTCCGACAAACTACTTGTCACAAGTATGCTTAATAAAAATTAAGAATGAATTTGCTTCTAAAACAATGTATGAAACAAAATAAGTTGGACGCTTCATTTTCTCAGGATTATTTCATATGAGAAGATTGGAGCTTAAAATTGTTTATACAATTTAGATACATTTTATATAGACATAGATAAGAAGTAATACAGTACTGACCACTGTTTCATAAAAACAACAAATGAGAAACATATTTCGAGATATGATCGGATTATTTGATTAAGAACAAACAAATTCGGAAGTCGTAAAAATGATCAAGAACTGTATCTGCATTAGCTCTTAACTTTTCTTGCAGAATTCAAATAAGAATTTAAAGTAAATTAACGCTCAGTTAACATGTTAGAAGCGTTAATAGAGATTTGCTTTACTGAACTATATATTTCTTTCAAAATTTTGACTCAAAAAATATTATTTCTTCAATCTAATGAGTAGAATAATTAATTTTACTAGTAACGTAAATTAAGTTAATGCGGGCTGCTTTTGTTTAGAAAAAAAAATCGAAAGATTTAGATAGAGTTCAAAATGACGAGTTAAATGATAATGAATTCTAAAATTACTATGCACACACGATTCACTTAATTATGAGAGTCGTTACAAATTGACCTTCGCTTGATAGAAGAAAAAAAGGCAGATATATAGCATGTATGCATTCGAAATGCAATGATTTTGTTCTACGAGTTTGTATAATTCTCTACAGTTAAATAGATTGTATTCTAATCAGGGCTACCATTTCTCATTTTTCAAATGGTGTTTTTGAAAGTTCAAATGGAGTACATTGTCTGCCTCCTAAAATAGAGGACTTAATTGAGAAAACCGATCAAATAAATACCACCATTAGGAATAGAAAAGCTGTTAGCGCAATCCCTCTGGGATTAAAAATGTGAAACACAACACAATCATTGCAAAAAATCACGTGGAGATGGTGTATTCAAGGGAGTTCTTTGTAGATTTGGTGAGACAACTCGTTTGCCGCTACCAGTGATGATCTACTCTAGGCTGGAACAGCCTCTCTGATGGGCTGTGCTAGATCTGAAGATAGACTGTCACGCTGTGTGATGGTCTCTGAAGATCTTGCGTAACAGTCTGTGATGGGCACTCAATTCATATGGTACTAATTAGTCAATTAATTAAAACGTATACTACAATATGTAGTCATTTCTGAAGACCCTCTGTCACGGTCTGTGATGTCCAATTACGTAATTGAGGCGTCGGTCACGGTTTTCAATGGTCTCTTAAGCTGTCTGTCACGTTCTGTGATGGGAAAATTACCTGTCGGTGACGATCTGTGGGGAGCGGGGGGACAAAATTTCTACCCTTAACACCAACATTCACAAAAGTCTGACTTACATATAGAACAATGAGCAAAATATTTATTAATTCGACATTCTCTAAGAAATGCTATATATTTAGGATCTCTCAACCAGTTTTGGTTGAGCATACAACGTCGTTTTAACTTTGATGAACATTTTTTTCTTTGATATTAGTAGCTGGCTTGTCTTGGAAACTGGAAAATTCTTCACTTGCTGTTGCTTCTGAATCGTCAGAAATTTCAACTTCATAATCTTTGTTCAATGCCATGCGAAAATTATCAATAAAACCAAATACATCGAAGGGAAAGTCTAAAACTCGATTCATTTTTGAGACAATATGTATTTATCAAACTTAATTGAAAAAAGTAATGAAAATATAGGAAAGGAGAAAAGGAAAAAATTCAATAGAATTTATTTCATTATTCATAGTGAAAATAGTATGTAAAACCGAATAATCAAAGATGAAATTAAACGAAATGGGTGCTAATATCTATTGGTCAGTTATTTACCAATACATTTTATTATACATTTCTTTATGAAAATGAGAAAAGTCTAGAAGAAGATAGGTTGTTTTCATTAGAAGATTAGGTAGTCGTATCGTAGACTTAAAAGTCTAAATGGGGTACAATTGACAGCCCTGAATTCTAATAGCTATACGGCCGATCTCTAGAGGCTTTCTTCAGGAGAATTATATTTTGTGAACGCTACGATTATTTTAATAAAATTGAACCGCAATCGAGGAATACAAGCCTTCTATTGACCGCTCGATAGATAGGAGTTTACGTTATTCAATGAGCTGTGATCAAATTTCGATTCATCGCTCGGAAAGTCAATTATTAAATATCATCAAAAATTTCTATTTTCATAGACTTAAATTTCGCTAATATAAAATCTAAAAATACACCGATCTGTGACTTCAAGCCCATATAAAAAAATTTTACCCAAAAAGGTGACTATTAAGTACTTTCAATAGTAGGTTTTACGCAGGGCAAAGTGCTTATAAGTGAACCTTTTTAAGTACTTTTCATACTTTTTGACTAAAAAGTACTAATAAGTACTTTTGAACGTAAAAAAATATGATAAAGTAATTACTATATAAAGTGGAAAAAGGATCAAAATGTACTATAAAAAGTGAAAAATAGAAAGAGAAGTTACTTTATGTTACTTTATTACTATTAAAAGTGACTTTTGGTTCACTTTTGTTTTACATGGAAAACTACTTGCCGATGAACTTGCATCTATAATATGACATTTTAGAATTATAATTTAATTAATTGAGATAAAACTTTTCGATAGTACTCTTAGCGTCGACACCGCCATCGTCAAATCAATTTGTTTTGTCATTGAGAGATGTTCTGAGAGATAGTCCATCATTTTATAGATAGATGTAGCAAAATTAGAAGCATACGATTAATAGAGCTAATTATGTTTTTAGCTAAGTACTTATGAGTCTCGTAAGTCAGACATCAACATGATTATAATTGAATACATATAAATTGTAAACAAGATTTATTTTCTACTATAAATATCTTAGAATTCACTCAGACAGACTTTATACAACCAACGCTGTCGGATAAAGAATTTAAGTAGGACTTTATTAGAACCACGAACTTTAACTTGAGCTACATACAAATACATTGTAGTGAATTCCATTTTAGAGTTGAATCTTTTACAAGGTTTCTATAATCGACTGATGATCGATTCACGCGGTCAATGGAGCGCATCCGGAGTTCGGATTCGTAAGATAATTATTATGAAGCTTTAACACTTAAATCTATTTACAGTAGCTATATTCGGAAAATTTACCTACCAATGGCATTCTCGTACCGTCGGGCATGCATATCACTGCGTACATCATCACATAAAAAAGTACGACGACTACAGAAAATGTGACCTCTATTTGTATCAATTGCTGAAATTAAAAACTCGTGTGAAACAACGATTTTTTCAGCACGACGATGAGGCGGAGGAATAAGGTCAAGATGTTTTCAAAGTGAAGAGAATAAATCCTTGAAAAAGTCATATATTTTCCAATATTACGAGGAAGCATGTTAAACTCACCTCTCACTCGTAGCACATGACTTTGATGATTCCACCCAGCACAAAAAACAATATTTCTTAATGTAATTAAATAATCGAAACTATTTTCAAAACATGAGTAAATATTTCTAGAAAGAGGATTTCACATTTAGCAATTGTCGCTGAGAAAAAAAACTAATGTTCTTCATATTTTCGTAATCTAAATTCAATCGCAACTTACTCAGTTATAAGTGTTGCTTTCTTAGAAGAACGATTTCAAGAACAATCGATTGGCTAACTTTTATGGACTACATAAACACTCATGGTTGGGGTCCTAGCGATAGTCTAATCGTGGCGATGAATACAACAAATAGAGTTCTATGCTCCTTTTATTTACATGCATAACGATGCTTCGATGTTGCTAGCAAGCTCACGAATGATGAAACGAATACAAATACTGTCGCCGATTTATTTTTGTTTTGTTAAAATAAAATAGTATCTGATGAGCAAAAAATAGTTGGTGACTAAATTAAACTGATCAACTGACTATAAATCAACCCGCCATAACGACTGTTGTAGTGAAAAAAAATCCTCCCAGGCGCTGCTATAACTTTTAGAAATGTCACTACTTGCTAAGGCGTTTTCTGACGAGCATCTTTTCTACGTCTCGTTTACTTTTTAAGTAAATCCAATAAAACAAAAAGAGTGCATTACATTACATTTCAGTTGAAATGTTCTCAACATCGATACGAGCGTAGATCTTGTCTTCATCAATGCTCACAGCCGGTACTCACTAACGAGCTTCCGCATATAGAAAAAACAAGGTTTCATGATAAAAAATATCATTGCATGTATGAGCTTCTTTGTATTTCTATTCTTGTAGCACAAACTGCATCGGAATATACTAATTACGAGCTAAATACCTAAGACTCTTATGGTTTACTTACCTTTTGGAACATTCCCCTCGAATAAACAAATTTTCCTTTTATTAATACATCTTCTCCTAATCATCAAATAAACAAGTCTAATACGAGTGTAAAAAATAACTACTATGCAAGAAGAATGAAAATGAATTTCTCTTAAATTTGTACATTAGAATTCAATCAGCACTTCATTTTTCAATAAAACGCCATATCAAAATAAATAAACGTACGAAAAATCGAGGTTTAATTCGAAATTTTTGATACGATTCCTTCACAATTGATCAAAACAGTCCAGAGATAATGAAAAATAATATGAATGAAAGTAAGACTGAAAAGAATGATAATAATTTCCATGAAGATAAGTGATGCATGCTGAAATTTAAACACGAATATAATGGCCCGTATTGTATCAGGAGCACATAACAAGTAGAATGGAATATATCCAAAGAAAGAAAGAAATAAGATAAGAATAGGATTATTCTAGACTGCTGATGTACAATTGATTAGTATAGTCGTAATATGTATTCAAAATAATAAAATGATCAATGACTCACATAAATTTGTCATATATATATATATATATAATTCTGATTGCTGTGTCAAATTTACAAAAAAAGTTTGTTTGATTAAGAGAACTTAATTAAATCAAATGAGAAACGGATTCTTTTTTTGTTAGTTTAATCTATTGATCAATGGAAAAGAAATAAAATCAAAGCTATTCAGATTATCATTACAAAATAAGTTCTAAAACTTGTACTAAACAATTCATGTAATCCATCTTGTAACTAATATTGTTAAACACAGTTTTATAAAAACATGAAAAAAACATCCTCTCTAGTCTAATCAGCGTTCATCAGGAACTTTTAAAAACCTACTAAACAATTATAACCTTGACATATTCACACACAAAGGCAAGCCGTTAGAATCTTTACAATGCAATATAAATCCATTGCAGATTCTCAAAAAAAAATATAATGTAGACGGAGCGAGTAAACAAAATAGGGAATGTCGCGTAGAAAAAAAGAATGATACTTTCATATCGCACACTTTTCTATTGCATTTCCCTCGACATATTATTACATGACAAAATAAATACTGTAATAAATTTGGTTTTGGGCATGATGGTATTTTCAGGGGAAAATCACAATATCCCATATTATTAAAATATTTTATTTCAAGATAAGCGTTTGCTACTAGCAACAATTTGTCTAAAAAAAAAGTATTTCTGACAACTAACATTGTTAGTGGTTTGCTGGATATTCTCATAATGTAGTTAAAGCAATTGTGTTCTTTAAATCGATAGCATTCAGGCTTGCAATTAATAGAAAACAAATAAAAAACAATGCATATTTCATTTAGAAAGACAATTATAGATTTAGTTTTTTTTGTGTACTCAAAAAAAAAAGAGTACACTATAGAATCGGCTAGTGTGTCAGGCCGTCCGTTTATTCGATAACTCTTCACAATTACATTCGATTGAGTTGAAATTTGTGCGCAGAATTGTCTCATCAATATCTAGGTTGACTTCGAAGATGAGAAGGATCCGTCAAGAAATGGCCGAGGTATCGAAAAAATTATCATTTTTGATCAGACCATCCCTGAGGGGGAGTACAGGGATTTTTCAAAAGCAAATTTTCTCAGAATTATTCACAACATATATAAATCGACTCAGTTTTTAACGCTGATTCCGAATCTGATATTAGTTTTGAACTAAATCGTAGTTTTCTAACGAAACATCGCCTGAAAAACGTCTCAAAATGCACAAAAACTGCATCCAGAAATCAAATTGTCTAGTTTCTCATGATAATTTTGGTGTTCAGACATTCTAGAATGACTCATATGTCCCACACACTTTTTACAGTACACATAACTCTTGGATGAAATCCGAAGTTTCCACATTTATTTATACATGAGATCAGCAATATTGTCATGTTGTGTAGCCATGCATTTTTCTTTCACTCTGTCGTTTTTAAATCGCAAATAGAATAAATTTAATAACAAAAAAAAGTTAAAATTGATATTTATTAAAGTATTTCTTTTTGTATTCATCTATTTGATTGATTGATAGAATTTAGATAGTCTTTATTTTCGTATAATTAAATGAAGATGTTCTTCCATCAATCGTACTTTTCTACGACTATTTGCAATAAAATCGGCTGTTGTGTCATTGATGCTGATCGATTCAATAGAACATATTGATCCTATAAATATAAGTGACTAGTCGATGGAGTTTTATACGTGATAATAAATCATTACCAAATAGAAAAATTGCATCTTCATCAGAAACACTATGAGGTGGACCTATGTATAATTCAATATGAATAATTGAAATAAATTAAATAATAAATCAGCAACCCGTAAGCTCAGGATCATCGTAACACACAGCTACAAGATAGAGTCGAGCATGATCAGGTACCATTAATCATAAAAGATTATTGCGATATCTATGATAATTAAACGATTCATCTTGAAAAATATTCAAGTTTATACAGACTGTTCGCGATCTGATAAATTAACAGCAGCTAATGCTGCACGCTCCCAAATCCAATCAATAGTTGGTCATGTTCTAATAAGAAAAACTATTTAATTACTTATAAAAATAAATCCATTGAATGTTTTACTGATTAAATGTAAGAAAATTATCTTCAAAAATAGTCACAGGATAGTCAATACCCTATGTAAATAAATCAAAAATAATGAAAAGATAACTACGTTGATATTTAATATTATTCTCTTGAAAAAATGTTTCAATACCTACTTGAGCACATTCAATACCAATCACTTGATGTTTACTGTCCAATACTGCTTTCATATCTATTGTTTTACCACTTAATAGAAATAATATAGATTGTTGTTATTCGACTGAATTTATTTTTGAAAGTCCATATTATTCAAAATCCCTTCGTACAAGAATATATATTTATATTAGATAAAGATTAATTGAAACATACTGATTCATTGTCAACCGATGAAAACCAACTTTATTACTACACCATTGTGAATTCCAGTAAGTTAAATCTTTCTTTTCTGATGTTTGCTGTTGTTGCGCTTGATTGGTTAATTCAGTCATTGTCTTTTTATTTCGAAAATCTAGCAGCGATGTTTATTTGTTCAACAGAAGGAAAAAATGTTCTTTATCTTAACAATGTGTTGAATAGGGTGTCCTTCCACAAACTACGGAATTTGTTTTTAGATATTTAACAAATAGTTTAGCTGTAGCAATGATTTTAGGTGACTTTTTCGCTTTCATATGTTGGGGAATTTCTGATATGTGACTCGTACTGAAAGAAGTTTCATAGTTTTAGATAAGAAACTGAAATTAATGATTATTCTATCATGAAATTTTATAATGATGAACTATGATCAAGGTTGCCACCTCTTCCGCTTTTTGCGGAAAGTTTCCGCTGTTCCGCTTTTTTCCGCTTTTTCGTATAAAACGTGTTGCATATCAAACACTACGTACAGAATAATATTTGATATTATTGAATCAATTCTTATTGTTCACAAATACCGTGAGCCATCATCCTTTTATGTTTTGAAATTTGATGAAATGAAAAGAAATCCAATAAATATGAAAAAAAAATGCCTAATATTCTCAGAAGCACCACAAATCTGCAACAATATAAGCTTCCGCTTTTTTTCCCGCTTTTTCTGTTTTTCTTTCCGCTATTTTCCGCTTTTTAAGATCAGTTTTCCGCTGTTTGGACTTCATCAGGTGCCAACCCTGACTATGATTCTATTAATATCTTTTCCAATAGTGATAGATAAAGATTAATAATCTTATTTTTTTAGATTTTATCAAGATGAAACTTCATTTTGAATTAAAATGAAATCAATTGGTGAAATGCATAAATAACACTCTGAATTATTAGCACTAAAAATTAAATTGCAATACTTTGACAAATAAACTTGTGTTGGCGAGAAAGAAAAGTAAAGCCAATATGGAAAGTTGGTAAAAAGTAGTAAACTAAGAAGAACATGACCTTACAAGAGATCTCATATTTTTGTCATTTACGACTATGAATTTAGATTTAGGATATAGATACGGAGATATTGCTCACTTATACCTTGATCACCTGAATCGATTGGTTAAGTGCAATCAACAACAGTCTCATTCATACAGATAACACAAAACGCTAGAAAAAGATTTAAGCTGTAAAGAAAATGTATGGATTTCGCGTTAAAAATTTTTAAAGGTTTCGTTTTTCTAATAATAAACTTATTTTAATTGTAACTACTTTAAACCTATTTCAGATCTCTATTAGCTCAAATTAATATTTTACATTATTACATCCGTTTTCGAATAAGAACATTTACAGCTTGTATTGTCACCATAAAAAATACTGTTATGACTGAATTTGCAATTTATTTCGATAAATATACTATCTTTTCTGTCTATCAATATGATCATCATAATATTTTGACATCCGACAGTGAGGAGCAAACACAATGACAGGATTATGCTCTTGTGTGGTTAGTGATATTCATAGGTAACAAAAAGAAACTCTCAAATGAAACAGATTTTCAAATAATTAGTTGTGACCTTCCTGTTTGAGCCTATTCGATATCACTAAAAATTCGCCGTGCTTGTTCGAAGTGACTGTTTCTGCATGATGTTTAATCTGCCATTGTCGTATAATTCCTGATTGTGTACATAAACGTGTGGTTTTGATGTAAACGATACGGTAGTATGCTGTGAAGAAACAGAATAAAGTGTAATAGCATCGAACAAATATTCATTCTATCAGAAATCATCACAATACTAGCGTGAAATTTCCATATTCAATGAATCATCGATCTGCTCAGACTGTTTACTTAGAAATAAAAAATGGAGCCATGAGTATATTTACTTATTATTATTGTCGCAACGTCGAATTTTGTATCGTCACTTTCTTTCCAGTTCTTCAATCGATACACAACGTGCGCGTTTTCTTTTATAGCTTTTCTCTTGCAGCCATTGTTTTTTTTACCAAACATTCTAACCTTCATATTTATTTTACGTTTTAACAACAATTTTTACCGGTTGTTAGAATGCCTCTTCAAGATGTTATAGTTATTTGGCTCGATGGTACATTTAAAGGCGGTAATTATCGATCAATGAGAAATGAATTCGATGAAAATATTACTGGTTCAGCGCCGTCATCGCCATGTTCTGATGAAATTGATGATTTAATTTGTAATCAAACAAAACAAGATCTAATAATAAATGGAGTATTAGTATTCACTGTTAAAACAGTAGAAGAAGCAATTGAAACAATTGAAATTTATTCACAAGCAAGAGTATTATTCATTTCATCGGGTTCGCTAGGTAAAGATATTGTGCCAAAAATAGTAGGTCGATATCCTCTGATTCATTCATTTTATATATTTTGTTTTAAAATGTTTCTTCATACTGATTGGGCATCAGAGTATATTGATTGTCTCCAAATGTTCGACCATCCAATTGATTTACTTGTTCGTCTTATGCGTGATATTTCGCTTTACTTTATTGAACAAGGAAAAATACAATTGGAATTTGATGAGCCCGGAAACGCATTAACATATTTTAAATATGCCTGGAATCTTGAAACAAGAGCAAATACAAGAGATAAAGTTCCACCAAATACTAAAAATCAAGAAGGATTTATTATGCAATCAGATTACCGTGCTAGTCTCAATTTATTGGAAGGTGACGACGGGCTCATTCGTCAAGCTGAAAAAAGGCTTTAGAAAGTTAATATATATATATATATATATATTAAATGATATAAATGTAGCGTTCTAAGAACTTTGGTAGCCGATGTACTAAATGAAAATAGAGACCCCTATTCAAAATGTAATAATTTATGCGTTAGTTTTGTACTTTTATTAAATAAATAGTCCGGATTGATACTATTACATCGAATGAAAAAGTGCTTGATCATACGATCTCCTGGTTGCATTTAATAGCCGGACTTTCAACAGGCTATGAATACTCAAACATAGACTTTTGAAAGGCATTTTATCCAAAAATACAGGAACTCCGCGTTAAATTAAGTCACCTTGCCTCTATCACAAGATCTATTTTTATATACGGAATAAAAAAACTCAGGTCTTAACGTGTGTCAGATGTTTCTGCCAAATCTAATGATTTTAGAATTGGAATTTGTAGTAAGAACGTCCCTAACACTTGCTGCTGCAAATCCATGTGGATCGATTTTAAAAATTGTTCTACTTGCAGAAGTTAAAAAATACATTTGGATTTAATCAGTTGCGACCGATAATATCCTCTTTAATTGAAAATGATTCCCAGCTATCTAGCATGTGAAATGTTCGAGAAATCAGAAGTGTACAAGAAAGAACAACATTTTTATTTTAAAGAGAAACACTGAACAAAGATGAACTTTAGAAATTGAAATTTTTTTCTTGATAACATAATGTATGACGGATTGATATATTGAACATGTTCGAGCGTGCAGAATACGTTCTTCAACGCGTAGCCTATAAAACATGTACTTTAGATTTTGTTTTTTGGGATGATCGGCATCATTTCAAATATTTTATTCTACTTTTAAAGTGGTAAGATTAAAAAACAAAACTTTTATTTATTTTTGAAATCTTGAAAAATCGATTTTGCATTGCAAGTCCGAAATAGATTCATCAAGAGAAGATCTATTTCTATGCCGGGGAAACTATTTGGGTGGTAAATTCCATATTTCATAAAAAGGATCCCATTCAGAATTTGTATGCGGTTCATATTCCATCTTATTAGTTAATTCCTTAGCAATATCCGGCGAGAATATAGTTGCAATAAATGCATAAGTCATATCCATGCCAGCTGCAACACCTGAACTTGACCATATGTTACCATCTACGACCCAACGTGCTTTTGGAATCCAATCAACAGTCTTATGAACTGTTGTCTGTGGCCAAGCAAATTTGTTTGATGTGGCCTTGCGCCCATCGAGAACACCAGCAGCTGCAACCATCAATGATCCTGTGCATACAGAAAGTAAATACTTCACTGTTGGATATTGTTTCTTAATGAATGAAGTAACATCATTGGAAATTGTTTCATCTCTCATTCCCAATCCACCTGGAATTAATAATATATCAAATTCGGGTGCATTATCAAATGTGTGCGTAGGTAACATTGCTTCACCAATACGATCAAATTTACTTTCGGGTACAGTATTTTTAGGTGGCGTTGTATAGACTGCATCCATAGTCTTTGCAATAATACTCAACTCGAACGGTTTTATCGCACTAAGTTGATTGAAAAATTGCATGGGACCAGCGACATCGAGTAGTGCGAAGCCAGGAAAAAGGACCACACCGAGTCGTGTTTGATTGTCAGTCATACTTATGGTCTAATGTATATGATGGAGACACGTTAGTTGATTTTTTATGTGCCTAACATTTTTTCTTTCCTTCGTTTCTTTCGTCGAGATGACGGCAAAAAGAATGGAGCGAGCGACAGAAAGAAAACTTTTTTCTTTCTTTTTTTTCTGAACTGGCTCTGTTCTTTATCACAAAATCAAACAGAAAAAAGAAATGAAACTAACGATAGGCTATTGTCTAGTATTGGAGAAACACTTTTTTCCTTCATCACGTGTACACGCAAATGAAAGAATAAATATGACTAGTCGGTTCTAATCTTAAACAAAAAGAACTAATTATGTAATCTTACCAGTATCTGTACAATAACAACTTCGAAAGCTCAACTTTAGTTCTGTTATTAGAACGTATGAAAGTTGGATTCATTGGAATAGAATATTTGTTTTCCTCTTAGCATAATGTTCTTAGCTGGTATCGAATATATATATATATTTATTTACAAAAGCATATGGGCGAGGTGTATATATTTGTCTTTGTTATCTATACAAGAAAAACTTAAAATATCTAATATCTTATAGTTCTATCCCGAAGATTACCTTGTGTACGACCTTAAGAATAGTTAATAGCAGCCACCAAAGAAACTTATCTTGATATCGTGTTAAAATTGATAAAATAGAAGGAACACATTTTCTTTTGCCTACACTTCTTCTGCTATATAAATACGCCTCATACACGACAAAAGCAAGTATTGTGGTCAAAATGATTGTTAATCATCTCCTTGCAATTATTTTCGTGGTTGGCTTTTCATGTACGTTTGCGGCCGTCGTTGATTCAAACTCGAATAAGTTTTCAAAACTTACGAGTAGGACATGGGATGAAGCAATTAGTATGGCTAAATCATTTGTTGCACAATTAACACTAGAAGAAAAGTGCAACATGACATCTGGTATGGGCGGTCCATGCGTTGGTAATGTTGTGCCTATACCACGTCTTAACTTTAATGGAATGTGCTTTCAAGATTCACCATCTGGTGTTGGAGATGGAGTCTTACATTCAACTGCATTTGCTGCTGGTATACATATTGCAGCAACATGGGATCGAGATCTATTCTATAAACGTGGTGTTGCAATTGGTAAAGAATTTCAAGGTAAAGGTGTTCATTTTGCTTTGGGTCCAATGATGAACATTGATCGGAATGCACGACACGGTCGTAATTGGGAAGGTTTTGGTGCTGATCCATATCTTTCTGGAGAAAATGCATTCTATTACGTTCAAGGTATTCAAGATCAAGGTGTGGTTGCAACTGCAAAGCACTACATCTGTAATGAACAAGAAACCAACCGATTCTATGATACACCAAGTAACTCCAAGGGTTATTCAGCTAATCTGGACGATAAAACAATTCATGAAATTTATCTGTGGCCATTTGCTTCTAGTGTAGCGGCTGGTGTAGGCTCTGTTATGTGTTCATATAATCAAGTCAACGGTACGCAAGCCTGTCAAAATGATAAAACATTAAATGGACTTTTAAAACAAGAACTCGAATTTCCAGGCAATGTCATGTCTGATTGGGGTGCAACTAAAACTGGCGTCGAATCAGTGTTAGGTGGTTTAGATATAGATATGCCAGGTGGCGATGGATTTATGGGTATCGCACTTGTTCAAGCTGTTAAAAGTGGAACGGTTACTGAAGCAAGAATCGATGATATGATCGTTCGAGTTCTAGCACCTTATTATCTTCTCGAACAAGATCAAGGTTATCCATCACTTGATTTAGATCGCGATGCTATTGGAGATAATTACAATGTTAATCGAGAAATTGGTACTGCTGGTATGGTTTTACTCAAAAATACAAATAATGCTCTACCATTCAATGTTATGACGGATAAATACTTTTTTGTTTATGGAACAGCAGCAGGTCAATCCGATGAAGGTTTCGGAGCCGGTGGTTCTGAACAACATGCCGGTGCTTTATATCAAGGTGGAGGTTCAGGTTTTGTTGAGCCAACATATGGTATTGATCCTCTAACTGCACTGTTGATCAATGGTAGAGATTCACATCTTCAAATGCGATATATTACTAATCAAAATGATTATCAAGCTATTAACGATTCATTCAATGCTCGTGGTTTTGGTAGCGCAAAATGTCTTGTTTTCATTAGCGCTTGGTCTTCCGAAGGCTCCGATAGAAGAGATCTACATGCTTTAAATAATGGCGATAAACTTGTTCAAACTGTTGCATCTCGTTGTGCTAACACAGTTGTTATCGTCAACAGCGTTTCACAACTCAATCTTGAAGCCTGGATTGACCATCCGAATGTGGTAGGTGTGATCTGGTCAGGCATGCCCGGATCTGAATATGGACATGCTATTGTTGATGTTCTCTTTGGTAATTACAATCCAGGTGGTAAACTTGTGTTTACATTAGCTAAAAACGATTCTGATTATGGTACCGATATTAGCGAATCATACAATTCCAATTATACAGAAGGCGTTTTCTTAGATTATCGTCATTTTGATGAGCATAATATTGTTCCTCGATACTTTTTTGGATATGGTCTTTCATATACGACTTTCGCCTTCTCTAGTCTTGATATTTCAAAAGCTAGAAAAGGACCACATACTATATCATCACAATATCGACAACATCGAATGAGACCTTACGCTAACATAGGTACTTCATCACTCAATGAACCTGCCTATGAAATAACATTCATTATTACCAATACTGGTAAAATGAGTGGCTCCGAAGTAGCTCAACTCTATCTTACGTTTCCAGCTGAAGCACAAGAACCACCAAAATTACTACGAGGTTTCGAAAGAGTATATTTAGTACCTGGTGAATCGAAACAAGTATCATTTGTATTAACACAAAAGGATATTTCCTATTGGAATGTTGTTAATCAAAAATGGACTACGGCCTCTGGTACTTACATCGTTTGGATTTCAACATCAGCTAACAATCTTGATATTAAAATGCAAAGTTCTTTTCATATATAAACTATTTTTAGAAATAGAAACAAATTTTCAATAAACACTCATATTCTATAGATTTTTATTTCCCGTTGAATCTAATCATTTCGATTGTATATGCCAATGATTTGATTTGATAGAAGAAATTCAAATGAACTCGATATTTTAATCACATCTAGCTCTATTTTCTTTTTACACTTATTAGTTTTCATATTAATATTTATTATAGACTTATAAATTTACACGAAATCATCAAATTTCTGTCTAGAGATATGAGTACACGGTATCGTATATACTTATTTGTACGTGTGTCACTATTTAAAAGTAAATAATCATAGGGCGACATCTTTTCTACCAATCTCTATATGTAACTTTTATGAATAAATGTTTCATTTTCTAAAGAAATAATTTCAAGATTACTTTCAGATTGAATTCAAACATAAAATGATTAATATCAGTTTCAGTTGAGCCTCATCTGTTGTCTTGGAACTAGACATGGGCAGACATATGTCCAACGTCCACCTTACTATGCCCATTGACCGATGCGCAAACATTACAACAAGCTATGGTTAGTTTTTGAATTGACTTAATTTGATTGTCACTTTTTTTTCTATTTCAGGAAGATCCAAAATTAGAAAAACAATTTCGAAGTCATCGTAGTACTGTTACATCGCTTAGTTTTTCACCTAATACAAAACAAATTGGTATGACTATTATTATTGTTGTTTATACAATGAAAAGGCTGACTGAAAATCAAATGAATGATTATTTCTAGTATCGGGAAGTTTGGATTCGTGTCTTTTTGTTTGGCCATTTAAACCGCAAGTCCGTGCATATCGTTTTGTTGGTCATAATGTATGTAAATAGAATCTTCTTAATATCATATATGTCAAACTTGAATTCAATTGAAATTTGAAATTTTCAACTTTTAAGCAAATAGCATTTTGAAGAATCGCGACTCACACATATATCGCTATGAGTTGAAAGTTGAGACTTTCTATTTTCAACTGAATTCAAGTTTGACACTACTGCTTAATATTGCAGCTGTATTGTTTCGTTTGTGTCTTACTCAGGATGCTGTCTATTCTGTATGTTTTTCTCCATCGGGTCATTTAATTGCGTCAGGTTCAAAAGATAAAACTATTCGTGTTTGGATTCCAAGTGTAAAAGGTGAATCAACTGTTTTTAAAGCTCATACAGCTGCTGTTCGATGTGTTGATTTTTCAAATGATGGCCAAAATCTACTAAGTTCATCAGAAGACAAAACTATCAAGCTTTGGACTGTTCATCGACAAAAATTTCAATTTTCACTCAATCAACATTCAAATTGGATTCGATGTGCAAAGTTTTCACCGGATGGTCGATTAATTGTTAGTTGTAGTGACGATAAAACAATTAAACTATGGGATAGAAATACGAATGAATGTATTCATACATTTTACGAACCACATGGATTCCTTAATAGTGTTGCCTTTCATCCAAGTGGAACTTGTATTGGCGGTGGTTCTACCGATGCAAGCGTAAAGATTTGGGATATGCGAACAAGAAAATTAATTCAACATTATGCAAGTAAGAGTAAACGTAAAAGGATCAATGATTAACAAAAATTGAGTTTTTAATAAAATGAACTAGATTTGGACGAAAGAATCGAGCGTATTTTTAAAAATTCCTCGGTAAAATGCATTCAATTCTATCTCTGACGGAAACTTATTTTTACTAATTGATAAATAGACGTTTGAATGTTGCGTATGGTTTTCTTTGTTACTAATGAAAATAATTCTTATATAGATCATGTAGCATCAGTGAACAATATTTCATTTCATCCAAATGGAAATCATCTATTAACAGCAGCAAATGATGCTACTTTGAAAGTATTCGATTTACTTGAAGGACGTCTTATGTATACTTTACATGGTCATCAAGTAAATTGAATATCAATTTCATAGAATCTTATTATTTCTTGTTTTCCATTTCTATCAGGGACCTGCAATGAGTACAGCTTTTTCAAAACAAGGCGACTATTTTGCATCAGGCGGTCAAGATCAACAAGTACGAATTGAATGTACAAACGCTTCGGAACATGTTTTTTTTTCGAACTTTTGTTTTTCAAGGTATTAATTTGGAAAACTAATTTTGATGCTAATACTCCATCTATTGATCCAACTAATAATAAATATGCAAATATAACGGATTATGCTACAACATCACGAACTTCATTAGAGGATCAACAGAAAAGTAGATCGCAAATAACATCGTTACAAGCAAAGACTCAACCAGAAACAAGCGATGAAAGACAAGCACGAAAAGTAAACATTACAGAAAAACAGACTTAAGCATTATAATAATGAGAGTATATGTTAATAGCGTCATTGATTAATCTCGAATTTTCTGTTAGAGTCAATGTTTACGAATCATCTAACATATATATATATATATATTTAGATTGATGTACGCAATGGAAAACCTTCAATGTGTATGTTCAATGATGATGATGATGATCCTGTGGAAATAGCAAATATTGAATCACAACATAAGAATGGCATTTCCCGAGTAAGACAAAAAGCTTCAAACAGAGATAAAAGTTTCCGGAACAACACAAAAAATATAGAGAATAACTCGAGCAAATTTCTTTGTCCTACGCAGTCATAAACTATTTCATTTCCTGTAGAATAAAATTTGTCTATAGATTAGTTTTTTCACTACGCATTTTTTCGTTATAGCCGAATAGTGCTTCGCTTGATTTTTCAAATTCAGCTGCCATATCCAATAGAATAAACCGAAATACTCATTCGAAACGTGACATAGAAATGAGTAATCAACAGTCTTGTACATTTCAATTGGCAAATACAATTGATCATATTGTTCAGCAATTGGATGTTTTGACAAAAACTGTATCTATACTTGAAACAAGATTAACAATGACGGAAACCAAATTACAAGAAATTAATAATGCAGAACCAAATATAAAATAAAACGTACAAATTTGTCAGATATTTCTTTTCTTTTTTTCTTCTTCTATATCTATATGAATATCTCAGTGTTTTGTTTTGTTTTGTTTTTATCTTCTTTTTATGTTGCGTGAATTTTAGTTACTATCGATTGAAAATGTTCGTTTTTTCTTTTGAATTTTTACTATGGTGAAAATCACCAAAACCTAAATGCTAATTAATAATAATAATAATAAAATACAACTAAAATAAGCAATCCATGGGATTTTATCAATGTAATCAATCTGAAATAGTATCTCTTCATATCTGCACAGCAGCAACAGAATTATCATCGCTCATACGACGTTACTTAATAAGAAAACTTGATGTGATATGTACGGAACTAATTACTGTCGAGTATATTATACACAGCAATATACAATTACGATTCCATATGCACTGTTCTATCCATTACAAAGAAAAGATCATGCATTATTTGCATAACTCCGTGAAAATATTATCCTCTGGTAATACATTGTATAAGACAATTAAGTATTAGAGATTGTTACTAATCCATTTTCTTATACTCATTAGAATCTCGTCTATAATCGTTATTACAGTAGTTTAATAAAAATTCAAATATAGTGAAAAGTTCAGCTTTTCAATCTAGCCGAGTTTACATACTAATGACTGTTGTTATTTTTAGCAGTCTAACAGAATTTGTAATCATTATAGAAAATAGAAAGAAAGCATTTTTTTTTCCTGAGACGATTCTTCACGGAGATAAAGAGTATAATTTGTTTCTGTTGATGGAAAAAAGCGGACATTTTCCTTGTTTTATTAATGAAGTCTTAAAGGGTAACTAATCAATGTATTGTTAGCATAATGCACTTTGTAGTAGGGCAATATCCATTCTTGTATATATGTGAACAATAATAGCGTACATGTCAATATTATCTTGCAAAAAATGGAATATAAATAACAGTCTTGCTTGCTATTTAATACAGAAAAACGTTTTCGTAGAAGATGACTGATTACTAATAACATAACCTTCTTCAATCATGGTTATTTTGATTATGAGAACAAATTTGAAATATAATATTTATTTAAACGATGTTGCTTCGCGCAATGAATACAAAGAGTGTTATTTTTCTTAAAAGAAATTTATTTATGAAGCCCGGAAAAAAATGCATTCTGTTTTTCAAAATGAAACAAAAACAACTGTAACTTGAGATTTCATCTTGTTAAAAGTCAAACGAAAATTCATTAAATTGTCCGAGTACTTTGTATTGTGTTTACAAAATATTTCTAATTACGGACGAATAAAAAATACAAAACACAAACTACTTAGAATTAATTAACTAAAAACTGCAGTTTGATTGAATAAAACGATGTATTAGTCACATTGCTTCAGCACTAATTTGTTTTACTGAAAGCAAAAAACTATCTAATCAAATTTACTCTTATTAATTAATTCAATTATTCGGAACACAACATCACTCACATATAGATCGCGTGTTGTATCCTTTAATGATCCATCCGATGCTCTAATGGTCTGACATTTCTTTTCTTTGTCGATATACTCGGTTATTAATTATTTATTTAAGTCAAACGACAATTCTTTTCTGTGGCACTCTTACATGTAGAGATAAAAGAAATGAAGGAAAACAAGAAAAAGAAATTTCCCTTCTTTAATCTAAGCACTAGAAGAAGAAGAAAAAAAAATAAAGAATCTACTTTTGCAAAAATCTGCAAAAAAAAAAGAAAAGACAAAGTTTAAAGAAGAAAAACACTACATTAAATCAATATTCTTCATCTTTTCAACGACATTTCACATGATTGTATGTTTTTTTTTGTATAGGTGCAATCGACCAACTAAACGAATGAATTCTTATCTAATCATTATAGAATCCTAATTGAAAAATCATATCGATTAAATTTGATTGTCGTCTGATATAAACAAGAATATTTTATTAGCATAATTTTATGCACTTTCTTTTCTGTAATTCTAAGCATCAATTTAATTTCAGAACTATCAAAAGAAGAATTTTCGACTTGAAATAACCTTCAAACTGAAATCAACAAGCAGATGATTGATATTCGCTGCTTAATGCTATACATGAAATAGGATCTTGATTGAACACGTATGAATGATTACGTGATCGATAATACCTAGAGTAACATATTAAATCCGACCCGTTCTATTATTTTTTTTCTTCTTATATGTATTTGATATTAATTCTCTTGGCGAACTTTGGTCCTAGTATAATAAACGAACCATAATTATTTATGTCATAAACACTGATTTAATCAAGACTAACTGAAAGGACATAGACAAATTGTTGTGTCAATTATTGTCTACTGCAACTCTTCATGTTTGGATATGCCAAAAAAGCTCTTAATGACAAAAAACAGACAAATTCAGAGCTACTATATCAAAGTCACACATTTGTTCAGTATCAAAATCTAGTATAAAATAGAAAACTATTGGTATGATCATTTTAATCACTGCATTATTTCGTTGCATAATCATGAAAAAACTAATTTGGTAAAATAGCTGACACTCAAATCACAAAAAGAATAGATGTTTCTTAAATAGTATTATTCAATCTGAAAAATTCGTCAATTTAAGATGATTAAACATGCAAGAAAATTTAGATGAGACAATAGTTCAAAGTGACATGTTTCATGTTGAAAGCTCGTTTGTTTTTGCTTCTTTTTTTTTCTCATTCGACATAAATATGTATGTGTGTAATTCAGAAGACAATAATTTTTCATTAACTATTACGTGCTATAAATTCTAAATTTGGTCATAAAAAAAGAATCTGACTTTCAAATTTCACTTTGAATGAAATGTAAGTAACTAATCAGTTTTTATTTCATCGTTCTATATCGTGATCAGTGTATTATTGAAAATGAAAGATAAGAGGGTTCTTTTTTCGAAAAGCTTTTTTTTGTATCTTTCTCATACAAATTGTTTGTTTTATTTCGTCTCTTTGTGTATATGTCTTACTCAAAATCATTTCATCGCAGTCTGTTATCAATGTGCAAAAAAACAAAAGGAAAACAAAAAGAAGCCAACGAACAGAAAAAATAGAGCCGTATGTTTTTTTTAAGACATGAATATCTCAAGACATACGTACAAAGAGACACAGAAAAAAAGGCGACTGTCTGCCTAGCACGGCCAACAAACAAAGAAAAAAAAGACAACAACAGCCAAAAAAAAGAGCGACGATCATGCACACGCACGCACACACACACGCACACACACACACACACATCAAAAATGGCACTCGAGACGAAGTGAGAGGAAAATGGTGGTTGAACAATGAACAGAAACTCCACAAAAATTCTCTCATTCAAGCCAGAAGATCGCGAAAAACGACAAAGAGAAATAGGGAAAGGCAAGAAGAAGAAAAACGAAAAAGAGGCAAAAGATTCAGCTGTTCTATCAATAAGTCACCTAAAAATAAAACTGTAACATCAATAAAAATTGAAATTAAACAATTCCTTTTTTTCTTTTCAACATACTTATTGATCATGTTGCGGTTGTGATTGCGGTTGGGCTGCTGACATATAATATGCATGATGTGGAGGAGGATTAACAACACAATATCCTGGGTGTCCATTTGCTATTTGTAATTGTTGTAATTGTTGTACAGGCAATGGTAATACGAATGCGGCACCATTTTCAGATGATGATTGTAAATAGGACGGAATAGGATGATTAAAACCTTGTAGTCCTTGTCGTAATTGTCCTCCGGGACCAAACATCGGATGTTGAGGTGCTTGTTGTGAATGAACTGGAACTTGTTGGGGCGATATTTGTGCCCATGGAGAATAGATAACTGTTTGATGTTGATACGAGCCTGTTTGTTCCATTGGTGAATATAACGGAGGACCACTTTTCATGTCCTATGAGTAAGACAAAAACAAAACAAAAGTAAGGCTTAATTAAATAGATTTTATTTTCATGGCACATACATCTAAACCCGTTTTGTATAATTTTTTATTTTTACTAGCATCAGCAAACTTGACTTGTACAGGTTTATCGGTAAAATCTATAAGTAAATAATAAGTTTCATATTTCAAAACTAATAGACTAACTTCGAAAAGTTTTATTATGGAATTGATCGATAATTTCTTGACATTGTTTTCTATCATTCATTCTTGCAAACCCAACTCCGCGTGATTGTTTGTGTTGATCACGTAAAATACGTACACTAACAACAGTTCCATATTCGCTTAATGCTTGTCGTAAATCTTGTTCAGTCATATTTAGATCCAAATTAGCAAAATATAAATTTGTTTCATCTTGTTCTTGTTGTTGAGACGACTAGACGGTAACAAAAAAAATTAAAATATAAATCAATTTGTTTTCTTTTTTTTTTTCATTTTAATATTTGTCCTCATTACTTTAGCTAATTGAGCTGTATAGCCTTTCTTTTGTAATTCAGCTATTGCGTTTTGGGCATCTTCATGGGATTCGAAATCAATAAAACCAAAACCTTTACATTTATTTGTTTGCTTATCAATGATTGCTTTCATTGATTTTATTTTGCCACAACTAGACAATAAAAAAGAAATATAAAATAATATAATATTAGTTTTTTTTCTCGTTTTCTTTTATATATATATATATATTATTACCCTTCGACCAGCGCAGCAAGATCTTTATCAGAATACTCTGCTGGCAAATTTTTTATGTACAAATTTGTATCACTAAGAGTTGGTTGTTGGGCATGATCAAATGGTGATGATAAACCATTTACATAGTTCGGTCTTTGCTGATCATATGCGCCAGCATGAGTTGCTGGTGCCGGTGACTATAACAAAGAAGAAAAACAAAAATAAATCATCTATATAACAAATATTCACAATGGTTTATTCTAATTTATAATTATTGTCATTTATTCTAGATACGAACCGCTCCTGTCAACAATTCATAACACATTTCAGTTGATGTTGGCATTGGTATAAACTGTGTTCCCGTTGGTGCAGCGGCATTCCAGCCCATTAATCCGAGCAACACAACATCGCCTTCCATGTCAGATACGAGTGAAATAACAATAACGATAATATCGACAACAACAACAACAACGGTATATTTATAGTTAGATATCTATGGTCTATAGAAAAACTAACAAATCGAATCAAACAAGGAAAAAAAACGACGACGATGATGAACAACTTCAAAATAAAAGAAAAACATGTCTCTACAGACCATGTATATCAGACACAAGCACATTATCGGTGCTTAGCTTTGACTGATTATAGAGTAGCACGGCAAGAGCGAACAACGTTGCTTTCTTTATTCGTTTGTTCGCCGCCCTGATTCCGTTTTCTTTTTTTTTTATAGACAGAGTTATAGAATATTGAGAGAAAGAGAGAAAAGAGTGCGCAGCAGCCAAATATAATCACAGTAAAAACTCATCGATATAATAAGCCCCTTTGCGCGACTGGCACGAAGCGAACGCAAAGAGAGAGAGAGAGAGAGAGAGAGAAGGGGGAAGAGAGGAAAGAATGAATGAATAATAGTAAAGCGAATACTGTAGAAACGAGCCGAGGCCTAAATATTTGCTTTGCCAATGGGCGACAACTAACAAGAGGAATGTACATATACAAGATGGATTCTATTACATACACATAAACACGCACGCGAGAGAAAAAAGAGAGATTCTTGACACATCCTTTCTACTACTACATTATCTCTGATAGTAGTCGAAGAGAAAGAACGAATAAACTACTTTTCCTCTACTTGCTCATCAGTGATGAAAACTATTCGATCAATCACTTAGACACTTTTTCTGTTATTGGATATATATATATATATGTATTGTATATCTTTTACTTTAAAATATGGCATAGAACGCGACCCGAAATATTGACCCTATCAAAGCTGTCTACAGTACACACACACACACAAAAAAGAGAATTGAAGAGGAAAAAAACAAATCGAATGATGAATGTCTTTTTCTTCTCTTGTGTATGTGCTCGAACACAAGCTCATGATTTCTAACTCGTGTTTTTTATATGCACTGTGAAATAAATGCTTATACCAACGTCAGCTCGTTCTCTCTTTGTATTTACATATGAATCGAATCCGCCCTATTGAAAATCGCTGAACGACAAGAGAAGAGAGAAAGCCGGAGGTGGCCCCCGAATTAATCATAATCGTTTACAGCCACAAACGTCATTCTTTTTTCTTTTCCTACTTCTTCTCTTTAGTACTACTAACCAAATCATTTATGTTGATACTATTTGCTACATTCTTTCTCTTCTCTTCCTGTCCGTGTCTGTCTGATTGGGAATAAATGCATAGTCAGTCATAAACAAAAGAGTCTAATCAATTCATACTGAACAACTTCAAAGTTTTCTTCGTATTCTTCTATCTCATCATTCTTAATTGGCGTCAAATATTTAATATATACAATTTCCTATGGGTATATAAAACCGTAGAGAGAGAGAGAGAGAGACAGACAGACAGACAGACAAACAGAAAGAAAGAACATCGATATTCTTCTAACATCTCATATAAAGAAGAAAAAATGCTTCTGACGACAGTTTGCCTGTGCGACTACGTCATAAACTAGATATCAGGTTAATCGTTTTCGATGAAGTTACTACTGCCGAATAATAGGATTTCTTTTTATTTATTAACATATTACAGTTGATGAATGAAATGCATCAAGTAAACGACCCAACAGCTCATCTTATCAATAGAGTTTAACTGAAATATGATCTCTTCTTCTCTATCTCGCAAACATATCATTTTAGATACGATGTCTATGTAGATGTGCAACTTAACCTGCTGCATCTTCTCTTTTCTTTTCTTTTTTTTATGAGATAAAGATGCACAAATATATACATACACAGTTAGAGTCCTTCCTTCTTTTCTTTACTCTCCTAATGAGACATTTACTGGGGCGATTACTCGACTCAATTATTGTCTTTCAAGGTTACCCATGGATTGACCCATTAATAATAAAAGAAACAAAAATTCGGGGGACTTTTAAATGAATCGAATAGAGATGAGTATCCATTATAGGAATAAATAGGAATTGTAACGAGACCATCAACAGTACAATTGGCGGAGGCGCCTTCTCCAATCATCTTCTAATCGAACAACAGCATTCCAAGATCGGCGACACCCGAACAAAAGATAAAATAACCGAAACACACATGCAAACGCAGATAAACGATCGAGATAGTAATAAGCACTATGACTATGCTCGATCGTTCAATTAGACAGCGCTTTTAGAGAATATTCTATTTGTTAAATATAAAAAATAAAAATGAATGAACACTTACAACATAACCACCATAAGCTTTTGGTGAATGTACATTGAAATTGGGCGCAATCTGTCTGGAATTTTCCATTGAGTGTGCTGCCAATCGTAAATAGGCATCTCGTTCAGCTGCTAATGACATATTTGCTGTTATTGTTGAATGTTGTTGTTGCACGTGATCAGTTGAATGGGGATCAATAGGTAAATGATGTGAAGGAGGTGTTTGTGATGGCTAAAAGGAAATGATAACAATATAATCACTTCTGATCCGAGAAAAATACGAACTTCGTGTCATTCACAATCTATACTCGTACCTTTTTCACACACACACACACCCATGATCTTTTCTAACAAAAATTTCTTGGTTAATAATATCTACGCGTACGTTAGAATCAAATTAAAAAAAAAAGGAAAATTTTTTTAAGTGTAAACTAGATGACTTTGTCATTGTTTTTCTTTCTTGCTATGTCGCAATAAAACGTCATTATTTCTTTTCTTTATATATAGGTTTTTTCTATTCTTTTTTCTGTCATACATACACCAAAAAGGTCACATATGGAAAAAACAGCATATTGTGAAGTTTACATGATTCATCATTTAACCAATGATAGTTATCTTTTCCAACCCCTTTCTCTATATTCGAAATCTATCAAATAAGAAAATATTTTTCTTTTTATCTAACACAGTTGGAAAAACGAGATAATCAACACCATACACAGAGGGATAAAACAACTCGCTTATCTATGATTTGATTAATGATCTATGCGTTGAACTCATAAGCACAACTGGCAGTATATCTACAAACATATTGCTCATCACAAAACAGCTTAGCCTAAAATCATTCAGCAGCTATATTCAATCAACGAAAGTCGGATGCTTTTTTTTCATTAAATACTTTATCCACAGGATGTATACTTTCTAATAGTCCAACTGTGAACTAATGATACAAAAATAAAATACAATATTTAATAGTATTCAATTATATTTTCGTTCATGTTTTTACGGACAGTAGGAGGAGTTATAATATCGTTGCATTGGATAAATAATGAATACCCAATGATTTTAACAACAATATCAAGAAAAAATTTTCTCTTGTTATGTGTTACATCAATAATATTAAAACGATTGAATTAAAAATAAGAGCAAAGTAAACAAATAAGAGTTTCTTTTCTCTATTTTTCTTTTTGACATGAGTTAAAATTGTTTTAAACTCAAAAGAAAACAATTTACCTGGTGAGCAACGATAGTTGACATTTCTTTTCAATTGATTGAAAATATTTCTTGTACACTACTATGTATATGTATATATGTATATATATCTATATATATATATATATATATTTATGTATGTATATATGAACGTGCTGAGGTCGTTGTAAGTTTCTCCCCTTTTTAATCTATAATAGACAAAAGCACATCTCTCGCTCTGTCTCTCTCTCCCTTTTCTTGTTCTCAAGCTAAATCAAGCGCACATACAACGTGAATAGACCGATGAAACGAAGATGCAGAAGAAGAAGGAGAAGAGGAGGAGGAAGAAGAAGAAGAAGAAGAAGAAGAAGAAGAAGAAGAAATAAGCCGACCGAAAGAGAAGAGAGCGAGAGAAAGAAAGATGGCGGTCTGTTCGTCGTCACACGATATTTACTCATCCCCACCAGCCCAACCAGTCAATGGCGACCATCAACATCGTCGGCGCTATTGCACGCAAGATTAGCAATATACAAGAAAATGAGAATAGTGAATTTGATGAAGAGAGAATGAAAGAAAAGAGATGAACATACAGACCAGTCGACACAATGAACGAACAGTAGTCGATTTCCGTTCGTACTATGTGCTTAAGCTAAAGGAAATGGAGTGTGTAGCGTGCAATTATATAGAAAGTCTTTTATAATAGCTAAAGGTGCAATAGATTTTATTCACATTTACTTTCTCTATTATAAACTGACAGGTTATTCCGCACTCGATCCGTTTTCTTTAAATGACAATGTATTGACAATAAAAACTCTTCGCATACGACGAACGGAACAATCTCTTGTTCATGAAACAGTTGTTGCCTTGCTGGATAGAATGGAGACAGAGAGAAAAAGGAACATGAAAATGAAGAGGTTTTCTGCCGGCAACATATGTCTTTTTTTTCTCTCTTGTACTCCTTCTCTCGCTATTTTTTAGCATCTACTAACTCGATTAGAGAATAAAAAAAAATTATCATTTTATTTAATATTACATTCGCATATATTTGATTAATAACGAATATTCTCGTTTTTATTTTTACTTACTGTAAAGATAAAAGCACTTGAAGAAAAATCGGAAATAGATCACAAGAACATTTCCAAAGAGGTTAGAAATCGCGCCGTGTTATTGTTATTGTCGTCGATCGCACTACACGCCGCCACTAACACTAACGCTTTAGTAAGAAAGGAGAGTAACAAAAAAAAAATCTATGAAGAAACGAGCAAAATAGAGAATGAAAAAAAAGAGAATAAGAACAAAGAGTATCTTCTTCCTTCCTTATACGTATGAATATGTCGACAGCCTAAACGCAAATACACTGCATTCTATTATATGTAATAGCAAACATTTTTCAACAGACTAAAAACCAACCAATGTGTTTCTCCATGTGAAACTATGCTGTCTCATCTGGCATATTTCATACTTGATGATATTTATAATTCATTCGTATCAAAAGCTAATAATGATCAATCATATATCAAGGTTAATATAGTAAAAACTGAAAGAAATCAAAGGAAAAAAATTGGTACAAGCAACGATCGTCAATCGATACAACTGAGACACGAAAGTTATTTTTTTCTTTTTCTTCTTTTCCCCCCTTTACAGCTGTTGCCATCAACACACTTGCATCGCGTTCTTAAACTAGAGAGATAAAATTTATATGTATACGAATGCCTTTGCGCATACATAGAAAAGAATTTTATTAGTTTTTCTTAGGCATGCTGCTGTTAAAAATGAGAAGGTGTACTCGGAATAGTAGTAGTATTAAATAAATAAAAATTTGCAACTCTTTGCTTGGACTCATTTTTTTAGTTCGTTTTGTACGAAGAAAATCAGCAGAAAAAAAAACGAGAAAAAGAGACATCGTCAACAAATGAGTTTATCGAGTGGGGCGCAACGATGAGAAAGTAGAATACAATAAAACAGAAAGAAAAAAAAGAGAAAAATAAAAAGTCGGTGTTTTTTCGTCAGGTGAATAACGAACGCGAACGAGAACATGATTAATTGGCAGGTATTTTTCATTTTTTCTCTACCAGATTACTATTATTCGGTTACTGTCAATAGCTAAAAGTTTTAAACGGTTTAGATGAATCCTATTCATATAAAATTTCATAATCATCAAAAGCTAGCGGACTTGTCCCAACGTCATGATCTCGACTTTGATCATTATATATATAAATATAAATAAGTTTGCAATGAACTCGGGAAGGAAATTAATTCATTTTCGGGATCGATGGGAATCGTTCATCATTATGTTCCTATTATTGTGTGACACGACCTGACTGCAACTCATATAGATTTTTGATGATATGGCCTCATCTGACTTAGGATGATCTCTAGTAAAAAATGAGAGAAACACACAATGATCATTGAAAATACATGATAAACAATGGCGATAGCCTATACCTGGTAATAAATCAGATTTTTATAAAAACAAATTCAACCTATGCGAAACACGTAAACAAGTTGCACGTTTATTTTTTGTCATGCATAGCTGCGTATACGAGGAAATCAATGCTGTCGATTAGATACAGTATTATTACTCGCTGACGATAAACAGATAACAAGAGAAAATTACGCGCAAGTCGAAAGTTAAGATAAACAGTTTCGACATTTTTCTCCGAGCAAATATAAGAAAATAGTAATAGCAATAATAATAAATGTCTAATATTATTGTATAAAATTCAAAGTCTTCAAGCATCACTTTTGGAATAGGATATTATTTTGAATGTTAAGTATAATCATATACTTGAGGGTATAGTTTGATTTTCTACATGAAAGATTAATATTTCAAAGAATTTAACAAGTCAATCGTACAGAAAATATTTTTCTTTTTTATCTCTAAAAAATAAATTGATTGCATGACATACCTTAACAGCGATATGTAAGTATAGATTTGATGCTGATCAATAATAATCACAGCCAAGTATCAATAATCTATGGATAAAATTTTAAAAAGTGAAATAATATATACATTCATATTTATATCTTTTTTTAAAATTTTCTATTAGAATTAATATTCACACACATGTTTTTATTTACATACTCAAAAAAAAAAAGATACGATAGTCAACATATTTTGGTAGAGACACAAAAAGACGAACAATTGACGAAATTATAGTATTACACTTGAATATAATGACTAGTTAATAAATACGATATTCTCAAAAATAAATCTAAGGCAAGAAAAATATATAATATTTATACTTGAATTTATTCCCTGTTATCACATAGAGATGACAAACCGGATAAGCTTATGGATAAAAATTGACTTCATTAACCGGTTTTGATATTAGTTATTTTCCCATCATAGGCTGGTTCAAGTTTCAAAAAGAGATGACGCCGCGATAAACTAACTTTTGGCGTACCACCGGTTGCACCTATTGTTGTCAATGTTTGTAATGAATCATTAATTCCTGATATTTCTTGTACTGATTTTGCTTGTTTCAAATTTGACTGAACAGAATTCGACTTGGGTATAAATGAGCATTGGTGGGGATATTGCTGCTGTTGTTGTTTCTGAGCTAATAAAACAGCAATTGAAGATGTAGATGATGATGATGACAGATTATAATTTGACGGCGAACGTGATGACGAATGATGAGAACGATTAAATGACGATGACTTTGATGGAATAATTGGTCTATTAACGTGACGTTGTCGAGATTTTTTTCGTATTTGTTGCAAAAGAAAAAAACAATCGGTGCATATATCGATTGGTTTTGCAGATCCATCATTTATAACAGAACTATTATGACTACTGGCTGGAGTTGAACAACGACGAAATTCCTGTTCATCGTGTGTTAAATCATTTAATACATCGTTCATTACTGGTGTAAGCGGAGATCTGAATAATATATTTATTTTTATAATAGAATTTCAACGGAGTTGTTTCTTTGAAAAGACTTTGCACAAACCGTTCATTCATGATTAAAAAACCCTTAAGGGGTGCTCCCGTCCTTTGCCGACCGGAAATTTTTGCATTTATCATTTTTCTCTTTCGATATTTTTTTATACACTTAAAAAGTATCCTCTATCCACAGGACATATTCTAAGAATTAATAAATAACTAAATAAAAGTCGAGAAGCCGGAAAAGATGAAAACTCATTGTTAAAAAACAAACTATCAAAATGTATATATTATGTGGTTCTTGTTTCCACAATTAGATTTTTGTTACAAAAGCAAAAATTGATGATGGTCTTCACTTTTTAATCATCATCGTGCATCCGATCGAATTGAGGCATCCTTTTATTTATTTTAGAAAGTGGCTAAGGCGTCTATTCTTTTTATTATTACCAAATGTAATTTATCCCTGATTTTTGTCACAGCTTAGAAAAATAAATGCATTCTTAGGGGTGCGCTGAGCATTTCGATCCTGTTTTTATACCAATAAAAAGTAATAAAAAGAATACAGAAAAAGAAAATTAGACATCCCCGCAAGTGTCAAGTATCAGTGCCAAAAAGACCTTCAACGTTATCAGACCGTTTACAACCGCGCTATTTTGTGGTATTGACGGACGATCTTCAACCATGGCGATCTCTATATCTCGTAGAGCAAATCACGAGTAAACACTCGATATTCTTTTTTTTAATCTATTGATTGATATTTGTTTACCTTCAAAAACTCTGATAATCTATTATTTCGTATGTGTCGTAGAACTACGGGGAGGGGTTGTCTCATTGAGTATTTTAATCGTTAGGTTTTTTATCAAGCCCAAAGTTCACAAAATTAATCTTGATAATATCTTCATAAACCCTAATAATATTTGCACATCTTCTCAACATTTAAATATAGCCTTAATCATTTAACTTGAATCTTAATAATGAATCATCAACCTTCACCATATGCTACATAACGATTCAGTCATAAAGAAGACAGAACAAATAATGCTTACTGTGTATCAAGTGAATAAGATTTCTCTAAACTCATTAGAGATTGTGGCATCGTTAATGGAGTAAATGTATGAATTGGTACATCATTTAATTTCTCTTTTGGTAAAGCAATCTATAAGTGACAAATATCAATTATGAAATAATTTTTATTGATATAAAAAAAAAATGTACTTGTGTGACACAATTTCGGCAAACTTTTTGTTTGCAAACGCTACATTGAATACCGAACGTAAATGTCAATAGATTAAAATGTACTTTTCGACAATTGAAACATAACTAGAAAAAAAGAGAAGTTTTTCTCATTAAGGAATACTTTTCTATCAAGTTTTATATAGTTACCTTCCCCTGAGCTACATCGGCATATAATTTATCGTCGAACAATAGAGTTTCTAATTCAGCTCGTGTAATGACATTTCGAATGTGACAAAATTCATCGAATGTTAATGATAATGTATTGAAATTGTCTTTCATAAGCTAAAATAAGCAAAAAAAAATGGTTAGAAAAAGCAAGGAAACAGCTAAGGTTCATCGAAGCATATGATTACAACGTAATTTTGTAGAAGCGTAGGTAAAAATAAATAAGCGATGAATGAGTATAGCACTGCGACGAAGATCATATTTCAAATTTCTTTGAAAAATTTTTTTATTTGGAGCTTTCAGGAATTTTCAGTTGTCATCATCAGGAAATAGTAACACAAAAACAAATAGAACTATATATAGCAATACATAAAAGGAATATACATGTGATCGTTAACGACCGCACGTATATTCCTTTTTTGCATTGCTATATATAGTTCTATTTGTTTTTGTGTTACTATTTCCTGATGATGACAATTGAAAATTACCGAAAGCTCGAAATAAAATAAAAATTTTCAAAGAAATTTGAAATATGATCTTCGTCGCAGTGCTATACTCATTCATCGCTTATATGATTACAAAAACGATATTGGATAAAAGCAAACATGAATTTCGTAAAATACCTTAAATATGCGCTCTTGTAACAGCATTAGTAAGTATGCTAGTAAATCAATTTATTTCAGATGCCTTTTGTGTAGTAGGTTGACGAATCAACTAAAGTAAGGAAAACGCCTCGCTTGTCGTTCGTCTTTAACGACGAATGGTCTTCTACAGCAACATCTTTTCTATTCCTTATGTCAGTTCTCCCGTTTTTCTTTTCCTTGCGTGTCAGTTAGATCACAACTGTGCGTAGGCAACATCATTTTTCCTTTTCTTGTCGGTGAAAAAGTTCTATAAGAAAATTGTTAGAACATTCATTAACAATTTCTTTCTTTCTTTCTTCCTTTCTTTCTTACGCTTCTATTAACTAGTGCATACATGCATGTATGTCTGAACGGGTATGTAGGGTTATATATATATATATATATATATATATGAATGAATGAGCACAACAATCAAAAAAGCTACAATTTACTATTAGCATCACATACCCCATAAACACAAAGACAATAATGAAAACTATAATAAAAACACAAAAGACAAACCCGAATAATATCTTCCATAGATATATATTCTAATTCAAGCGGTTCTATTTTTGCATAATTTATTTTATTAGATGGTGGTTTAATATTTTTATTTATTAGAGTTAAAGCATCCATAGTTAAGTCCACATATTCGTCAGTATTTTCACTTACACGTTTATCCATTGTTGGTTCGGCAAAAAAGAAAAAGAAACCAGAATAATAATAATAAAAATATCAAAAAACAAAAAAAGAAATAGTACTATCAGTAATATCTTCAGGGGATGACGGAGATGAGGATTCAAGAAGACAATCAATAACTGCTACTCGTTTTCTGCCATGCTCATCTCGTTGTAGTTCATCGTCTTCATCATCTGAACTTAAATCACTTTCTATTAAATTCTAAAGAAAAAACAAGCTCGATGATTAAAATTGTTTGTTTAATAGAAACAAATTTTTACTGGACGTATTCGTTTTCGTGATGAATCCAAAGTTGTCGTTGAAATCAATGATTGATCTACTAGATAAAGATAAACTAAATTTAAATCAAAGAAAAATGTTTTACCAATAGGCTTTAAAATTCGCTTTTGTTTTATTTCTGACATTAATCTATCATGTAGACACATATGATCAGATTCGTCTCTTCTATCTAGTGTTTTGATTTTCTTCAAATTCTTTTGTCGTTTAGCTATTTCATCAAGCACACGATCATTTTCTCTCATTGACCATCGACGATGGTTATCGATTGAACTATTTAAATTTCCATAATTATCTAATGAAACTTTACGTAATTGACTTTGATCACTAAACTGTAAATATTCAAGGGTCACATTACGCCATAGTGTCGCCTGAAAAAAAATAGAAAAAAATATAGATAAATAAAAATTTGTTTTTTCCAACAAACCCAAGCTGAATAAAATGTACTATCATGCGGAAGAGGTTGCGTTGTGAATGTTGAAGATAATTCAAATGATGACTGTCGCTAGAAATCAATTACATATATAGATCCGATTGAAAGATTAAATAAAAAAATGATGACTTACAAGTTCGCGTGCTAATTCAATCTCTAATTCTAATGTATCACTACAAAGAATTTGAATAATTTCCTGATTGTAAAGAGCTATTGAGTTGCTTTCAAGATCTTGCATTTCAGTTGTATTTGTTTTATTCTCGTCATTATTTGAAGAATTAGTCACAGAAGATGACGTTATATAATCGATGCATTTCTAAAGAAGTTTATTTATGCTGATAATGATAAAAAAATCGGCACCTATTTGGATAATAGGAAGAAAGAAAAAGTCAGATTACCATTCTTCCACTACAGTTGACAATGAGGACGCATTTTGTTTTTTGAAATTAAGTCTATGAAATATTTATTGTTCAAATCTTTTCTATAGTTCAGCGACAAAATAAATGTTTAATTGATATGAATGAGTGGATGAGTTCTATTTTCTGAGTCAATCTATGCTTTTCAAATTGACATAGAAATTTTTTGAAGGAAACAAGCATGTTCTTTAACCTCATTTCTCTTCAAGTGATACTATAAAAATAGATAAGTTTCTTTCAGTTCAGATATGATAATTTTAATACTTGATGAATTCATATTTATTCATTCTGACCCAATAAAAATCAAATTTTATCTATTTCTAAGCACGATTCAAGTCAAAAATCTATCCTGAATGTTTTCAGTGAAATAAACCGACAAAATTTTAAGCCAACAGACATTATTGAATAATTCTTCTATGAATTAAATGAGGATAAGAAACTTAAAACGGTTCGGGATATTCATGGAATTCAAGAAGAAAATAATTTATTTACCATTAAAGCTCGATGAATAGCTTTTCTACTAATATCTTCATCATCAAGGTCATCACTACTAATTCCTTCATCATCATCAGACAACGTTGACCGATCGTCAGCTGAAATAGCTAAAGTAAAAAGAAAAAGAATTTCAAAAACACAATGGAATAGAAAAGAAAATATACTATGAAATTGCTTAAGAAATTCATTAATTGATTCAAACTCTATTGAGCGATCTAATTTCGATGATATTGAGCAATCACTCGCTAGTCGAAACACAATGCGACTAATCCATCTTAAAATCTAAATACAGATATTTTTAAACCAACGGACAATAGAATAGAAAAAAATCTCCCACTGAAATTGTATCTGATTGCTGTTCGACTTCACCTAAAAACAAACATTTTTCTTATTAAAATTTAACAAAAAAACACAATTTTCACGTTTTGCATTGGAAAATTGCTTGTAAAGTAATTCATCATCAACAGTCACATTCCCATTGAGATCAATCATAAGTAATTGTAGTCCATTTGGAATGTCAACATTTGAGCTAATCCATCGGATAAGTGCTAAATTTTTTAATGAGAATACTAATGATTGATAAAAAAGTGCAAGTGCTTGACTGGGCTGTAAAACATGATTAAATAAGGAAACGGTTTTACAAAAACATACACGTTGCATCTAAAAAACAAAAGAAGTTTTATTTGGCGACAATAACACGTTCGATTCATCAAAGAACTTCGTAGCAGAAAGAGGGTTTTATTTTATTTGGCATAATAATGTTTTTAAAAGAAAGAACAAGGAGAATGATTTAACCAACCAAATAATTTTATTACATGTGACTCATTCAGTATTATAAATGGACGTAGGTGAACAAATGGAGTAGTTTTTTGCTGTAGGGTTTATCGATGACAACGGAAAGAATTATGAATCTATGGAATTGACTCAATTTCTTTGATAGCAATTTCCTCTACGAGCTAATAATAAATAGTAAACAATGAAATGGAATAAAAAAGGTTTCTTTTCTGCGATTAATAAGGTACACTTTTCATGAGTGACATCTATGCGAAATGTGGCCGTCTTCTTTCTTGCTTTCATTTTTCATGCGTAATTATATTTGATGAAGAAAAATACTAATTCAGACTTGCTATGTGTAATGTAAGAGTCTCTACTGTCATAATGCCTATCTTGTTTCTCTAGTACATTTTTGATTTTCTCTATGCAAATACGATAAATTTTCCATTTCACATTGTCTATAAATAGCTAACTGTTGTTGTCAATGCTTATGATCGACAGGGCTTAGACTCTAAATAGCTGGCAGAGTCAGGTTTTCATCACTGCTGTAATTTCATTCAACTGAAGAATGACACTTTCCTTATGTTTTGCGACCGCTCTTATCTATCAGGTGAAATCCAGTTATTTCTGTCACTCGTCAAAATTCATCAGTTCAACAGACTTTGTTCGTTGGCTACTATTGAAATTAGAGATGTTAAACTACATCGAGTTATAGAATATGCTACTGACTGCTCGCTCACCTTATCATTAGAAGATCCGTATTATGAATAGTTTCAGCCAATGTTGACCTTAATTTCGTTTATTTTATCTGAATCCATTCTTCTTCAGTTCAAATCGAATGAGTTAAATTATGTTGAAAATTGAAGTATCACCCCTTTTGCATTCGTGTGTATGTAATCTTTCATCTATCGTATGCTCGGGCAAGCAGCTTTTTTTCTTTATTCTATGGCATTACTCTCACTTACTAACATATGCAATAGATCATGTTGTGATCTCAGATACTGACCTTAAGGAGTGAGTGTCTCACTCATAGACATCATCATCATCATCAATTACAATTTGACAGGGCTATTATGATTCCATAGAGACCGTGTAATCATTGCTAGAACATGCATTTGAGTTAGTCTACTTTCAGATAATGTTAAAAAAATTCTACATAAGTAACTCGATATTTTCGCAAGTGTTTATCAATGATTATTTGTGAGAAGAATTAATTCAAACTAAGCCGCCTCTTTTAAATAAGTGCGAAATTTTATTCAAGAAATTGTTTCGTGATAAGATCCTTCCTACGATGGAATGGAATGCATAGTGACACCATTTCATACACCACGCTGACGTTGATTAACGCTAATGGAATGAAATGGAGCGTTGTTAAAATTTATTCATTCTTCTATTTTGACATTTATTTTAGGCTAATAGTATATTATCTTTTAGCTGATTTTCGAATGACTAATTTTAAATTCAAAATGCCAAGAATAATGAATGATCATGCGTTGATAGAGTGTTTCTTAATTTATCGGAACACATAAAAATGAATTGAGACATGTTTTCGAAATAATGAGTATACGCGTGACACTGATTGGTTCATTATTGCTAATATTTTATTTTTGTTCGAATTTTGAATTATTTATCGATAGAGACAGAATGATGGTATCGACTTATGTCACATTTTCATTGAAATGAAAAATACTTCCTTTTATTGTTTGTGAGTATTTGGGTAGGAAACTATTTTTCACAATCATACCTTGTAAATATATGGATCATCTAAAAGTTTGTTTGCCTTTAATATTGATAGTAATATGGTCGTTAAATACTTGTAAATCTTGAATAGATTGAGTTTGCAGTATTTTATTTTAATGAATGCTGATAACATCTAGAGAAAAATCCTAGTGCATATATATATATATATATATATAATTTGGATTAATGGCTTGTTGCATAGTTAAAAACTGAAAAAGAAGCGTAATTATATTCGACTGATGAGGAGCTATTGAATTTTTGTTGCTATTGTCTCCATAACTACTATATCAAAACGTCAACAGATCGCAACAAACAAAATAATTTCAGTTGAAAATTAGTGGCATAACTAGACGGAGTTGCCATATCAGGATAATTTACGTTCTATACTAACGATCACTGCTTTCCGGTTAAAGAGGAAGTTGCCCTTTCATGCAAATGTGGTAATTAGACTACTCGTCGCGACGTTTGTATTGATTATCTTTCTATGTAAAATACAAGTTATAGGACCCTTCCTCTGACAGGATATTTTTAACTCAATTCTCGACTTGATCTAGAAATTTCTCGCTGTTTTTATTTTCGCATACGATCAATTATTTTAATACCATGGATCAACTGCATAATTATAGATGATCTTTTCTAAAATAACTAATTTGATGTAGCTTCTGAAAGTTTGCAAATAATTAGCTGCTATTTTACATTGTGAAGCTAGTTCGACTGAAAGATAGAACGTAAGTGAGACATCGTATGCAAAGAAATTATTTTAAATTGACATATAAACTTGAAAGAAAGAGAATTTCTATATTTTACTTCGAATTTTCTCAGAAGTTCTAATAGAAACTTGATAGATTCATTTTGGTGATAATGCTCAAAAACCGTCTATTGTGAGCCATGATAAGTCGTGTTTTTTTACAGAATTAAAAAAATTAAAAGAAAACCTTCAGGAAAAAGGAAAAATTATGTCTCGCGATATACTGAATATTATTGACTCATGATTTGATAAAACAATTGCAACTATTGATGAAAATTATGAATATGCCCAGGTCGATAGTTCCAGATTGTGGGAATCCCGAGATGGTAGTGGAATCCACAGGAACAATCATCGAATCCAAGAGGAAGGTTTCTCGGGAAAAGAGGGAATTGCTAAGCAGTATTCCGGCCAGAAGTTTTCGGATTTCTTTCCGGTGTTCAACAGCAATTTCTAGCGCGAAGTTAGCCGGAATACTGCTTCCATCTTGTGAATTTCCCTCCTACTTTCCGGTGAGAATCTGATCGTTCTTATTAACTTGGTGGCTATGAAAAATAATTTCGCGTTTACTAGTTCATGTCGATTTTTATTTTCCTAATGTTTTCAAGCACGATTTGTTGTTGTACACTACTTGATTATTACGTTCAACTGCCTCTATAGCTGCTCAATGAAAGATTTCTCTTGTTGAGAATACGCTCCCTTAATAAAATAGAATAAGAAAAAGCTGTAAATACTTCCTTGCTTCCGTAGACAATAAAGATATTGACAACATAGTATAATGACCGTCTTTTACTTTATGAAGTTGATCAATGAACTCGATATAGAATTGAAACATACGATCAATATATAGTTACTCATTAAAATCTTTCTTTACTTCTACGCTTGACAGTATGATTAATAAACACATATCTGTGATTAATCGTTTTAATATTTTTCGACGTTTGCAAGTAACTTTTTCGTGAGTATTTACATTGATGAAAGAATTTCATTTTTTTGCTCATCGCTACCCAAGTCGAACCTTCCAGCTACCGGATTCCGTAGGATACTCCAGGAAATATGCGGGAAAGTCACCATATCCTGCAGGAAAACACGGCAGCAGTATTCCGGTCAAAAATACGGCCGGACTTTTCCGGGGAATTTCTGTCAAGTTCCGGTGCTTTCCAGAAGGAATTGATCGGAAATCACCGGAAAAAAATGCGAAAATTTTCCAACTGAAATACTGCTTCCACAAAATCAACGGAAGTAACCGGAACCGGCCGTTGCCAGGTCGGACTGTTCGAGTTGAGTATACGCTAGCGAGACCAATGCAACTTTCTCTATAACTAGTCTTTCTATTTTTTATTCGAAAAAGTTATACCTACAAAATTTGTCGATATTCAAGCTTTTTTTTAATTGTTTTTGGAGTTCTCAAAGTATAGTGTTCTTATTATAACTATAGTCATTCATTTGATAATTGCTAATCTTATTTCAAGGGCCATACTTAACGATGTTCTCTTTCAAACAAAAATAGAAATTAGTGACGCATGAACTGTTTCGATAATTCGAGTATGCATGATCAAAAATGCATAAACTTAGGAATACAAAAATGAATTCTATTTAATAATTTGTCTTTCCTGTATGATTCATCCAATTTTGCTAATGGCAGCGAGAGGACGAATAGCATTCGAGATTGCCGTATCTATTAGAGTGCATCGCCTAACAACGAGAGAAAACATGAAACGTATGAATCAATTGAATAATGATTCTAGAATTTTTATATAACCGATATTCCATTTTGAATGAGTGCAAAAAAAAAGACAAAAGAATGACGTTTTTTTGTAGCTTTCAATAAGCAATTGTGTAACTATCCGTCACAACAGTGAAATGAGTAGACTTGAAAAGCAGACACGCAAAATAGACTATTAAGACATTCGTTTTAAAATCGATAAATGTAGATTTTTTTATATCAGTTTTAAAACAGTTTTTTTTTCTTATTTAAGGCTTAAAGTACAATGCAAGTAAAATTTTTTAAACAAATATCTGATCCAGTAAATGGCGAAGCACAAATATCAGCTGTTTGTTTTTCACCAAATGGTCAAAAACTAGCCATATGTATTGATCGCGTTGTACAATTATATGATGAAACAGGTGAATTACGTGATCGTTTTGCAACAAAGCCAATAGATTCTAAATATGGTCGGCAATCTTATGTTGTTACAGCAATGGATTTTTCACCTGAAAGCAATCAATTAGCCGTAGCACAATCGGATAATATTGTATTTGTATATAAATTAGGTGCTGATTGGAATGATAAAAAATCGATTGTAGCAAAATTCGTACAGTCAGCTCATGTTACAACATTGATATGGTTACCTGATGGACAAATAATATTTGGTTTAGCTGATGGAAAAATACGTTCAGGAAATGTCAAAAAAAATAAATCACATACATTATTTACAGCTGAACAATATACTGTATCATTAGCGGCAAATGTCTCACGTAAAGCGATATTATCCGGTCATGGTGACGGAAGTATTTGCCGATATATAATTGAAGATGAAGGTACAGGTGATAAATCAGGTTTAGTTGTACGCCATTCATGTCCACCATGTGCACTCGTTTGGAGTGCATATGGAATACTTGTTGGAGGATGTGATCGACGTGTTGTAGTTTATAATAAAGATGGTAAAATTTTACAACAGTTCGATTACAGTCGAGAAATTAATGAACGAGAATTTAGTACTGGTATTTGTAATCCAACAGGTAAGTTTTTGTTTTCTTATTTATTTAACTTAATTTTATTCGCTATCTATCAGAATAATTTGAGATTTTTTCAAACAGAAAAATAACGAATCTAAATGCAAAAAATCTTGTTCATCGTAGGTCAAGAATGTGTTTTTGGTTCATATGATCATATCCGCCTTTATTCATATCAAGCAAGAAAAGGCATGTTCGATGAAGCGCCAAGCAAGGAAATAAAAAATATGTATACAGTGACAGGAATGGCTTGGCGTTCGGGTAAAATTAAGCTAAGAACTTATTTTTTTATTTAAATTCATGTTTTTTCTATGTTTAGATGGTGCACGTTTTGCTGTTGCTAATTTAACAGGTGGTACATTTTTATTTAATTGTTCATTGAAAAAATCAAGTACAAAAGGAAAATATGCGATTAATTTTGTTTCCTTATCTCAAGTACTTATTGAAAATAAATCGAATGGAAAACGTGCAGATTTAGTTTCACGTAGCGGCTTTGAAATTGTTGATGTTAAAATAATGGGTCGTGATCGTTATGCTGTTGGTTATACAGTTCATACACTTATATTAGTTGATTTACAAGATGAAAAACGTCGTTGTGAAGTTCATTGGCAATCGGCTGGCGATGAAAAATTTTCTTTTGACAATGAAAATGTTTGTATGATATTTGCTAATGGAGAATTAACATTAATTGAATATACGCCTAGCGGAAGACATGGTGATAATATATTATGCTCTGTTCGAACGGAATTTCTTAGTCCAAATTTAATTAGCGTACGTGTTGAAGAACGAAATTTACAAGGAAATAAGAAAATGGGCTATTTACTTGACAGTCGTACAATCGCAATAGTTGATCTTATGTCAACAAGTGGTGCAGCTGTTATTGATCAAGTAAATCATGATGCAAATATTAATTGGTTAGCATTAAATGAAACAAGTCGTTATTTATTATTTCGAGATAAAAATCTTAAATTATATTTGTATGTATTGTTGAAAAATAATTTATTTAGTATGAATTAACGATTGTTTTTGTTTTTCTTCTAGATATAATCTACTGACAAGAGCAAAAACTTGTATACTTTCATTTTGTAATTATGCACAATGGTATGTATATTAAAGTTCTTGACAAAAATGAGTTAACCTTTGGATAAATATCACCATAGTGTCGCTGAAAAATTGATTCCAAAGAATCGATAGCAATGAGGAAAAAAACTAGTTTTTGATCACTTAATATAATAGTACGGCATGAATGACTACACCGAAGATAGGATATAGTAATCAATGGTCAAATATATTTTACAAACACGGGAAGTTCGTGAGAGAGCGAAGTTTTCGGATTCGGAACCAACTCGATAAGCTTTGCTGACCAATAGCGTACTTGTTTCCGAAGCATAGATACGATGAAATTAAATAATAATAATATTAAGTTCATTTGATTGAAATGATCTCAGATTAACAAAGAACAGTTCGATATCGCAGTATGAATTTCATTCTTCTTTTCAATAACGTAGCCTCTCTGCATTGGACGTAAATCGATGCTACTCCATCTCAACACTCGTTGTTCTCGAAGATGAGTTATTTTACTATTTATTCTGTTTAGTATGATTTTTACTTCTCACCATATCTGTAAAAGTATGCCTATTACGTCTAATATAGTCTCGTATTATATTAATATTAAATGATATGATCGAAAATTTTCATATCCACTATAACAAGTCTCGTTGATTTTGGCAGAGTTTTCTTATGAATGATGCTTCAACAGAATTCTATGATTTTATAATATTTATATAGAATAAATTAAGTCTTATAGCTATCTCTTTATGTTTAACAATCAATAAATCTTAACTCTTGTTTTTCAGAATTTAGCTGATTTTCTTAAGCAATTAATTAGTTATGACATTTCATGTGATGAAACAAGCTGAATATATTTCAGAACTATGAAAAATAAAAAATTAATTTCCTTCTATTTTAGGATACCGGACAGTGATGTTGTTGTTGGTCAATCTCAAGATAATCTATCTGTTTGGTATAATATTGAACATCCTGAATCTTGTGATACGAAACCAATCAAAGGTGATGTTATTGAAATCAGTAAAGATCCATCGAAAAATCGAACCTTTGTTAAATTGAATGATAACGGTGTTCAATCATCACTTGAACTTGATTCGAATAAAATTGAATTTAATACAGCTATTAATGATGAAGATTTTCGTCGTGCTGTTGCTTACCTAGATGCTTGTGGTTCGTCCGATGACACATCAAATGCTCTATGGGAAACATTAGCACGTTTAGCGTATGAAAAACAAGAATATGTCGTCGCTGAACAAGCTTATACGGCGACAAGACAAATGGCCAAGGCACGTTTTCTTCATTCAATAAATCAATTAGCACGAGAGAAAAAAGGCTCCTACGATCATTATGAAGTTCGAGCTAAATTAGCTATATTCGAACGACAATTAAAAGCAGCTGAATCAATCTATTTAGAAAATGGTGACGTCGATAAAGCTATTGATATGTATCGTACGATGCATCATTGGGATGAAGCTATATCGGTTGCCGATCGTAAACGACATCCACAAGCTGATGAACTTCGTTCAACATATTATAAATGGTTGATTGATACAAAACAAATTGCTCGAGCTGCTGATTGGAAATTAAAACAGCATGAAGACGAAGAAGCTATTTCATTATATATGCAAGCAAATCTACCATCAAAATCAGCACAAATTCTCATGCAAAATGCACAATTAATGCGCGATAGTGATCTTGTTACACGTATAGCCGTTAGTTTAGTTAAAGCAAATATGTTTGAATTAGCCGGAGATCTTTATGAGCATGTTAAAGAATTTCCGAAAGCATTAAGTTGTTATGAAGCTGGAAAGTGTTTTATTAAAGCTGTTAAATTAGCACGTAAGACAAATCCAAAAGAAGTTGTTGCACTTGAAAGCAAATGGTATGTCACACGATGAAAATTCTCAAAAGGAAACAATTTAAAACTGAAATGTATTGTTTTACTTTTAGGGGTGATTACATGGCTGAACAAATGCAGTATCTTGAAGCAGTAACGCATTTTATTGAAGCAGGTGAGAACATGAAAGCTGTACAAGCAGCTATACTTGGTCGTCAATGGTCACGTGCATTGGAAATTCTTGAACAACAAAGAGACGAGAATGATCCAGATATTGCTACACATTATAAACAACTTGGTAAATATTTTATATTCGCTGCCGAGATTCGTGTTGACGTATTTCGTGGAAAAAGTTAGAAAGATTTTGTAGTATTTATATTTTTCATCAAAAACATATTAGTGAGCATGACTTGAAAGTCGAATTTTTGTGGTTTGATTCGTCTTTCTGTACCAATAACAGGAAACAATAGTCAACGGCGAGATCTTGATTGCTTTTCTAGTGTGTTTCTCAGTATTAATTATCTTTCTAAAGATGTTGTGACTCTGCAGATGACAATCAAAGAAGACATCCGCAGGAGTCTTGAAGTTGAAAAAGTGAAGAAGTTAAACAGATGATATTATCTGTAGTTTTTTTCTTTAATTCATATTAATTAATTAACGACGAAACGAATAAAATTTGAAATACGACGTCGAAATAATAGTATTTAAAGTTAACTTTTTCGAGATATACAATTATTTTATATTTGATACTCTTTGTTTAGCTACTCATTTTGCACACATTCAAGAATTTGAGAAAGCTGAACGATGCTATTTGAAAGCTCAAGCTCCAGGTGAATGTGTTGAAATGTATAACCGTGCTGCTAAATGGGAACACGCATTCCGTATGTTTTTATCAGCTTGAATATTTCATTCGTAGGTTTTATTTTCTTCCAACAGGTCTTGCCAAACAGTACATGAATAAAGATGAGGTCACTAGACTATATTCAAATCAAGCTAAAGAACTTGAAGCTAAAGGACGTTATAAAGAAGCTGAAAAATTATACATAACTATTAATGATAATGCAGCAGCTATTCTTATGTATAAACGTATGAAGAATTATGATGCATTGATACGTCTCGTTCGTCAATACTATCCAGATAAAATGAAAGATACTGAAATAACAATTGCTAAAGAACTTGAACAAGATAAACGATATAAAGAAGCTGAAATGCATTATATTCAAGCTGGTGATTGGAAATCGGCTGCAAATATGTATCGTTTATTAGATAGCTGGGATGATGCATATCGTAAATATTTTTATTTTCATTTATTTTCAAAATGATCGTCGGTTTTTTCTTCAATAAAGGTATTGCACGACAACATGGAGGTCCAGTACCAGCTCAACAAGTAGCATTCTTCTGGGCTAAAAAATTGGGTGGCGATGCAGGTGTCAAACTTTTGAATAAATTAGGTCATGCAGAACAAGCCCTTGAGTTAGCTTGTGAACAACATGCATATGAATTTGCATTTGATATAGCTCGACTTCTTCTCAAAGATAAACTTCCTGAAGTTCATTATAAATATGCGCTTCATCTAGAAGATGAACGTCGTTATCTTGAAGCCGAAGCTGAATTTCTTAAAGCTAAAAAACCAAGAGATGCTGTACTTATGTATGTACAAATTAAAGATTGGGATCGAGGTATGTAATAACATTTTCGTATATGTAAAGTGTAGTCTAAAAAAATTAAAAGAAAAATGTAGAACAGCTAATTTATGGTTTGGTTAAATAGATCAATTATTTTACAGTTGATAGAACAATGTTTCAGTTTTTATCGTCAAGGGCACTAGTGACTTTGATAGAAACATCGAATTGTACGTTCGCGAGTGAAGTTTAGTTATGTTTTGTGAAATTAAACTTTCGCTTTGACATTAAATTCTGTTGTCTAAGGTTTATTTGGGAAAGAAGAAAAAGTGACTCTTTTGCACACGCTCAACAGCAACGTCGGCTGCGATTTTGAAGAATATGTACTGTGAAACTATTAATTGATTGAAGAGATTTTTTTTCAATATTGCCTTTAGAAAATATAGAAATGAAAATATTATTTTATCATTAATATATACAATAATTAGTCTATTTAGTTAAGCTATAGTGGAGATAGTGAAATTTTTCTTTCGATAAGTGACTTGCTTGAAGAACCCTTTAGTTGATAAAGAAAACTTATTTCATATATTATTATTTAGCTCAAAGAATCGCTCAAGCAAATGATAAGGCTCTATTAAATGATGTACTTATCGGTCAAGCCAAACAATCATTTGATAATAATGATTTCCCCAAAGCTGAAAGCTATCTTCTACAAGCACAACGACCTGATCTTGCTGTTAAATTATATAAAGACAATGGTATATTCTTCGAAAAACAACTTTGTTCTGTTTTCATCATTAAACTATCTCTCATTATTTTTATTTTTAGGCTTAATGCAAGATGCCCTGCGTGTATGTCAAGAATATATGCCAAATAAACTTGATGATTTACGTGAAGAATTAGCTCGTAGTGGTGGAATGAATGAGACTAGAACGAATACAGCTGCAGGCAATCGACCAACAACATCATATAACAACGATAATATTCTCGAACAAGCTGCTCGTTATGAAACTCAAGGTGAATATCAACGTGCAGTTGAACTATATTTACGTTTAATGCCTCAACAAGATATACCAAAAGAAACACTTGTTAAAGCTTACCTCAAAGCAAGTGATATAGCAAGAAAATTTCTACCGGAAAATAAAGCTCAACATGTTATACGAACTATTGGTCCACGTCTTGTTCAACTTGGACAGCCAAATCAAGCTGCCGAACAATATCTACACGTTGAATTACATAAAGAAGCCGTCGAAGCATTTATCGCCGGTAAACAATGGGAAAAAGCTAAGAAATTAGCATTAGAAGTCGATCCGCAATTAGCTAAATATGTTGATGATCTCTATAAGAAGCATTTGAAGGAACGCGGAAATGCTAAAGAATTAATGAATGTTGATGTCACAGGCGCATTAGATTTGTTTGTTGAAAAAAATCAATGGGAAGAATGTTTTGTTGAAGCACAAAAGCATGGGCCATTAGTTTTACATAGTTATTTAGCTAAATATGCTACACAAATGATTCAATCGAATCGTGCTGAATTAGCAGCAAGTGTCTATAAACAATATGGAGCTATTGCTATACCACAAAATTTAAGAATCTATAAAGCCTTATTCTATCGTATGTTAAGAATTGATTCATTGAAACATGAAAATTATCCGAAATGGGCAGATGTACGTGATGTTCTACACGACGTTTTTGAAAATATGAGTTCATCAGCATCGGGATCAGCAGGTGGTATACAAAAAGAAATCGAAGAGCAAAGGCCAACATTTGAAATTCTTCTTTGGTAAAAGACGAAAATTTACAACTTCTTTTTTGTTATAAATTCAATGTTATACTTGTAGGGTTGCTCATATGAATGCGATGCGTTCTGCATGTTCCGAACATGAACAACTTGATGTAATAACAGCGAAACTTTCAATATCGCTTCTTCGCCATTCGGATATTTTACCAGTCGATCGTGCATTTTATGAAGCTGGTATCATGTGTCGGAAAGTCGGTTGGAATGAAATGTCAATGTTATTTCTTAATCGTTATTTGGATGTTGTCGATGCAATCGAAGAACATAATCCTGACATGTTAGCAACATCAGATTTCGTTGAAACAGATATACCGTATGAAATTGAATTGCCTGATCAACCATCTTTACCAGCTGAACATCATGAGAAAATAAAAGAACATGTTTTAGCACTTTCAATGAAACAAGCAGTAAGTTGACGAGACAGTCTTCTAGATTAAAAAAAAGCTTCTCTTGATTCGACGAATGAAAGAAAATAAAATGAGAAGCTTGGAAATTTTACAATCATAGAGACCGATAAGATTAATTTTTTGCTACCTAATAAACTCACTCGATTTTATATGTTAAGATGAAATTAGACGTAGCTTCTTTTGGTTTCTCCGAGAGTTCTTTGTACGACAACTGTCAATCAAATTTTTAATAGATTCTATAGCTTCCCGGTAAGATGGCAATCAAAACTTTTGAAAATCATGTTCCGGAATAGCCGGACTAGAAAATCAAAATCGAGGAATAGTCATCGGAAAAAAAACTTAACTCTCAGAGCAATGCGCAGCCATTAACACTGACGAAATTTCAGCACACTAAATTGTTGTATGCTACGAAATAGATACATTTATGTCAATAGATCAAACTGGTTTCCCTTGATTCTATTTTTTATATCCATTGATGAAGTTTGTATGTCTTTAAAAAAAGGAATCAGAAATTTTAGTCTTTTAAAATCTCCCTTTTGCTCAAGGTTTATAAACGATTTTTTTAAAGTTAAAACAGTTGTCTTGTTTTCGATTCGAATATTTCTATTTTAGGTAAAACCAACGCTACGCCGAGATGCTCGTAATTGTATTGAATTCTCATTAGTTAATCCTGAAACTAATGATCGTTCATCACCTTGTCTTATTACGGGCTATCCTGTACTTGAAGATGCTGTTGTTTTTGATCGATATAATTTAATGGCAAATAAAGAAGATTGGAATAAATTCGTCTTATCAGCGAAATCCATTCGTCGTGAAGCATTGCAGGATTGTTTGAAATTTCTTGCTAAATGGACAGGATCGCAACCTAATGTCAGTTTGTAGTTATGATCTATTGTAAGATTTTTTTGAATAGAAAACAAGTTATACACATTTTAAAAATAAATTTATCGTCTATTGTTTTTAAATCACCAATAAAATAATCAAACAGATAAGAATTTCAAAGGCTCATTCATTTGAATGATAACTTCGAAATCAATCGGTGAGTAATCCATAAACGAACATTAGATACTTTTATATTTTGACTATAAACAATTATTTATAGAAGTATATGTTTGATCGAATATTAACGAATAAGCACTATGTCAATAGTAAAGGCACTTGTAATGTTTTCATTTTTCATTTTTTCCTCGTTTGCTCGGATTTGTTTGATCAAAAATTACTTGAGAAGATGAAAGTAGAGCATCGAAAGTATTCGATTAGTTTTATGGCTTTATGAATCACAATATTAAATAAAGAGGCAGAGAGGTTGGCACAATCGTCTAAGGTCATCGACTTGGAGTCGAAACGAATTTTGTTTTTATATGGCCTTGATTTCATCAATATGTTCAAGAACAGCTACTGTATTGCTGTCCGACAAATGGCATCTTATTTTTATTATCACAAGAGGCATTTTGGACTTCACAACGAGTATAACCTCTCTTTTTTTTTCGAATTAAATAGTCACATGAAAAAAACTAAATCATATAAAACACATATTATTTGGTGCTCTTCGCAGACGTGAACATTATTCTGTTTTCTTTTTCTATCGGTTAGCTAGTACTATGTTTTATAGAATATAAACGTACTGATTTAAACACAATCACAAGTTTCTAAGACAACCAATTTGTTGTTTCATCATTTAGTTCTGTGCCTACCTATCAATAGATCTCTGAGTATTCTAATTACAAATAGACTGCAATGCTATTCTTTCGCCCTCTCTCTTTCTTCATATTTCATCCTTCGAATTCTATATGAGAAAAAGAAAAAGAAAGAAGGACATCACTTGTAATTGTTCTCTTTCTCTTTCTCTTTATTGTGTCTATGTAACCTCAAAAGAGTAGACGAATACATATATTCACTAAAAATTTCTATGATGTTCGACAATTTGATAATACCATCGATGACCATCGGCGGCTATAATCGACGTTTATCAATTGTGATCATTGTACTTGCGTCATTGGCCGTCCTACTTGTTGTCACATCAGTCGCTGCTTTTATTTATGTTACACGAAAAGGTCTTCTAAATAAAATAATCATTCTATATACAGTAAAACAAGAAAATATCTTGGCGATTCTTTTTTTTCGTGTATTTAGAAAAAGTTCTTCGAAAATCTCATTTGATATCTGTTATCATTATAATACTTGTCGAGCTCGCATTTTTAATTGCTGTTGTTAGTTGCTGTAGTATTCAATCAAAAAGTAAAAAAATACAGAAAACAATTTCATATGTTCTAACTAAATTTTTTTCTTGTTTATAGACGTTCATGGTCAAATTTTAGCTGTTCTACTTATTGTTGTTTCTTTTCTTGCTCTTATGGCACTCATCTATTTTTTACGTAAATATTTTATTGTACTACTGTCCTAATTTCAATCAGCTATTTCATTCTTTTTTTCATCAGTCGAAGATTTACTCAAAGAACGAATTCATCCATATCCAACCGATACAAATTCTTCCAAATCATTCACAGTACAAGAAATCAAAACATTTAGTCGACATGAATCTCCCATACCACCACCTCCATCTCCGCCGCAATCACAAGCACCAGCACCAGCACCAGCACAAACAACAGCACCAGCGAAAACACCAACACCAGCACCAGCACCAGCACCTGTGGGTGATATAGCAATACTTATCTCTACACCACCTATACTCCCATCGCTTCCTCGAATACCAACTCCACCATCACCCCATTTACCTCCTCCTCCAATAGAGAAACCTGCAAGCCCTGCAGTACCCGAACGAATTCTAACTCCACCATTAGAAAAACCGGTAACACCATTGCCGCCAAAACCTGCGATTCCACAAGTTCAAAGATATGTTCCTCAATTTCAAGACTTACCACCACCATATATTACTCATGCGGAAAGACTCCGTCAAGGTATCAGTAAATAAAATATTTGTTCGACGACAAGCATTTTCATTTTGTTTAGAACTACTATCCGCTATTGATGAACGAACAATTCCAGCACTTGAAGAAGCTATTCAACATGTTAAAGATTATAATTGTATTCAGCCGTTAAAATACGAATGTGAACGAGCATTAGAATTATTAAATCGTTTAATGAAAATCGAACATATGAAGTAAATAACATTGACTAGATTTCATACACACACGGCAGCTGCCCTCGTTCTTTAGATTTTCACCTGTACCTTGGGGCAGGTAGTTGAACTTTAACTATCTTTTGTTTTTGCATGCATTTATAAGCATGATACACTGTAAAATTCTTCTATGAAAAGCGCGATTACATTTTCTATTTTCTATTCTCTATTTAGAATTAAGGTACTTCGATTGAATCAATCAACAATTGCTGAATTACATAGTTACGCAAAACCACCAGAGGAAGTTTCAACAGTAATGCGAGCTACCTTTTTACTTCTTGGTCATTCCGAAAGAGAAATACAAGTAATAATTTAATCCGTAAAAAACATGTATTTTTTTGACATTGTTTATTGTTTAGGATTGGCCACAAATTCAAAGTATATTAGGTCGTTTCGGAAAAGAAAGTATTCGTCGTCGATGTTATGAATTAAATCCACTTAATGTTCCTGTTGAGAAAGCTCGTGAAGCTAGGGATATATTGAGACATTATGATTTAATACGTGTCACAGAAATATCTGTTGGTTTATCGGTATTTTATAATTGGGTAAATAAGATAATGATCTATAATCTGATAGATACAAAAATATTTTTAATTCTATTTCTATAGACTATGACAATGATTGAAGAACGAGAAAAATTATTAGAATCACAACGAAGAATTATTCGCTAGACTATTCTCATTTATATAAATTTTCTTTTTGAAATAATAAAAAATTTAAATATAACTAAATATACTTAAAATGATTACAATAGAAAAAAAAACAATAATTTCTTTATCGTTGAATCCAAAAAGACAGTTTCAGATTATTTTTGATTGTGAATTTTATTGAGAACAACAACATTCAACAAGCATGATCTGAATAATGCCAAAGGAAAATGTTCAATGAAACTCTTTTTCAATCAACAAACAACAACAAAAATCAATTAAAATTTAAAAATAGAAAACAAAATGGTAAATATCACAAATGCATACAAAAATCTAATCATATACACTTAAATTTCTTCTGCAATGGTCGTTTCCGTATATTCTGGTAATAAACGAGTTGTACTGAAAACTATCGCATTTTCATCCAATGCAACAGTATAGGAGTCTTCACAATCTTGTTGTTGACCAATTAATAATTGTATATTTTCTGATTGTCGACGCGGTGTAGTTATATATTGTCCACCAATGCTACACGTTGATGATAACGAGCCGGTTGAGAAATGTTTTATTTTTCTATCAATTGGATATCGTTGAATAATAGTCGTGTCATCGTCGGCCGACGATGATTGTTGTTGTCGTTGTAGATCGATTTCAATTTGATAAAGTATGTGGCGAATATCGTGAGCAAGTTGTGTAAACGATGGACGTTGTGACGGATCAACATGCCAACAAATAGACATTGCTGCTTGATAGAGTAGTAGAGGGCAGTTCGCCGGTCGTTGAAGACGATAACCATTTTTAATATAAGCATAGATATCAGCATTATCTATGCCGGGATACGGAGTTTTACCACGATTCATTAATTCCCAGAGAAGAACACCGAAAGACCACTAAATTATAAATAGAGCAATAAATTTGTATACACAAGTCTGTGGATTTAAAGTGTAGAAGAATGAAGTTTTGCTTGTTGTTTATTAATTCCAACCTGATTGAATTCGAAGGACTTTTTCAAGAGAAAAATAAAACTACAATTGGGTGACATTATTTATATCTCAAAAGAAAAATTCGTGGTTTAACCTTCTTTCGTAAAAACTTCTAGTTGATATTTCTCGAAATAGAAAATACTACAATAACTTGAATCTCTTCGTCTCAACCTACTCAAGAATATTTTGAAGTTTTAATCGCATAATTGGACGCTCCTTTTTTCTCATAAATAAAGTGATAGCAAATTGAACTAACCACATCAGATTGAATCGTGTATTTCGATGATTCAATAGATTCTGGACTTAACCATCGAATTGGTAAACGTCTTGGTGTCGTTTGTAGAATTTTTCCATCTTTATCTTTTGATGATATTGTTGCATTTGGTAGAACGTAATAATCTCGATCGATAACGTCTCGACTAAGACCAAAATCTGACACTCGACATACTAATTTTTCGTCTAACATGCAATTTCTTGTAGCTAAATCTCGATGAACAAATTTTAACGATGCAAGATATTCCATTCCGTCCGCTATTTGAATAGCCCATCCTATTAATTGTGTTAAACATGGGTGAGTTTTTTCATCGATTAAATAAGTTCGAAGATCACCATTTTTCATAAAAGGTAAAAGTACCATTGCTTGACGTGACGAATCCCATGCGACACCAATCAATGAAAGAATATTAGGATGCGAGAAATCTTTCATACGATTTGCTTCATACAAAAACTCATACATCGATGAAGTTTTATGATCGCGTAAAACTTTAATAGCAACTTCAATGGATTTATTTCCATGTTGTTTCAGTTCACCACGATAAACATCACCAAAACAACCTTGGCCGACTTTTTCGTGAATAGTAAGATTTTTTCGATTGATTTGTTTGCTTTTTCCTAATTCACGTAAAATAGATCGATAGCATTGAGGTGGTTTTGTGGCTTTCTTAAATGTTTTAGATGTACGATGCCAACGACAACAAGTAAAGAGTATAATTGTAAACAAGATAATGAAAATTGTTATTGCAACAAGAATCAGTATAACTAAAATTACCCATGGATCAAATCGAAATATGCCGTCCGACACATGTGATGATCGATTGTGATTTTGTAATGAAATTTTTCCAGGTGAAAATTTTAAATTAGTTCCTACCAGAATCTAAACAGAAAAATCGTAAGTTTTTCTTGGAGAACTGAATTTATGTGTCTAGTTAAATATTTTTTTGTGATATTTTCAATTGTATATTACTTTTTATCTATCGGTAGGTACTTAAACAGAAAAAACTAAACCCAAAGAAATATAATCGTATCACATTTGCATAGGCAAGGACGCATCGTCAGATACTGTAAGAGTTTTACTGATTGTGTGGAATTATTATCAGTTAATCCTCCGTTGCTAGACCCGATGTACATTTGTGTTATCTTCTATGAGAATATTTATCAGCGTTGATATGCTCAGATTACGAAGGCCGCTTGTGGGTATAAGAACTTCTATTATGATTACTACTATCACACTAGCTATTCAAAGTCCTTGAGAAAAAACAAATGTAAGCTTCATTCTTAGATTGCTACTGTTTAATAATTATATTTGGTACCTTCATATAACATAGTTATACGTCATTTTCTAATCTTCTCTTTATTCTAGTTTTACCTTGAAAGTTCTAGATAACGATCGAGGATCTGCAAGAGCTGCAAATATTTTCTTTGGTGGATTGAAAAGGATCAATTGAGATTTACATAGATCACCTTAGAATTTTTTGCTTTTTTAATTCCAAATTTCTCTCATTGTTCTCGATAAACTTAAATTATCTCAATAGGTATTGAACTTCTTTAGAAAAAAAACTTCGAAACCTTGAAAACAAATCAATTAAATGTGTATCTCAATTTTTTTCCGAAACTTATCAGCAATTACATACTTCAACATTTGCTTGATAAGCTTTAATTTTCTTAATTGTAGTTTTGGGCAGTACACATAACAATTGCGTATTCGTGAAATTAAATGGAAAACAAGCATTACTAATGTTCTCTATTCGTATATCAATTTGATCCATCGAATGTGTTGAAATAAGATTAGAACCCTATGGAAAAGCAACATGAATGAAAAGATAAAGAAATAAAATTTCTACCACAAATCGAATAATATTTGACGAATTAATTTCTTGAATAAAATTTGTAAATGGATAATAAATTGGATCATCGGCCACAAATAAAATATCGTCTACCGGTACTATTTTCAAATTATCCATAATAAACAATACATTAAGATCAAACGATGGAGTTAAATCAAGACGTCTGTCAATAGTTGGTGATATACAAATCATTTCTGAACTTGACATGATTTCACATGACTAAACAAATTTTAGTTAATTAATATAAAATATTTCGATTTTCTTATTCATTTACCGCAAATAATGTCAAAACTGACGAATTATAAACAAATTGCATCGTAGGCTTTTGTACAATATCAAGATTTTTACCAGATACTACGATTTTCATTCCTCCACTAAAACAAAATTAAAGTGACTATTTTCTTTTAATCTGCTAGATCCCAAATAAAGACTCCTATTCGTATTCTGTATCTTTTACTGTCAAAATAAAAATAAATATTTGACCTATAGGGAGATATTTGTTTGTTTTTGTCAACCGATTTTCAATGAATTATGAAACGTAATCATATCGGAATTACACATAGGGAGATTTGTTTCTATTACATGTGTTTCTTCAATACCTTAGAATCGATTTTTTCGGTGACCAATTATTTATAATCGGATTTGCTCGACATTGAAAATATGTTTTTTCTAATTGCCACAAGCGATTGTTAACTTGAACAGTTAATTCTAATCGCTCCGAATCGTTTCTACAAGCTTGATTAACACATTCAATTTCATCGGTAGAATAATCATGTTTCAAAATATGACATTCAGCTTTGCCTAAAAATACTCTAATTTTTGAATTTGATTTTAATTTTAAATTTTGAATTTTAATTTTAGTTCCACCAGCAGCCGGGCCATTGTCAGGTACTAGAATGGGCTTCGGTCGCTAGAAATCAAAATTTTACTTTCAATTTTGTTCATGAAACTTCATGTGCTTACGTAAACATGAAATTTTTGGAGATATTCAATAGAACCAGATATATCTGTATCGCCGACAGATAATATCCGACTAGGTTTGATATCAACTGAAATTGTTCCTTTAGTCGGCTGTTTAGGAATTGTTAAATTACAAGTTAAACTAAAAAGGAAACTCACGGTATATCGTAAGTTTAAAATAACTTGTTTACCTCTCATTTTTTATTTTTTCAATTGAACAGAGGTATTTATTTTGATTTGGCAAAGAAAATGTGACAAGAACTTTAATAGAGTTCGCTTCGATTCCTTCAAATGAACCTTTTACTGTCAATATAGTTCGTTCTAGATTTACATTTGTACTTATTGGTTGAATCTATGAAATAAAAACATGAAATTTTAAATTTAAAATAGAAATAAATCTATTCATAATTTAGTAAAAAAACCAACTTGACTGATTACTGGTGGACATCCACGATCGTTGGTCCATGAGTTCGATGACAACGAACATTTACCATTGGCCCAAATACATGGTTTACTATCATAACGTCGACTACCGATGCATGATTGGCATGTATCGTAAAGAGAACAAGAATTATATGCATAACGATGAAGCTAAAATTTAAAGGTGTTGATCCAATTACAGGGAAGAGAAAAAAGTCGAATAGTGTACCTCAGTGCCAACAGCAAATATAAGTGATTGATGTTCATCGTCGACAACATAATGACCATTGGATGGTTCATTGTGATACGTTGATTCATGAAGGAAATGAAGTGTAGTTCGATTATATTGAATGAACTAAAAATTCGATCATCTATATGCTTATTATGAAATGATTTTTTTCAAATGAGTACTCTGGACAGACGGCATATGTCGTCTAAACTCCTGCAAAATCCGCTATTTTGCTTTATTGAAATCAGATTGTCTATTTAGAAAACTATTAGCTCTCATTTAGATTCAAATTCACTCATTCCTATCGATGCTTTCACTCACACTCAAGTAATTAATTTTAGAAAAATTGTTTTTCATGTTATTCAATACGGATGGACCAAAAACAACCAACCAAATTTCAGGTTATCGTATGTATATACCGCACACACTGCCACATAGGCAATCAAACAGACATTCATAATTTCTTTGGTTTTTTATTAGAAAATAGTATTGAATAGCCAACCTAATGATACCTTGTTTTTTTTGTAAATTAAATGACTATTCTATTTCTTGATTCAATATATGGGACTATTGAATTATATGCTATTCGAACGAGGGGAAACTCTCCGTCGCGGTGAAATAAGAGTTCATCTTTGTCTATTGTGCATAGTGTTATAAAATGTAGACAGGCTACTATAAATCAGATGCCTTTATTTCTAATGAGGAATTTCCAAAATTTCAAATCACAATTCAATAAGAATTAGACATTCTCATCTTCAATAAATACCTTAAGTACATGTCGTTGACTGGTACCAATAATCACAATATTTTTTTGAGCAAAAACGAATCGAATAGTTACATTTTTTGCCGTAGTTTGATAAATTTTGTTTCCTACGGCGCCAATCGTTCCATCCATGTACGTATTTGTTCGATAGGGTTGCCATGTACATTCATTGATTTCCGTCAAACTTTCTTCAATTGTCTGAAAAACAGGAAAAATACGCATTTTTCAATCAAGATCTACTTTTGAAAATAAAACTCGTAGGAAGAAATCTTTTCCATTTCATTGATCGCAGATCATAGTTTTCTCTCAAGTTAAAATTAAAACAAAATCTATAGCCTAAGACGATACGGAGAATTTTAACTGTTTATTTAATAAATATTCTCGTGAACATTGTGATATCGAACTGAAGCTTTACAGTGATTCGAAACCATAAAACATCGTTGTTTTGGGGACAGTTTTAACACTCAATTAAATTACTTTTTCACACATTGGTCTTCTTTGTTCACTATCGACAATATGTGCAAGACGATAACCAATGCCTCTTTGACATTGAATTTTTGATTCTTTAAATGCATGTACAATTTCATTCATGTCATAAATACAAACTGTATTTTCATAAACAACATATAAATAATCAAAGCTTCCAAACGAATGAAAAGCTTCTGTAACAATCGATGAGCTATTTTTACAACTAACTAATGGAATTTCTTCATAAGTCATACGCATTGCAATGGATGCTTGACATAATCGAGCTAAACGAGATGATTTTAGTATGTAATATGTATGTTGCTGATAATCAAAACCATAAATATATTCCACGTTCGATAGATTTTCATTAGTAAATGTTAATGATGTTATTAATGCACGATCACTCGATTGAAATTGATAATCAATGTTAAAACGATACAAATCATTTTTTAATTCAATTTGAGAATTAACAATATTTCCATTTCTTTCATGACGAGTTCCTGTTAAAGCAGAACGAATTATTGCCGATGATAAATAGGTAAAACAGCCAGATAGACATCCGAGATAATTTGTCTCAATCGTTGATTCAAGAACATAAATTCTACTTATATCATTTGCATCATACAGAATACAACGGCCAACTAATGAACGCGAACATATGATTAATAAATGTCTCGATGGTTCATAGATAAAAACACTAACGCCATTTTCGGTATTATCGAGTGTAGAATGAAGTTGCACACGCCGATGAAGTAATAATAATGTTTGATTTGTTGTTGACCAATGTAATTGATGTAGATGTGATGATGATATTGCATATAGTGTTGATGTATTTTTTACATAGAGTAAATTATCAATGGGCGAATCGAATGTATAGCATTTTATTGTGATGAATTTAATAATAATTAAAATAAATATAGTAACAATTTGATTTGATTTCATGACTAAAATTTAAAAAAATACAAAAATGTCACAAGTGTCAAAAAAATCAACTGAACGTAAAATCGATGTGAGAATTTTTTCAATGTAAAACAAAAGAATGAATAGATTGCTTTCAACCATTGAATATTCTCTTCACAAAGTCGAACGGATATTTATTCGGGTCAGAAGAATAAAAGAAAGAAGTATTTTACTTATAAATAAAATTTCCTATTTTATTTCCTAATCATTTTTAATAGGTTGCTCTTAGACTATAAATATCATATTTTTCAAGGTGAAAACAACACTCATTTGTATTCATATTCGAAAAGAACAATGGAAGGAGAATCTACTGTTGTTCTGTTCGTTGTTCGAAGAAGAGAAGAATCAATTACTTTCAATTCGTTTCTTTCCTTGGGCATTGGTATTGATTCTTACTTAAATATGTTATGTGCCTAGAGTGAATTCTTTCGATGTTCATTCGTTCTTGAATCCGTCATTTTCAATTTTACTCTATGTCAGTGTGAAATAAAATTTGAAGAGTTTCTTTTTAATGTGTGAAAGCACAAAACATGGACTCAATATTTAGATCTCATCATAAAGAACATGCAGGTGGCTTTTTTTTCGCAAATGAATCTTACAGACAAGTATGAAGGATGTATGGGAAAAGACACCAGTCAAAAACGAGGTATTATTTTTACAAACATATATCATCTTACGGCAACGTTGCGTATCATCATCTGTCGGCAATCGTCTATTAAATAATCATTCACTAACGTAATTTTGAAAGCTCACTGTTTCTTACGGGTTAACATTTCTGGATTTTTGAAATTTTTTTCTTAACACGCTTATTCATTGATGAAGTGAAAATCATAATTTTAATCCAAGCGCATTTTGTTTGTTGAAGAACAAACAGTACAAAAGATTATAGTTGTCGTCTATCTAATTTTTAATAATAATCAGGTACGAGAGCGAGAACGAAAAGATAAGATTCTTGCAATAGAGCTGGAATTTTTCTTAATAAGAATGGAAAACTAATAACAACTAAGAAACTTAATATTCGTCGACACAACGTACAGCTATCCGCTTCATTTTTCTATTTTGAATGATGTTCTATTTCGTCTGTTGGTTATATTTCTAATTAGCGAACTTCTATCATACGGAATCTCTACTTTGTGTTTTCTTTATTTTTAGCCTTGCGGAACAAATTTTCTACGGCATCTTCGTTTGTTTTGATAAATAGATAGATACGTTAGTATATATGACTAGCTGCATAGATTTACTCAAATCATGATTAGTTCAATAGTGGTATTATTGATAATTAACATCTAGTATAGAATTTAATAGTAGAAGGAAAATTTTACTCTACCATAAAATAACAAGAAACACATATTCTATAGATTTCTATTACTATCTGTTAATAAGAAAAATATTCCCTACTTTCCTGAGTGAACATATGGTAAGTATGCGAGATGAGATGCACTCCTTATGGCTCAAATTTTGAAAAATAACAATGAACAGTTTCTAATAAAATGTCTAAACATTTTGAATAAAACAATTAATCCTTTCAGTCTTGTCAGACTAGACATAGTGGATGATGATCCTTGAGAAACGGTTTAATCAGAAATAGATAATAACGTAGGTTGGATAGTTGTACTCTTAGATCAGCGGCATATAGATAAAAAAAAGTGATTGAATAGGTAAAGTACAATAGATAGCAAGTAAGAGAATATCGACACGCACCAAAACAAGTGTACTTCTCATAAAATTATTTATGTTTTTCGATTCTCATTACAAACTATTAATAGCAAAGTTGATGTAAAAAAGATTCAATATCTCTTTCAAGCTGTCATTTCTTGAATATCTTTAGATGATTATCGTAAATCACTATTGACATTCAAAAGCAGTCGAGATATCGTTAAATACTTTCACAGATGTTTTTATTTATTTTTGTCTACTTAAGTAGTATGTTTCTCATGTTACCTTTTGGGGAAGAAGTCAAATGAAGGCCATCCTTCAGTTATTTTTCATATTCCATAGAAATCATAGGAAAAATACATGACAATTATTTGTATTAATAATCAATTATAAAGCAAATTACAAAAGTTAGACAGTTACCTTGTTTCTATTGAATCAGTGCTTTACCGATCATTTAACGCTTGTCATCAAACATATTGAGCTTTCTTTCTTTGCTGTTTTTTTCCCATTCGTCTCTATGTGTACATTTTATAATCATTTCGGTCATTGTCCGAAAGAAAGATTAACATGCAACGAATATGAATAGCCTACCATGATATAGCCTTCCCGGTCACGTTGTTATCGTTGCTCGATGGAGTTCATTCAAAAAGAAGAAGAAAAAGAAGACAAACAGAGAAAGTTGAAATCCTTGTATCAGATTGAATAGATAAAGAAGAATGAATGAGTATATAGCTTTCCAATGAATAATAGTGTGATTAACAACGACAGCTAATTTAAGCTTGACGATTGTTCAACAGAGAGACAAAACGATCAGATTTATCGTTAACAGGTAATGAATGATTGACTGTTTTTGCAAATTCATGGGTGTAGGGGAAAATTTTCTCTCATTATACAATGTAGAATAATGAGACTATATGAACAGAACGAATACGTGTGCATTCAGTAGATTGCTTGGATATGAATTATTGCAAAGTGAACGACAAGGAGTAAAATTTATATTAATGACTTTTCGTGTCAATTAAAAACTTCATAATCGTAAATGAAAGGAGCTAATGGAAAATATATAGTCTCTGGACTATTTATTATCAAGTCAGTTTACTTTCATTTAGTATAGTATACACACATTTCATGCAGATGATAACGATGGTTACATATTAAGACATTTGAAGATAATTTTCATGTTGGAATAAAATGTTCGTTTGTATGTGACAACTGGTTTGTATTCAATGTTAGACGAGAGTATTTACTAAACATGTTTAGATAAGGAATTGAACTCAAAAAGCATACAGACACTTTGTGTATGACTTTTAGTTTTTCATACTTATTTGACAATCGTTAAGTATCATGTTTTGATATCGATAAATGTATAACATTTGATCAATTTGCATTGACATGTTATTTATTTATCACACATTTCAGCGTAATAAATCTATATCAAACTTGATTTGTTGTACCGGAAACTTAGAATAAAAATTGAATTTTGCTTTCTAGCTATAAAATCAAACAACTATACAGTGAGTCTGAGTCACATTTCATATAGATATAACAAGTTGGCAGGATACATGCAACTTGGAAGATTCAATCATTTTCTTCGATAGATCTAGAAATTTTCTCACAAACATACTTCCGAAAATGGCTTATTAATATAACGGGTGGGACAAAAGTTTTGCATTAATTTTGTTTTTGATATAACTCCGCGATGCAATGTCGTGGAGACTCGATCTTTTTTTTTGTTAGAAAGAGCAAAGTGTCTAGTGCAAGAATATATAAAAGACTTTGATTAGAAATGTTTTTCTTAGGCCACAAAAATCTTAGAACGGAAAGCGCTCGAAAACACTTCGGCAACTTTTTATGAACTTAGAAAAAATGTCCTATAATTCGACAGATTATCGTTTATTCGTCTCATCCAGATTTTATTATGTAAGGATAAAGCACGATTGCTGTACAGAAAAAGAAATTCTCTACATGCTTGATAACGGTCGAAATGAATGCTTTTATGATATCATCCGGTTGGCCGATTTTTCATCACTGCCGATATTAATTACCGGATCACATATATTTCATAGGAAAAAGGAAGCTTATCGAGTCCTCTACCAAACTTTATTATTTGAAGCAGGACCCAGCTTCTCTGCGAGATATTCTGACAAAAATTTGTTTCCGCATTGGAAAGTCAAACTTGAACAATTAATTGTTTTAATAAAGTTGTTTTCTGTTCATTATCTTGTATGCTACACCAATTATTTTAATACCAAATGAATGCCTTCGTTGTAATGAACGACTGTATACATATGGTGCTCGAAAGCGTCGAAAATGGGTAATAAAAAAAGCTCAAACAAATATTTTTGGATAAAAAAAATGTGATCAAAATTGCGGAAACGTTTTCCAGTGCCTTCTGTTCTAAGATTTTTGTGGCCTAAGAAAAACATTTTCAATCAACGTCTTTTATATATTCTTGCACTAGACACTTTACTCTTTCTAACAAAAACAAGACCGAATCTCCACAGCATTGCATCGTCGAGTTATATCAAAAACAAAATTAATGCAAAACTTTTGCCCCATCCGTTATATTGTTTTGGTGATATGGCGATTAGTTAATGTACGATTTCATCAAAATGTAAAAATTTTGTTAATTGTTATTTTTTCTAGCATAAACATGAAGTTTTACGCCGTAGATACCGTAGTTTTCTACATGAGTACATCATTTTGTTTTGATGAAAGTTGATCAAGTTTCCAAATACTAGGACCGGTAAAATGCATCAAATTTCAAATTAAGTTTTTAGCATCTTATCGAAATTGTTGTTTAAAATCCTAACGCGAGCACGTTTCTATCGATTTTAGTGCGGGTGACATTTTTCTTTTTCAGCCGATGTCGAGAGGTTATCTAAGTAAAATCATAATATAAAACTTAATCAACAAGATTATCATCCATAAAATTCAATTACCACGATGTGTTTCTAAAATACGAAGAGCCAATTTGTAGCAACAATGCACAGCGAATCCAATGAAGATTCTATATTAGCTGGGTAGCTATGTAATTTATGTATGTAGGTGATGATAAGACTTCCATAACCATTGTGCCAACTTACCATTGCATAAGTTTAATTTGACATTTTATCTTTATTAAAAGATTACGATACATCTAGCAATATTAGGGTCAAATCAGTTGAAAGAAATTCTATTGATATACCATTTTTCTCTAGAATGATTCATTTACACACAAATTTTAAGCAGTTTTATTTCTTCATTCGAAGCATATTTCATATTAGACAATTTTATTACTGGAATCGAAACGGAAACACAAGAATTTCTTGCAAAATCTAATTAGAAAACGCAAGATTTTAAGTGTGGCAACCAACTGTCGAGTAACACAATTAAGAAAGAAAGGGTGTGGGTGTGGGTGTTTATCTCTTTCCACAACAGCCCACACCCACCCACACCCAAGAAGACAAAGAATTGGAGAGATAACTTTTCATAAAAGTTTAGCAGTAAGTGCTGATGGGGGTTGAGTTAGATGCTATAAAAGAACATGATGTATGCACAGGAAATGTAGCGATGGTCGTCGTATCCTATTGGGAATTGATTGAAACCCATAGTAGGATTGCGTACGGATTCCGACGACCGGATTCGTTGTTGGATTCCTCAACCCGGTAATCCGATGAAATCCTGTGGGTCGATAGGTTCCGATAAGATCCTATAGGATATTCCGTTGGATTGATCGACCTGGGTCACTATGCGTCGATATTGTTTCTCTTATTTCACTATGGTCTTTGCCGTGCGGGTACGTACTACATACTTTATCATATATCGTCCATCGTTCAATCAGCCTATTGTACGATTGGCGCATTAATGTTCAACTTAGGCCGACAACACACTATGGGGTCAATCACACAGAAAAAGACAAACAAATAAAGCGACGCGATTGGTTTATTCCGACTTAAATCGTCTTTTTGAGAGATGATTTATTCGTTAATTCTGTTTTAATTCACTTTGAATTAGTCGGTGTGATTGGGGCCTATCTGATAATTGACTATAATAGAGGAATAAACATTGTTTCATATTATGGACGGACGATCATTGTTTGAGATCAAACAGACAGAAAAGATAGAACAGAGCTAACGAATGAAATCGTTAGAATCGTTCAATTCTAGCTTTTTGTTCTTCATACGATATGTAAAGATAATCGATGTATATTGCTATGACTGCTACCAGATTAGAAGATCTACCAAATGAACTGTGGTTAGAACTTTTCGTCTATTTTACATGGTTTGAACTAAATTCAACATGGCTTCAATGGAAACTTAATAATCGCATACAATTTTTAGCTCAAATAGCACAGAATCGAGTTGCTTTGTCACTCTCATCGATGTCGTTTATAACTTATGGTGAATGGCTGCATTATTTTGAACATGAACATCCATAATAGCTCATCGTATAACTTCTCTTCTGCTCAATGAATCAATTATATCGACTGAAATTATTAGGCGGTGGTTTGAAAATGAGAAATCTTTTCTTCCACGTATTCGAAAATGTACTGTCTATGTCGATCTTATCAATAGATCTGCTCGAATAAATATTATCCTACTTATTTGTCGACATGCATTGACTTTACGTCATATTGTGTTTTATTTTAATGAAATCGATAGATATTACGTGATAATGAAAAAGGTCATCGAAGAACGTATTTCTCTGCATACAATGCAATTCATCGTGATTAAAGGTAAAGAAATGTTTTTTGTTGAAGTTGCTCATGATCGAATATTTTGAGTTAAGTAGAGTTGAATTTCAAATTAGTGAAAGCGAAATAGTTCATCATATATGATATATACTGATGATCACATATCGTTTTACGAATTCAGAAAAAATAATGTAGAAATTAATTTCATTGTTGAATTAATTTTAATCGGATGATATGTTTCAAAGCTCGGTTTTGAATTAGCATAAATCGAAAAGCTTCGTTCTATATGGATTGTTTTCTTGAATCGAATTCTTATGATTTATTGACAAAATATTTAAACTTCATGATGAATTTCGTAATGAACTCGATGAGAAATCATGATAGATAGAAAATTTTTACTTAACTTCATATCGAGGTTTTGAGAGATGGTTTTGAGAGATTATTTGATGTTAAACGTTCGAGAAATGATATTTCGGAAGTCTGAGCATTAAAATTATTCTTGTCTTGGATGTGTTCATGTCGAGAAGAATCTATAGAAAATTCAATGTTGATACTAATTACCAAAAAGAAATCTAAACAGAACACGATTTAAATCTGTGAACGCAGCTGAAAAGAGCTACATAACATTTTCGCGCATCCTTCCTCATTCTCATTCAGACACACTGCGCAGAAGTATCGTGTCACTGAGTAAGAAAATATTTTTGATATTTTCAATAATTATCTTTGAAATTTAATCTTATCTTGTTTTAGATAGCAGATATTTTAAATGGAAGAGTTCTTTAGCCGAATGTGCCACTTATTGTGATCAAATATTTACATTTCCGAAAACTGTTCGTTTGCGTATCTCGTTACAACATATATCTGATTTAGCGTTATTGATGCAATGCAATACTTTACCACATATAGAAGATCTTCATGTTACAATGGAAACAGGAATATATACCTCACATCAATTAGATAATCGGTATGAGAATGCACCTTGTTCTACATTATGTCTTAATGATTTAAATACAACTGGAGCCAATCTACCACATCTACGCACATTACAATTGCGACAAGTAGACATTACTAATGTTATTGTATTGATACAACATGTGAAATCAATGTGTCAACTTGAATCATTAATTTTGGTGAACTGTAATGTTAAAGGTTAGAAAATCTAGATTATCAACAATTATACGTGATAATATCACTCTTTCGTTTTTTTTTAATTTTCAGATAAGAATGAACTTATTGTATTTAAAAGCTGTATTAGAAATTTTATGATTTGTCTGCGTTGTCTTCGTTTTCTATTTTATTTACCTGCTGAAACCAAGCTTGAAAAAATTGATCTCGACTGGTTTAATTTAAGTCATCGTACTGTTGAATATGAGATAAATGGACTAATGGTACTTTACACAGTTCCATATCCATTAAATAGTCAACAACAAGTATATAATCATACATTTGGACGACAGTCGACAATTAATAATAATATTAATCATATTGAATGGATAATTGATTGTGATCCTTTATCTATTAATACTACTCTTACTCATTTTCAATATGTTAATTCACTTGTTTTATTTTTTGATATTAAAGTAAATATTCAATATAAAACTATGAACATTTTCATTTATTTGGATTGTTTAGGAAATGAATATAAATATAGATTCTTGGCATGTATTACTTCCATTTTTACGTCATCTAAAACTTGATTTTGATTCGAATCCAATCAAATCTGGGATATCGTATTATCGATCTGTAACACCGAGTCATTATCGTTGCATTATTCTTGAGCAATTTCGTAAATGTGCTCTGCACTTGAGTGTTTGACGCTACACTGGTCTGACCTTGAACTTCTTCTTGAACATTCTTCATCACCTTGGCCATTCGTTCGACAACTTAATATTCGTTTGAAACCACGCACAAACTTTCCATCTGCATCTTTGATCAAACAATTACCAACGAATAAAGCTTTTCCTCAACTACAATATCTTTCATTTAGTGAACGTCGTTTCTCACTCGATCCACCGAAACCACTCGCAACTTGGATTCTTTTATGTTTCGATGCTCTTGTATCTTCTTCATCAAAATTCATCATATTACATGTAAATAGATGTTATGTTACTTATCGAAGTTTTCCTCTTACATCTCGTGACATACTTCTGACGCTTCTTACAGAACATGTTCGTTCGAGAAGTGATCACTATTCATCATCTAAAATCGTTATCGATGAGAATGAAGAGATAATTATTTGGCTTTGAAAGAAACTTTTAATCATACAGTAGTAGCTAAGTAAAGTAAATATGGAAGAAATTTCTATGACTAGAGAAGATAAGAAAATGAAATGTTTCTGTAAAATTTTTTCATAGAATTTCATAAATATAATAATTTGAACAAATTTTCAGTTTCATTTCTTTATATATAATGATAATGTATGCATGCATGAGTTAATTCTTGTATAAATTCTTTACGACAAAGATCGGCAATAGTAATAGGTACAGCGTATCGATGTACGAGAGTCATATTCGAAATTATAAAATACAATGAAATTAACACATTTTTATATCTTATCATATGGTTCACATAGTCAACTTGAGTCATTATAGTCATAATGATGTGATTATGACTCCTTCAATAAACAATATACATTTTATTTTCGTAAAAAAATACATTAAATAGATTTAGTATCACTCTGCATTTACAGGTACATCCTTTTTACTAATCAATAATACAAAAGCTGAGTAATTTGCTGCATTTACCTTAGCCAAATTCGTTGGAAAATTTTGAAAGGTTAATGAAGTTGAAAGTTACAACTCAATTAACTTTTTAGCCAAAATGTTAATCGGTTATTGTAACGGTTATTCACCTGTTTTGTGAAACACGATCTGAAAGGAGTGTTGAAGTATATAGGGTAGAAATTTGGACCCATCCCCCGCCCCCCCNTAGACAGATTCCAGAAAATCAGTTTGATCGTGTTTCACACTTTTAATCCCACAGGGATTGCGCTAAAAGCTTTACTTTACCTGTGTGTAATCTCTTTACCGAGCACTTGTACCAATATATTTATCTTCAAATATGCACTCAATTTACAAACATATTTATCCAACACTTATCCTTGAATAGCAACGCTACACCATTCACCTTCAAATATGCACTCGTCATCATAAACACATTAATCCAACACCTCCTTGAATATTTACGCTACACCATTTACCTTCAAATATACAAGCATAATCATAATCCTATTAATTCAACACTCGTCCTAGAACAGATTAATGCGTATCTTATCTATTTTTCTGTTTTTCTATTTTGCTCTTCTAAGGACATTCGTGCAGTATAAAAAGAGAGGTACGAATGTCTAGAGGAGTGCAGTGTATCCTTCTTTTCATTTTATCAATAAACAGGTCTATACCATCAAAAATCGTCACAGGTGTGGGTGTGGGTGTCGATGGGGGTAAAAGTAAGTCAAAACCACACCGGCACCCTCAGGATAGTTACAAATCAAAGAACTGGTGAAACTGATCAGTTTCCAGACAGACAAAATTTAAAAAAAAACGGTGAAATACCCGTAGAAATTTCAACGAAAATAAAATCGCAGAAAGCGCACTTTTCTACGATTATGATCTCCGTTAGGTTCTCTATGGTAATGAACGCGTTTAAAATCAGCGCATATTTATCAATTAGAAATCTTCGCATTTATACCATTTACAAATCTACGCATTTTTACTGTTTACAAATCAACGCGTTCTTAACGCATCAAAATGTGTGCTTTTCCGATTTTCATCAACGTTAGCCTTTCTACGCCGAATAACATATTGGTATACGTTACCAACCTGGGTATCTACTAAGACGATACCCAGGTGGGTAATGTATAAACAGATACCCAAGTGGGTAACATATAAACAAATACCCAAACGGGTAACGCATAAACAGACACCCAGGTGGGTAAGGTATGAACAGATACTCCAACGCGTAACATATGAACTGATAACGGATTTTGAGTGCAGGACCTCGATAAGCTATAGGAAACTTTGATCAGAATTGAGACTGGAGTTGAAATAAAAAATCTACCTTGTGAATATTAGACTCCTGCCCGGTGCATTTTCTCAGCCATGAAAGATCGGATACAAAAACTGATGACGGATTTGGACTCTAGGACCTCGATAAGCTATAGGAAAGTTTGACATAGGTAATAACCTGGTGAAGAGTTAATTGCAAAAACTATGAAAGCTTCGGATAGTCTACGGAACGAACACTGGTTCCATTGACATTCTACGAAATATTTTCTAACTCAATAAAAGGAGTCCATAATTGAACACATTTATCAATGTAAAAGGAGCTCAATCAACGCTAGTTAACGAAGGTTTTCTTAGTACGAAAAAATTCGTCGATGAAGACACGATGAAAAACGGATGAAGAGTGCGCGAAAACGTCGTTTTATTTTTAGGGATGCCTGAAAACAGCGTTTTTACAGATTTCTAGCGCGTTTTTATGCGTTTTTTTGAGGGTCGTGTCTGTCTGGGTTCCTACCAAAGAACTGTTGGAACCGGACAGTGCTCAAGATCGGAACTGATACGGAACTGTCATGTCTAACTCTGATGCGGCTAGATTTGACTTGACTGAACTAGACTTGGAAATTGTTTTTTATGCCTGATGACTTGGCTTGACTTGTGACTTGAAAAACACCTGAATTTCCCAGCCCTGATCTTATCAAGTTTCATAGATTTATTGAGTGTCTTATTATTAATTGATGCATATATACACTTCGAGGTAAGTTTGCTCTTGTAAAATGATTATGTTTATTTATTTCTATATTTTAGACTGTTTCAACTATGGAAATCATCGGTGGATTCTGTAATAACCCTCTGATGTCGCCCATGGTATGCACACTATTCCAGTGTTTGTGAAAAACTAAATATGGTATATATCAAATAAATCAAAAGTATGAGAAAGTGGTCTGTATAGTAATTTTCTTCGTCAATAAAGAAAAATGACTCTATAAACTATTTTCACTTACTTTTGATTTATTTGATATATACCATGCTTGGTTATTCAGAAATACGAGAGTAGTCTGCATGCGATGGACAACACCAGAGGGTTAAATGAAACCTTTGAGTGGACAGGCAATTAGAAAAAGGTTTAGTGCAAATCATTTTGTGCGGAACCTTTGTTGAATTGTTTTTTCTTAGGTTTGGTACGAGATCCTTTTTCTGCGAAACCAAGAAAGGTGAAAGAGACATTTCGCACTAGATTTTCATTACGATCTCCCGGAGGAGATGTTCGTTACGATTTGCGGACGTATAAAAAAATACATGATGTTCGGAATGAAAGTTGCCCAATAGACCGTAACAGACAGCAGTATTTTTGAGGAGAAAAAATCTGAAATTTGCGTGAAGTTCGGGATGAAAATGACCGGAAGACCGCAACAATGAAAACATGAAGATCGTAATGAAAAGAAGCAGGATGTTCGTAACTATCGAGTGTCCCAGAATAAATTAGACTCTTTATAGAAACACCACTTTACTTCTATTTTTCAATGAAGTATGAAATCTCTTGTTATAGAAAGATAGCGCTTGAAATTCTGCACAAGATGCTATATTTTATTTAACGAACATATTCTTCTCCAGTTTCTTTAATTATGCGTAATCATTTAGTAAAATCATTCACAGAATTAAAATTTTTTTCTTTTTCAATTTTCTTGACGGAATGCTTTATTTCTTGTGTCAATAATTCTTTTGTTGTTATTTTCTTCCAGTTCATTAATTTAGCCAATTCATTCCATAAACTGTAGTCAAATGGACACAAATCCGGCGAATTAGGAGGTCATCGATCTTTGGAACTAAACGAAGGAAAATGATCGATGCACTATTTTTGACTGAGATAATGTATGTGAGGTCGTGCACCATCTTGTTGATACGTCCAATATTCTCCTAACATTTCGTTACCACACTCTAGAGCTATTGGAAGAGCTTCATCGATATATCGTTGAGCATCCATTGATCCATCTTCAAAAATCACCGGCACCGACAATCCTTCACTATATACACCTAACCACACCATAACTTTCACCGAAAATTTAGTTGTTTCATAAATAGCTCCTCTTTTGTCAGCCTCTTCCCTGCTTATAGCCCAAATCCAGTCGTTTTGATTATTGTATATGCCATTCAGATCGAAATATTTTTCGTCCGAAAATAACCACCTTGTGATATCACTGTTGGTGTAACTGTTCAGAACCCAATTTGCAAATTTAACTCTTTTCTTTTTTTGAACATCTGTTAATTTTGGCTGTTTAATTTTCTTGTATGGAAAACAACCTAGATCTTTACGTAAAATTCGATGAATACTGCTTTTTGAAATATTCATTTCAGC